TGAATGCAATATGCATTAGGCAAATCATTCATTAGTTCTCCAGAGAGAATGTGTATTTGTAAACAACAGGTACACATCAGTTTCACTCTCGATGATCTTGACCCGGATATTTCATGTGGTCTGTTCAAGTTCGAATCCATCTATTAAATGCGATTCTTTAAACTGTGACATTAATATCAAGGAAAGGAAGAATACCTATTGGATGCCAAAAAAATTAAATTGATAATATACTTTTGGACCTTCTGTTAGTGGAACTTTTATACTTTGCAGAAGATTTATGTTTTATTTATAAGTTAGATTCAACTAGGACGAAAAATAATGAAATTAGAGACAGTTTAATTCGGACATGTATAATGTTTATCATTAGTCCCTACCCAGACAGCACAACGTGATTCTGAGAACGTTCTCAAAATATTCCCGTGGAACATTTCGATTATTTTCATAATGTTCTCACAAGGTACACTGAACATTCTTAGAATATTCTATGAACATGCAAATGGTACGAAAATTCATGTTTCAATAAAACGTTATCATAATATTTTTCGGAACATTCTCAGAACATTCTATGAATATATAGAACATCCTCAGAATGATCTAGAAATATTCTCAGTATATAGAGGGTATCTTAAAGCGTATGGAAAATATGTCAGGGATCGATATAGTAGGAACATTATGATCATAACTGTATGTTCCAAAAGTGACCATTAGGGTGATATTTATTTCACATACTATGAAACAAACAACACCCAAAATCTGTTGCAGTTCAAACATAATACAAATATCATACACATGGATGCTTCACGAATATATCACGATGTGTAATATTTAGTTTTAGCGCCCCTATTGTGTGGTAAGCAAAAAATTGCTGCTGAAAATAGCGGTAAATTTTATTTCACATTAAACCCCTTGCTACAGCAGATGAGCATGACAAGTTTTATTAGAATCAGCGGGAAGGATTTTGAAAAATCAATGAAAAAAACGGATATTTTCTGGAAAAGTTGACTCCATCTTTCTAAAAAACGAAGCAAGTTTATGGGAAACAACATTTCTCCCTTTCCTCTGATTATATTTATGAATAATACATTCTATAAACATACCTAGAGAACATATACCTAGAATATTCGAACAATACATTCCAAGATCATTCCTGAATATAACATTCATAGAATATAATGGAATATTCTAGGAACGTTCCTAGGATATTTTGATGAATAATGTTCTTTCTTTATGTTCTGGTTCCCACGAAAAGGGATATCCTGTAATGTTCAGAGAACATCGTGAGAACCAAGGGAAATAAGGTAGGAATTGGTGTTCTTCTTCAATTTCTAGAGGTTATTTGCCTCGGGAACGCCTCCCTTGGCAATGTGTTCCAGAGCCCCGCTGTTTGTTGAATAAACGAGTTTTTGGAAAGAGATGTTCTGCAGGTCTCCAAACTAACCGCGAAGGGGTGCGAAGCCTCCACTCAACAGGTTCATCTCGCGGGGACTGGCAAGGGAGGAACAATGGTTGATATTTCAAAAGAGCATCGTCCATGAAAATATCTATAAAATAGAGCCAGATCTCCAACTATTCTACGGTGTTTCAGAGAAGTAAGTGAGTTCGTGTGCGAGGCATCACCCACGAGACGAATTGCCCTTTTTTGGACAGAATCCAACAGTTTCAGGATATGTTTGGGCGCTGCACTCCAAATATGGGAACAGTATTCCAGGACAGGTCGGATATGTGCCTTATAGATCATATGCAGCTGACTGGAAGTGAAATAGCTCCTGGCCCGAAACAGAAAACCAAGTTTTTGGGATGTACTTTTAGCAATTGATCTCACGTGATTTTTCCAAGAAAGGTTATTGCTGATAGTAATACCAAGCATCGAAATGGATGTCTTCGAAGGTATGGTTACTCCTGACAAGTTTATGTTGGGCACAGTGAGATTGGCTTATCTAGAGAGAAGGCATGCTCGAGGGCATGCTTGTGCTTTGTTTGCTTTGAAATTTACCAAGTTATTGGATCCCCATTCGAGAATTATTGTTGCCAAGTCCATATTTATATTGTCAACATTCCTCCCTCTCTCTACGAATATTAACGTAAAACATTCTATGAACGTTCAGAACTATAATATTTTATAAATAATCCAAAAATGTAGCTTCTGAAATCCTTTCATTTATTATATGACAATTGATTAACATCACTGTATAAAACAATGTCCAACTGTCTACTCATACAATGACTAATGACATTTTTATACAAAGAATATTACAAGAAAATCCTCATCATGTTCTATGAAATTTCTTTGGAATATTCTGAAGGAGGTATGTTGTGAACGTTGTGAGAACATTCATGGAATATTCTCCGCTGTCTGGGCATGAATATAATGTGAATAAGCATAGAAAGCATTCAATGAATTATCAAAATGTATTCTCATTATAATAACTCGTCATACAACTGATATTTGATGTATAATATTTAGTCACTGCGAAATTTATTCTGGTTAACACTGATATGGTATTGTAGGAAATAATAATACTCACCAGATATCATATGAACTTGATACTCGAAAGGGAATTGAAACACCAACTACTCATTCGTACATAGGATATCATTAGAAGAAACGAAAGAGAAATTACTGGAAATGAATTCGTATAGATATACAATGACAATCTATCTGATAATCGAGCAAATCTCCTTGTGTAGATCATATCAACAAATATTGAATGAGGAACGTACTTGCCATTGTTCGGTATTGCAGAATATTTCTGTAATATTTTAAGGTCCCTATATTGTGTGTTGAGAAAATTCATTATATTTTACACAATTCACAAAATTATTCATAACTATGGAACAGTCTGAGATAATCAAGAAGATATGCGGTTTACAAAAAATAAACAGTTCAACCAATCAACCTCATATAGATACACTATGCTCTATGTTGGGCACTACTTGCTACATAATAAGAAACTTATTGAGAGAATCCATATCTTTTGACATTTTGGTTTAATCGACCCTGCAATATGAATTGATTTTCTGGGGTTCTTCCAGTTACTTCATTCAAGCATTTCGTTCACAAAAAAAAGTTTTACGGACTATTTACAAAGCTCCCCCACATTCTACATGTAAACCACTATTCAAACAATTCCAAATCCTATATCTATATCCTATGTCTGTACCTATATTTTCCAGTTGATCAAAGAAAACGGAACAAAATTTCGAAAAAATTGTGACGTGCATCCATATTTCACGAAGAATAGTGAAGCTATCCACCAACACTACTCTAAAAAAAAATTTGTTCTAAAATTTGTTCTATCCGTCATTCCGTTGCCCCCTTACGAGCAACCCTCAAAAGTCTTCGAAAGTCTTGTGCGAGCAAGGAATGACGGGGGCCTACGTGTGATCCCAAACACTCTAGACTTGGGGTTTGCCAAAATTCGCCGAAATATGTATAGGCTTTAAGTGTTTTAATAAAATAAAAAGTTTTGTCGATAGAAGTAGCACGATAGCTATTTTCAAGAAGAACTTGCATACTTTTTTTATACATGAAACAGTTTTATGGGATTGATGAATTAACCAATTCCTAATTAAAAAAAAAATAGAGAAATGAAGCTTCTTTTCTTACTATATATTCACACAGTACATATAAAATTATCAAGTATGAAGTTCTGACTATCCTGATTTAAGATTATTGCAAATCTATGATGCATAATCTATTTCTTTAGTTATTCCATTCATGAGGTTTGAGATACTAAGTATAAGAGTATTTGACTCCCATTATATATATTTTATGCTTTTGATTGTATACTTCCAAATGTTTTTGTTTTGACTAGTACAATAAGTTTTGCATGTATATATTATTCTGTATGTGTATGTGCAATTTCAGTGATGAATAAATTTTATTCTATTTTATTCTATATGTTGTGCTATATCTGAATCTGAAAATATAAATTTGATGAACACTATACCTTTTCAACTTCAAATTGAGACTCATCATTTTCAAAATGGAAATAACCATCTTCAAATTTTGGACAAAATGATTCAGCATGGATTTAACACATTCAAATTGAGATTAATCGAGTTCAAATCGAAACTATATATAATAATATAATACCTATACAATATGGAATTGATTTGTTCGGTAGCGAGTCTGTCGATGATACCAAACAGGAAATTCCGAAAAGAATTTTGATTACAATAAACATCGATAAACATCGAATAAACAAATATTTATATAAATATAAAGATAACTCACATAACCACATCATGTGATTTCAGAGCATCAGGAATGAATTTCTGATCATTAGCTACATATCTACCGCAATTCTTTATTCCTATTAAATTCTCTACAATGATGTGATGTTCTTCATTGATTTTGGTCCTCCTTTCTCCTCTACTGTTGATTTTTTTATGCCGATTCAATCACAATAATTGATTTTTAATATTAGCTGCATCTTCCTCATTTAGACTTTTGCGGTATGATGAATATTATGATTGCTAATAATTAATTTCGATTTTGCCACAATATTGACAATTCTTTTCCCACTTTGAGATTGTTTGGTCCCAAATTGAATAAATGAGTTTATTCTTACTTTGACAGTGTTCATCAACTTGAATTTGTAAATTCTCAATTTGAAACTGTTCTGAATTTGAATATGATTATTCCCAATTTGATCGTGTTCATTCTCATTATGAATCGGTTTACCAATTTGGATGTGTTGAATTCTAATTTGAAATTGATAAGTATCAATTCGAACTTGATAAGGTCATAGATCTAATCTATGATAAAGTATAGATTCTGAAATATATTATCCGTGGTTCATGGGTTGCCATTTTTCCACACCTTGAGCTTGCAAATGAAAATTATTATCAACTGTAACTGTTGTAATATTCTACTTGATAATTTATTGGCATTTCGAATGTTATCGGACTATATAACAAAGAATGAATTCGGTATATTGTATTTGCGAAAGTAATCCTAAAAATCTATGCATACGTGAATCTGGAAGCAATAAACAAAAAGATTTTATGACTAAATTTCAATTGTAACACTTCCATGAGTTTTGATAACTAGGAATACAAGTCAGTTAAGAAAACTGCATAACAACGATATCGAGCCAGTTTATATTTTTCATTTGTTCACATCAAAGATATATGAAATTGTGTAAGTATTATTTGTATATTTGCCATCATCTATATTGTGAATCCAATGAGCTGCTCGTACTACTACTCTCAATGTGGTCAACAACCAATAACAGAGCAGGATGAATTAATATTTTTCTGAAACTCTGATCTCTGAAATTACATGTAGTCCTAACTTCCAAAACGCATATTGTATCTTACTAATGTCCGAAAATATTATCTAGATACACTAGAAGATTCAAGATACTTCAAATTGATCGTATTTTGGCATTCAATGTGATAAGAATGTGTTGCTTAATTAATTCAATTTTTGTAGCAAAAATCGTACTTACCTCTCCGATAACCATGTCTTATAAAACTAACCACTGCATAATTTCTGGGTATCGTATAGTTTCACGCATTAAATGAACAAATCAATCATTGATTTCGTCTGATAACAGCTCACCAAGGTCAATCCAATATTTCATGATTACCAAATTGATCGTTGATTAAATGAAAAACCTCAACTTCTATTGCCAAATTGCCAATTAATTGATTTAGACTAGCTGACTGAATGCACTGACCTGTAAAGCTTCCAACATTTCTGAGAGCTGAATAATTTACATAGGCTTCCTGACATTTCATCCTATGAAATTGAATTCTAACAAAATGCCTTGAGAAAACAACAGACACTGAAAAACTTGAATCTGAATGTGAATGAATCCAATAAAATCATCGAATTTATAGATCATCGGTTCAGGAGGAAGGTATATTCCAAATTTGGGAGGAATTTCTGATTGCTGTTTTTCCCATCAGAGCATTGTATTATCCGGCAATCTAATTTTTTTATTTTCAGGTTCGTCCTATGAACCAGTATAAAGCGATCGAATCATAACCTTGGGAATAAATAGTACAATTTTTCCATGCCATTACCTTCTCAAGCAAATATTTTTACACCTGACTGAATCGGCTTGATTTATTTTGACTTCATTATAAGCCATAAATGATAAGATAGTAAGGTGCCTGAAAAGTTGGTGGTATTAATGATTTCAGATAGGTAGTTGCATTCCCTTAAGATCTTTTTAGAGAAGGTTGCTCTCTTTTTAATCATTTCTGTTAGAGGATTAGGTATTTTTGAACATCTATAAACATTTAAATGAGATAGGTTTGCTTATACCTGATGCTTTCAAAATTATATATCGTCTCCTACCGAGTGACTTTATTCATGTGTATTCAATATATTCAATAATTATTATTGTTGATCAGTTGATGGATCATTTATTCATTCTTTTTTCTCTTGGTTGAATTCGAAAACATTCGAGGCTGTTATATTCGTATGATAATTGAGCACATATCTAACATTTCGAATAGTGATAGTGATAAAAAATCGAAATATTTTGTTTGTGAGTAACTTATACCATAGCTGCTACCGTTGGCTTAGGTAGGTACTAATTTTCATGTTGGAGACGTCTTTTTAAGAAATGAAAATGAATGAATAGCGAATGCAATCGTGGTATGGTTGATTTTTGATTGATCAACGGTGTTTCCTATTGAAGTTTCATTGTTTTTTATGTAAGTATAGTTTGATTTCTGGATATTACCTTCGTGATACAGAAATTTTGTTCAATATATGTTGATAAATAAACAGCCTGGTTGGAATGTAGTTGGCATTCAATAAAATGTAAAATTCTTGTTAAATAACTCAGTACTTTTGCTTTGATTTTTTATATCTAGAAATAAGTAGTACCTATACCGAGGTAAATGAGTATATTAACGTAGGTATGTACCTACATTGAAAACTTTCTCGTCTTTTTTTCCCTCGTTCATTATCCATACAAAAATCATATTGGTCAGATACATAATGCCATATTTTCTATGTTGAACTATCCCTACGTAAGTGTTCCTATTATTTTGAAATATAACTATATAGGTACAAGGTGATTCGCCATAAATGTCCCCATCCCCCCCTCTAGCTCAGTTATTTTTGAACAGATTGAAAAATTTTAAATATCATCTAAAATGATTTTCGATAGAGTTTTTTCCCGCTACATCAGAAAATACAAGGTGCTTGGAACAAACGATCTACAGGGTACTATTTGATTTTTTCTAATGGAACACCCTGTTATTCATTGTATTTTTAGATTCTCCCTGAAGAGCTGATTTCATCAATGTATCATACTTGGGGTTTAGCAAAAATGATTACAGAGATATAGGGTGTTCAAAATAGAGATTTTTCAACTTCAGGATTTTTCCGGGACGAAACTATTCATTATCAGTCAAAACGGCTTTCATGTACGTATCTCAACTTCTGATTTACTATCTACTGACATTTAATAATTGGAACAGATACAGGGTGATCAGAATTCTGAATCTTGAACCACACTGTATATGTTCCAGTAATCAAATGTCAGTCAAGATTCAGAATTCTGATCACTCTGAATCTGTTCCAATTATTAAATGTCATTATATAGTAAATCAAAAGTTAAGAAACAGACATGAAAGCCGTTTTGACCGATAATGAATAGTTTCATCTCAGAAAAATCCTTAAGTTGAAAGATCTCGATTTTATCTATATCTCTGTAATCATTTTCGCTAGACCCCAAGTGTGATTCAATGATGGAATCAGTTCTTCAGGAAAGATCTAAAAATAAAATGAAATACAGGGTGTTCCATTCGAAAAAATCAAGTAGTACTATGTAGATCGTTTGTTCCGAGCACCCTGTATTTTCTGATTCAACGGGGAAAAAATTCTGAAAAATCATTTCAGATGATTTTTTAAATTTTTAAATCGGTTCAAAAATATGTGAGTTAGAGGAAGGGACATTTATGGTGAATCACCTTGTACGTGGTATAAATATAATTAAATATTTTTTTCAGATTCAGAATGAGGAGCAAAAAACAATCGTTTACACTATCTCATGATATCAATTATAATTCCAGGTTAGTGAAAAATGAAATAATGTCTACCGGTAAGGATTTTATGCGATTGAAAAAATAATTAACTTTTCGTCATGAATATTGTCATTTAACATTGATGCAACATTCTATTTTTTATCTCAAATTCATAGGTCTACCCTGAATAACAATGAAGCAATCGACCTATCATCCATTAGTGGAAGCTGTGAAACAATGAGAGAAAATATTTATAATCCGTACGAACACAGGATATTACAACACCCAAATACGTGAGCTAATTTAGTGTAATTATTGTTTTCAAAAGGTTAACGGCCAAATACTAGAAAATTACGAAATAGAATTAGCAGTCAATAGATATATACAATTATCTTTGAAATGCACTACAAGTTCAGAAAGCGTCAAGCGTAATTCGGACAATAACATTTGTAATTCAGTTAAGTTAATTGAAATTCAGAAAATATCAAATGTTATTCAGATTAGTCAATTGAAATTCAGTAAGAGTCAATTGTAATTCAGATCAATGAATTGGAATTCAGAAAGCGTCAATTGAAATTCAGAAAGCGGCAATTGAAATTCAGGAAATGTCATTTGTGATTCAGAATGTATCATTTGTAGTTTAGAACGGGTCAATTGTGATTCAGACTACGTCATTTGAAATTCAGATTAGTCAATTGAAATTCAGAAAATATCAATTTCAATTCAGATTGGTCAATTGATATTTAGAAATAGACCATTGAAATTTAGAAAGCTTCATTTGTAATCAGAAATATGGAACAGTACCTTTGTTGGTTGAGCCAAGCGTAATGATTGTAGGTGAAAATTACTTTGTGTAACAAGGGAACAAAGTGCAACTTTTCCACCCAAGGATGACAGCGGAGGGCAGTAATCATTCAAGGGAGGAAAAAGCTTATCACCCATGTTATACATATAATTTTTCCACAACAAGTCATTTGAAGAAAAATCAATTATGAAACTAACCAACTAAGTACTAAATGTATTAAAGAACTAAAACCACGAACAAGGTAAAGTATATCCAATATCAATTGCAGAATATCTCACACTGTGCGGCGTCGGCATGTTTGAAGTTTCCTTTGAAGTCACTTCAGGTGCGGCACGAGAATCTGCAATTGATTTTGGATAAACTATATATACATATATACATATATAAATATACAGTATAACTTATAGGCACATTATTTTCATTCTCGCATCCAACCATCAACACATTTTTAATTTGTGGTAGATTAATTGAATTGGAACAGATTCTTAATCTTGTTCCAATTGAATGTTGCAGGAATTTTTATCATGCTTATGAAGTAATCAGATATATGTTAGTTTAATCCTGTTTAGTAATTTACGTAATCGCTAAGTCGAATGAAAGATAACAAAGGACAGTTCTTTCTCGGAGACGGTGTTATTGGCTTATTTTTCGGTTCTACAGCATACTAAAAGACTTCAACAGTGTATATATATGTGATATATCCGCCAAAAAAGGGACTCTCTTTTTTCCCGTGGAAAAAAAGTAATTTATGAAAAATGTCATTTTATAACCCGGCACAGAATAATAGTTATTTATTTCACTAGGCAGTAAATCCGCGGCTGATAGTTCATAGCCGAGCGTAGCGAGCCTACGAATTCAGCCAAGGCAGTTAATCTACATTTGCTGCCGTGTGAAACAGAATTTTCTCTCCAAATGATATAGAACCAATTTTGTGTATTTTTTTTTATCGAAAACTCCATCATTTCTTGTTCACCCAATATGTCAGTGTCAATTTTGATTACTAATTTCATTAGAATTTCTTGGAACGTTGCATAGCAACAAACATATTCTGCCGCTTGGGGAAAATATTCATTATTTGGTGGCGGCGCAGCAGCATCGTAATAGTAAGCCCCCGGCATGAGTGAGTATAAATCCGGCACTGACCCTGAACCAAACATCATTTTCACACCTTTTCCAGTTGTATTTCAGAAACTGTCATTTGATATTCAATTGACCCTTTCTGAACTTCCATTGTATATTCTGAAATCCAATTGTTTATTTCTAAATACAATTGACGCTTTCTAAAATTGAATTGACTCAATTGACTATTCTGAAATACAATTGGCGCCTTCAGAGATTTAATTGATCTTTTCTTTCACAAGTGTATTTGTCCACATCAGCAACAAACCAAATTGGCCTCGACGATCTCATTTTGAAATTCAAAAGAATAAACGCAGAGAAGATGTCAGATAGATGGCACCATTACTGTATAAATAATCCGACAAGATATACTAAAATTCACCCTGACATCCCCCCGAAGTTCTGGCATTCTGACTTCAATCTCTCCAGAAGATGTATAACTGTCTACAATAGACTTAAATTTGGGCATGGTTGCTATACCCTGCCTTTCTAGCCAGAATAGGGATAACCAACTCGGACTTATGCGAGCTTTGCAATGTGAAGGGTGATCTAGATCACATATTTTTCAGCTGCAGAACCACAAGACAAGAAAGCCAAGAGCTCTACTCTGATCTTTTGAATATGAAAACTCCCACTCCCATCAATTTGCTTAACCTCTTAGCCCTTAATGATAAGAAAATAACTCAAAGTATCATAAAATTCATACAGAAAACGGGATTGAAGATTTGAATGGAAGTAGTTCAGCTTCGTTCCTCTGTGTTCTACCTTATGTGTTATATACCCTCTTTCAGCGATCTAGTGTTGAGTGTTTCATAAATGAAATGCCATGATGGACCCCTTGGCGAGAAGAAACCTTGTGATCCCTTGTTCTTCCTGGTGTTTTTCTTCTTTCAAAGTTTCCAATTTTGCTGGTAACCTTTAGGATCAATATGAAATAAAAAAACTGTGACTGGCTGTATGGACCATGTCCGAATGCAAAAAAAAAAGTGTTTTTCTGAAATTGAATCGACTATTCTGAAATACGAATGATGCCTTCTGAAACTCAATTGACTATTCTGGAATATAATTGATAGATACTTTCTGAAATACAAGTGCTATCCAGATATTGAATTGACTATTCCGAAATACAATTGGAGCCTTTGGAAATTCAATTGACGCCTCCTGAAATTCAATTGACTCTATTACCAAATATAATTGATACTTTCTTTCACAAGAATTTTCTGGAATTGAATCGACTATTCTGAAATACAAATGACGCCTTCTGAAACTCAATTGACTATTCTGAAATATTATTGATACTTTCTGAAATACAAGTGTTATTCTGAAATAGAATTGACTATTCTGAAATACAATTGGCGCCTTCTGAAATTCAATTGGCTATTCTGAACTACAATTGATACTTTCTCAAATTCAATTGATAATTCTGAAATTCAATTGACGCTTTCTGAAATTCAATTGACTATTCTGAAATACAATTTGTGCCTTCTGAAATTCAATTGACTATTCTGAAGAACAATCGATACTTTCTGAAATTCAATTGATTATTCTGAAATAAAATTGACGCGATCTGAATTTTTATTGGCGTTTTCTGAAATACAACTGAAAAAAGTGTAGTTTTTTCTGTATTGTTTTTAGTTATTTTGGAGCTGTTGTACACATTGCCAAAGGATCATTGGGTACAGGAGTACTAGCAGTTCCTAGGGCCTTCAAAACTGCTGGCCTTCTCGTTGGTACCATCGGTACAGTTTTAGTAGGAATTCTCTGCACTTATAATGTGCACTTATTGGTGAGTTCTCTTCTGATAACAAAATTCGTCCTCCTGTAGTTGATTTTCTAATTACAATAATTAGGTTTCAGCATCTCTGAAAATATGTGTGAAGACGAAAACTCCAAGTTTGGGATTCTCAGAGTCTGTTGAAGAGATTTTCAAGAATGGACCAATGCCAATAAGATCCTGGTCGAAATTTGCCAAGTAAGTTCTTCACCAAAAAAATACTTCAATTCGAAAAGGCGATGAAATAATGTTCGAAACATTTCAAATTAGTTCATGAGGGTTGATCAACATCTGCACTTAATTGTACAGGGCGTCCCAGAATAACGTTCGTATACTCCAGGAGGCTATTCTGCAGATAAAATTGAGAAAACAATCTGTCTATCAACTTGTGTCCAAAAATGCTTCCTAAAACCGCTATAGACCTTTGAAGGTGATTCCTTAAATGCGGGCTTCTTCAATTACAAATAAATTCTTGATACGGAAAACAATTGAATACTGATGAACGATTCCATGATTTTGTACTGGCTTTTGAAGTCACATCGTTCAACAAATTCATTCAAATCCATTTTTTGCATATCAGTGAGTTGGAAGAGGCCCTATTCGATGAAAAATTCCAGGACCGGACTTTCCTTGAAAAGACCTTTCAAAACATGGAATTTTGTTTATCGCTTGGAACGCACGAAAGGAAATCCCTACAATGTTCAAATAACATCGTGCGTTCCTAGGGAGGATAGGGACAGGAGATATGTATTGGAATTTCATTTGAACTTCTGGAGATTATATGTTGTTGGGAATACCTCCTCAGGCAATGAATTCCAGAGCCTATCCGTTCTATGGATGAAGGAGTTTTGATAAAGTGCTGTTCGACATCTTTCGAGCTTGACAACGAAAGGATGTGCTGACTGGGTTGTCTAGTTCGTCTGACTGGTATTGCTAGTGAAGGGATGATAGCAGAGATTTCCGAAGAACATTTCCCGTGGAATTATCGATAAAAAAGTGGAAGGTCGCCGACCTTCCTACGGTATTCCAATGATGTCAAAGAGTGAGTGAGTGTGGCGTCACCCACCAGGCGAATGGCTCTTCTCTGGATGGAATCTAAGAGCATCAGCGTATGTTTTGGTGCTGAACCCCATATGTGGTAACTGTATTCTAGAACAGGCCGTATCTGTGGTTTGTAGATCATGAGAAGCCGTTGAGGTGTAAAGTAGCTTTTCGCACGGAACAAGAATCCGAGTTTTTGTGAAGCACGATGTTCTTCGAACTTTATAGGAATTTCCTTTCGTGCGCTCAAAGGGATGAAAAAAAGAAGAAAAATGATTGCCTAGGTAAAATATTTTTCCCGAATCAGATATACGTGCTAACTCATTCATATTAAAAATTTTGAGGTAATATTGAATATGATCGCATTGCATGTGAACTAACTCTCTATCAATCAGCGAATCAAATTGTGAGTTTGGCATGTTTTCATTATTCAGAAACCACAACAAAGGAAGGCTGTGATGCGAGGATGTATGAAAATGGATTGAAATAGGTATAATCTCTTAAAAGGATGTGGTACCTCGACATTACTCAAAATAATCGCTAGATAGGTCGTGTATTTGTAAAAGGAAATCTTGAGAATCTCTGTTGGAAAAAACAGACAAATCTTTTTCGAAAATTATGTTTGGTAATTCTTTCCAAACACCAAGTCCGGTCCTGAATTGTTTTTAATAATACCATTTCTCAAGTCTGCTGCTATATCATATGCAAAAAACTGATTCGAAAACTTTTAGTCGAATTTAGTGAGTAATGGCTCGGACGAAATCGAAGAAATATGCATCTGAATTCTGTTTGATATTTTTTCACCAATTCGGTCGAAGTGTGCCTTACAAATTGAAAAGCTACACTTGTAGTGTTTTTCCTGATCTTTCCGATTCTGATAGAAGTTTTTGAAAATTCGATTCAGAAAGTCGAAATTTTGACATTTGAAAAGAAAATGAGTTTTCTAAGTCCAGCTCCGGAATTTTCCTTACATAGTGGGTCATCGTGTGGAGTGTAAGAAAAGGTAGATTTCTGGAGAATTTCAAGCAAAAACATTCCTGAAATATCGTTCATCAAAGTTTCGCCCCGAATTCAAATAATACCCTGTATTTCTGTTACGAATATACGTATAATACGCAGAATATATTCTTTCACATATATATCAACTCACCTCGACTACCGCTATTCGCCATTGGGCTATGGCTGGTTAGGCATGACTCACCCTGTAGAAATAATTTGGGTCCAATCAACTTATATTGATTACACGTGGTAGCTTTGTGTCCCAGGAATATTGGGACACCCTGTATAAGCTCTTCATATGATGATAAATACAAAATATGAATAATCAACGACTTATTCTGTGTCAGTGCAACTTAGTAAATCATTTTTTTCAGAATATTCGTGGAAATTGCTTTGTGTCTCACATATTATCTTGCTATTGCTGTCTATGCAGTCTTCATATCCGAATCTCTAACGAAGGTGAGTAATTTCGAAAATATACCTACTTACTTAACAATTATCTAATACATAATAATTGCTATAGTCAATAAGATTACATAATTATAGACATTTGGTAGTTAACAATAATTATATAATCTGTATCTTCTTCCTTACGAAAAGAAATGGTTTTTAATGATTTCATTCACATTCAAAATCCTTAGAAGCGATTTTTTTAGAAAAAAATCTGCATACATCACTGGAATTGGCGTCTTCTGAAATAGATATGTACCAAGTTTCATTAAAAAATATTCAGCATTAACGAATCTACAGCGTGTCTCATTTCAAACGGCTCTTCTCCTTTGTATTTTAGCAATATTCCTGAAATTTCGAACATCGAATGTGCTCACTAGAGGGCTCTTTCTCACATTTCATCAATTGCTTTTAGATCTTCTGGTTTCCTTGGAAATTATATCAACTTTCGATTTTCAAATGGAACACCCTGTATTTTATTAATATAACGAATTAGGCCAGCGTAGCCTCGTGGTTAGAGCTTCAATGTTCTATCCATGTTGGATTACCGGTAGTGGGTTCGAGTCCCACCACGACCGCAGACATTTTTCTGATGGCCTCAGAAAGTGTTTGGGATCACACGGAAACTAAACAGGTATAAGAATAAATACAGTTCGTCCATGTTATCTGTGTTTATAAAAAGGAGACGGAAAAAAATTCGGTTGTTGCCACGTCTAATCTTCCGAATTGCTGTTTATGTTGGTTTTTGAACACTTATTGAAATAAAAAGTTATATTTTCGTGTGTTTTTTTCTATCTGAACAAATTAAGATAAATAGAGATTTTTCTAATTATCTCGAAAACGAATCGACCGATTTTAAAAAATCAAACGCCACAATAAAGGAATTAAAAAGACCTTTCAAATGAGCTATCACTCGATACTCCTTATCATTTAAGATTTTTAGGGGGGTAGCTCCTAAGGGCAGGGGGTAAAAGGAGGCGAAGCAATTTTTGCTTAAAAAGTTGTCCCCCTCGATAAATTTTTTTACGTGTTTTGGAGATTTTTTTAAAAACCTTCATGTTTCGAGGAATTCGAGGTGGGAAGTTTTCAAATGAACACCCTGTATATTAAAACTATAGTAATTGAAAACCATAGCCATTGCCAGGAACCAGTAGATGAACATATAGCAAGAATCAACTTCAAATCATTATATTATATTATATATCGATCTTAATCAAAGTAGTCTTAATAAACACTATGAAATACCTATAATGAGTATACTTGCTTTACAGACTTTCTGAACTTGTCATGTCTGTATCTTGTATCTTTTTTTTTCGGTCCGGGTAATTAGCTGGTGTCGTTCTACCACCCGCCCGCCTCCTCATGGAACCTCTACTTCATCCTCGTCCTCTTCGTCCTGCTGGTCGTCTGCTGTCAGATCAGAGAGTTGAAACGGCTGGTGCCCTTCTCGGTGGTGGCCAATATGGCGATGGTCACCGCCTTCCTCATCACCCTGTATTACATGTGCGAGAGGATGGCCAAGGTGAACGTCGCTGAGCGCCATCTGGCGACGAGTTTGAGCGCCATTCCTTCTTACTTCAGCACCGTCCTGTTCGCCATGGAGGTAAAGACTTATTTCTCTTGAGAAGGAATATTCTCAGATATATTTATGAACACAAAAAAAAATGATATTTATATAAAGAAATACATTGAGAATTCGCATTCTCTATGTGATGAAAATATTAATTCTTTATCAGATTATTCAACAGAAAACAACTACTTTCCTGGCTATATGCCACGACAAATATTGAATTACATCTATTGAACACACACGATAAGAATTGGAAAACAAAATCTCCTGAGGTAGAGAATTTGCATTCTCCATCATATGAAGATATGCGTATAATATCATTCTGAATAGTCAACAGAAAACAACTACTTTCCTGGCTATTTGCCACGTCGAACATAGAATTATATCTTCAGTAACCTGAAGTCCAGTTATTCCTTCAGCCAGTTTTCATCTCCCTATAATATAACTTATTCTATAACGACCTGAAATCTGTGAATTATAATTTGTTGACATTACCACTGTCATCGGGCATTTGTTTTGATGAGGATATGATATCCGAAATGAGTTTTACTTGAGTTAAGTCATATAACCTGTTTGTGATGAGAGATATAATTTCCATATCACTGATACGAATGATTTTCTTTGGAAGTTCCAAGCTCATCAAGATCTGAGTTCATACAAGTATACTTCTCCTATACCTTTCAATTTTCATTTCAATGCTGAACATATCGGTAAGTTATATTTTTATATCATAATACATCATATATTCTATTCGATTTGAGAGATAATGTCAATTCTCAATTTCAGAGGATTTTTATTTTTCATGCTCTCTTTTTGGATATTCAACAGGTATAATTCAATGTTCGACTTGGCAAATAGCCAGGAAAGTAGTTGTTTTCTGTTGAATATTCAGAATTATATTATATGCATATCTTCATATGAAGGAGAATGCAAATTCTCTGCTTCAGAAGATTTTGTTTTCAAATTTCTTATCGTGTGTGTTCCATATATAGATGTAATTCAATATTTGTCGTGGCATATCGCCAGGGCAGTAGTTATTTTCTGTTGAATAAACCGTGAAAGAATTGATATTTTCATCACACTTTCACCCAATCAAGGGGTTCAAACTTGAACGATGGAAACTTGTTATTTTTATAGACCTCAATCGCAGATTCGTGATTAGGTTTTCTCAATTCAGAATTTCTTTCCACGTCCTGTATGATGAATATCAATTTATCATACATCCAATAACTTATTTCTCGGTATGTACAGGCTGTTCCATTTAATATATCCTTACGGAATATTGTACCGTCGCAACCCAGATGGTTTTAGCAGGTTATACGGCACTATTGAGAACAAACGGTGCCTCCACCATGTGTGGCAACTCAGAATGTCGACCCTCCTATAGGTCGTAACTTAGCTACTCGATTGGCCTTTCGACTTGATGAGAGGTTTTTGATCATTTCACCACACAACCATATTAATTCCCAAATAAAGAGTCACTACAGTTTTCATTTAAAATTGACATTTATTATATCGAAGACTGGAACCTTTGGCATACTACACAATCAACGGTCAATTACCATTCTTATATGAACTCAAAAATGGCGGAAACAATTTAGAATTTGATGTTTTTAGAAAAGAAACTAGCACATTCAGATACATAACTAATGACTCCAAAATCACTGTTTTCAACACAAAATGGCAAGTTAAAATTTTCCAGTACATAGAATAGTTTTTTTCCTCTGGGCAAACAAAAATTCGATGTTGAAAGGAGTGTTGTTTATGAAGTGGCTGGCGTCAATTGTAATGATATCAAAATAGTAGATAAATTAATACGTATAAGTACATGAATTTACGTTATCATTCCAGGACTTCTACGACTTTTCAAGCGGATAAAAATAATCAGAGAAAAATCCCAATCCGTTCCAATCCCAAGTACACAAGAGGTCTTGATAAGGTTTTCAGAGACTTAGGTTTTGATAGCGTTTATCAGTCTGGGTCAAAGTTAGGTAATTTATTAGGTAATTCAAAAGATGAGGTGGATACACTTGGGAAGTCAGAAATATATGAAATCAGTTGTATTGATTGTGATAAAACATATATAGGTCAAACCAGGCGTCCCATGAAAACAAGGTTCAAAGAACACTTAGCACATTTGAAATATGGTAGGTTAGATAAATCGTGTGTAGCTGAACCCATCTACAATCACACAATCATAACACACATATCATTAACATCAAATGAGCAAATTGATAATGTTAGCAAATTAGATGGATATGATGATAGCTTCGAGATATTCAAGAATAGTGATGGAGTAATGAATAAGGATATAATGGACCTATCTCATTTAGCCCTCTGTATATTTTAGTAATATAATATGTGAATTGTGAACTCAACCATGAATAAAATTAACTTGGCGATTATTGTCTATTCACGGTTGGATGGACATATTCTTAGTATATAAGTAGCTCACTAGGATAGAGCATTTAGTTTTCATATTTTCCTGAAGATGCTAACATAGTTAGCAAAACACGAGTTGACATTTATTGATTAAATTGGAAAGTCATCAATAAATGCTGCCACATGATGGCAGGTTAGCAGAGACGAACCATAGTGAATTGTCAAATGAAACACAACAGAACACATGAAAAAATAGCATAATATACCGGGTGGCTACGGAAGTATTGCCTACGGAATATCTCAGTTATTGTATGGAGTAGGTTTGTGAAATTTGGAGCGTCGATATAATGACATAAGAGCTAGAATTTGAGCATATTGACATGTCGAAGTTAACTTCCGGTCTGACCGGAAGTAACATAAACTTTCTTATTTTGAATGGAAACCCTGTTTTTTTTTCTTTTCGCTTTATTCAGCATTCAATTCCCTTTCTAATGACATATCACAAGTTGGTATCTAACCAGAAACTAGATCAGAAAAAATTATTAATAAAATATAAATCTGTTTTTTTGTTATTTGAAGAATAATTGGATTTTTTGGTATTTCATTTCAAAAAATGACTTTCTATTATATCATTAGAAAGAAATGGTTATGCTGAATAGTACAGGCAAGAAAAAGTTGTATGTTCCTATTTAAGTTATGGACCTACAAGAGTATTGTTTTTTTTTTTCAATTTTTCCAATAATTTTTTTGGCGGCTTTTTATAACGCCGACGAATGAAAATAAAATATCACAGTAGTAGCAACTGTTATCAAGTGACGTATGGTTTCCATAGCGAACTTTTCAATTTTTGGCTTTCATTTTGCTTCCACGGCCTACTCGGTGAATTTCAATAATATTTTTTTTCTGATCTAGTTTCTGGTTAGATACCAACTTGTGATATATCATTAGAAAGGGAATTGAATGCTGAATAAAGCGAAAAGAAAAAAAATAGGGTTTCCATTTAAAATAAGAAAGTTGATTTTACTTCCGGTCAGACCGGAAGTTAACTTCGACATGTCGATACGCTCAAATTCTAGCTCTTATGTCGTTATATCGACGCTCCAAATTTCACAAACCTACTTCATACAATAAGTGAGATATTCCGTAGGCAATACTTCCGTAGCCACTCGGTATGTTACTTCGGGGCATAGATTAATCTATGTTCGGGGAGACGGCGAACATTTTGACAACGACTCGTGAGAAAGTCAATCACCGAGTATGTAATGAATGACGAATAAAATGAATTCGAGTTATTGAATCATGAGTGAATTAATTATTAATAAAATGCCATCTTTATCGATTCGGGTACTACCTATTTATATTTGATATCGATGCTAGGTGTGCAATTTTCCGCAATGGGAATGGCCGTTACCGGGCGGTATTGCTTGCCTAGGTAGTTTCGCATGGTAAGCGGTTTACAAATATCACAGGAACTAAAAAGTCTATGAACTCCGCTGACCGAACGAAACTACACTAAATTGTTTCGTTACAATTCTAAGAAAGACATTTGTTGTTTTCGCAAGCGAAAAAAATTTGTTAATTTTTGTGAATGTGAATTTTCTAGTATTACCGGGATAAAAAGTACCATATATGTTCATAGACCTATTAGGTTTATGCATATAATATGCCCGTCGTCTGCTGGTGATAATAAGCTACCTCTCTCCACCAATTTTCAGCCAAATCGGTTCAGCCGCTCTTGAGTTATGAATGGTTAACAAATTTTGGACTTCATTTTAAATACTACGAGGTGTTTTTGAAATAAGCGCATATATTCCTAATTTTTTCGATTATGTAACTCTTCCCGACCCCTTGGTATGTCATAACTGAAAAACTTCCAATAGTTTCGAAAAATGAATATTCCGATCGAAAATCGGTTGAGTTGCAAACAAGTTATCGCATTTCAAAAAACGTCGACAATTTGACTGGTTCACTTAATTCTTTATGCACTTTATTTTGACAGGGCATCGGCACCATTCTACCAGTGGAGAACTCGATGTCCGAGGGGCGATTTTTGGGATTCGGGGGCGCTCTGAATCTCGCCATGGCCTTCGTGGTCACGTGTCACACAACCATCGGCTTCTGCGGGTATTACGCCTTCGGTGAGGACACCAAAGCTGCCATCACCCAAAATCTGCCCTCCGACGAAATGTGAGTACCCAAACCCGAACAATAGTCTAGCTATCTAAACCAGCGAATCTTTGAAAACTTGAGGTTATCAGAAGGTTATACGGTATTATGAGGAAGGAAAATATCACTTCTTCATGAAAAAGGAAAGTAATTCCAACCAAACTTGTCCTGAATGAACCTTTTTCCTGAAAAGTATATTTGTGAAAAATTACTTGAGTGAAAGAAATCAAAGATAAATTGACGCCTCGCAGGGATTGAACCCCATCAGTCACCACCGTGGAAGGCAGATACACAGATAACTGAGCTAATGCTATACTCGTAGTAGAGAATTGTAGTAGTGGTAGTGTCTCAATATAAGAGACCCAGACAGCACACGACGTCCCGAGAATGTACATATTAGAATGTACCATCCCTCAGAATATTCTCACAATATGATACAAATATTCTAGGAAGGTCTTTAAACATTCGGAATGGACTGTTTCAAATATTCCGAGAATATTCCCAGCATTGAAGGAGAAGGGAGACAATTTTTACGAACCTGAACTTATACCACTTCGCCACGAACCTTATTGATAAATAACATTAATATCAAGATGACAACACTGAATTAGTAGCATAATCAGCATCGAGGCTATAGAATAATAGGTTGTGTCAGGGTAAATATTATGAATATTGATACAATAAGAAAAGGAAAATCAATATCATATATATTTTGATACGACTCGGAATATTCTCAGATTATTCAGAAAGAATATTCTTAGAAATTGAGTGTTCATAGAATATTTTTTGCAGAATGAGAATATTCTATGATCATTCTGGGAACATTATTATAAGAATATTCCAAAATGAGTATAATTGAACGTTGTCAGAATATTCATAGAATATGTTGTGCTTTCTGGGATATGAGGAAGAAAAATATCCCTTCTGCATGAAAGTATATTATTTAAAAATTACTTGAGTGAAAGAAATTTGAAATAAATTGACGCCTCGCAGGTATTGAACCCCAGTCATCACCGCGGAAGGCAGATACACAGGCAACTGAGGTATTGCTTCACTCCTAGTAATTTTAGTAGTCGTCGTAGTTTCTCAATATAGAGACCAAGACAGCACACGACGTCCCGAGAACGTACATATTACGTCCGATTCAAGTCCGTACGTCCCGAGCCAAATATGGACGTCCTCAGAACGTACCATCCCGTACGTCTTCGGGAAGTACAGAGCGAACGTTCTCAGGACGTCTATATTTAGTCTTACATTTTCCTATATTCATTATATCCACTTTATATTCATTCTATTTTTCAATGATTATAAAACATATTGCCAAATATGTGATCAAATGGAGTGAACGTTTTACTTCATAATATTATGTTGGATAATTCAGAAGGACATTATCGCAATGTTATTTCAACAATATTACAAATACAAATACAAATACAAATACAAATATATTTATTAGTACTCGCAACAGCGGCCATACAACAGATGGATGTACACGTCATTTTTTTTTTGCGAACAGTTTGATAAAAAATACATGTAGATACACAATAAATAGTAATAATACATAAATACAAAAAGAATTGTGAAAATAATACCTACACAAACATATTTAAATTCACTCTATTGAGTCGTCAAGGAACTCACTCACGGCATAATATGCCTTTCGTAACAATATTTTTTTAATTTCTTTCTTGAATGAATTACGGTTCATGTTTTGTATGTTGATGGGGAGTTTGTTAAATAACTTTGCACCAACATATTCTGGACTTTTCTCAAATTTTGTCAGCCTGTGTTTTGATACACTTAATGAGCTAGCATTTCTTGTAGGGTAATTATGATAATAGGAGTTCTGTTTAAATTTATAGAAGTTTTCTTTCACGTATATGAGTACTTTATAGATATACACGCAAGGAAATGTCAATATCTCTTTCTGGATGAAGGTGGATTTACAACTATCTCTAAATTTCATATCAAACATGAGCCTTAGAATTCGTTTCTGGCTGATAAATATCCTTTCGGAATTGGTGCAGTCTCCCCATAAGATGACATTATAAGACATGTGGCTATATACAAGTGAATAGTACATATCAACAAGTACTTTTCTGTCCACAGCTTTTTTTAATTTCAGTATTGCGAAAAACCCACAATTGAGTTTTTTCAGAACATGTTGTATGTGATTATCCCATGTCATATTCTGGTCAAGATATAGACCTAAAAATTTAGTTGATTCTGAATGAATAACTTCTGTAGATGCTAAGCTAGGACTATTCTTCGTATATTTGAATTGAAGGTAAACTGTTTTTTCGACATTCAGTAAGAGGTTATTAGCACCGCACCATATTCTGAAGGAATTTGTCACATTTGTCATTGTAATTTTAAGTTCTTCCAGGGTGTTTTCTGAGACCACTACTGAAGAGTCATCCGCAAACATCGTGATCTGTCCATTGGTTACATGGTCAGGCATATCATTGACAAAAAGTATGAATAGTAGTGGTCCCAGCACCGACCCTTGTGGAACACCAATATCCATACAGTATTGTTCTGAAACTTCATTGTTTATTTGTACATACGCCTTCCTTTCAGTCAGATAGGATTCTAAGACATCGAGAATTTTTCCCCGTATTCCATTTCTATTAAGTTTTTCTAGGATGAATGATATTTTTAAACTGTCGAAGGCACAGGAAAGATCAAAGAAGATGCCACCTACGTATCTGCCGGCATCGATATTAGCATATACACTTTCCATGAATTCACATGCAGCACTCTCCGTTGATCTTCCGGTACGAAATCCATGTTGTCGAGGAGAGAGTATTTTGTTTGTATCGAGAAAGTCAACAATTCTTTCATGATACGCACGTTCAAAAATTTTGGAAATAACATTTAAAATTGTCACCTGCCTATAATTGTCTGAAAAATATTTGTGTTATCTAATATGTTTAGTGGGGCGTTATCTCTTTATATTTCAGTTTCATTCATTTATGAACGTTTGGGGGAATGACATTGAGGTTAGTATATTTATTTATATAATTCTATTATTGTTTGTCAGTCCCGCCCAAGTGGTCCAGGGCTGCATCTCCGCCTCGATGTTCTTCACGTTCATGTTGAACCATCATGTGCCGACGGAGATCCTGTGGCGTCGGTTGCAGCCCTACGTGCCCACGGGCAAAGAGGGCGTGGCTCAGGTGAGAAATGTCTCAATTTTTCGAACCATATTCCCAGGCAAACAGATGACGTTCCAGTGAAGTTTTTTTTACCTCACTTGAATGACCAAGGTGACGTGATAATGACGTGAATAAGTCACAGCCCAATGACGTCATATTACTCACGTCGTATTGACGTCATTCACTCACCAAACTGTGACGTCCGACTGAGGTCATAATGATGTCAAAATGACGATTAAATTTGGCGATGATACGTAAAAAAGATTCCTTTAAAATGGTGTGATAAACACCACTGACCTCTGAAGACATTATATAATATTGATTATGCATTGTTGAGTCTGCTTGGTGAGTCCCTCCTATGTAATGTTCATTCAATCGCCTATTCAGCAGCGCTACCCTTCAGTACGCATCTCCATCAGAATGCAATCAGTTACTCGTATTTGTATCAAAATTTATGTAGTTTGTGTCGGCGAGATGTAAGCAAACAAAGAATAGTTTGATAGCAATAATGGAAAGGATGTTGGAGAATTTGGCTCCACTTATTTGTTGATTAATGTATATTGATGCATTCTTTGTCACCCAACAAAAATCTAAATGGCGATAAAAAAAAATATATAGGTATAGCTTAACAATCATGTGTATATTTACATAGCTTGTTGGTTTCCGAGATAGAGAGTGTGTCAAAGTTTTTTAGAAAAAAGTTTTCACTTATACTGTTCGGGTATATTAGTAATTCCAATAAAACTTGAATGTTGATTTGCTTTCATGAGTTATACTTCTGTTTCACATGATGATATATAAGTATCCATGGTTTAGAGAAGGTCTGGGAAAAATAGACGTCGACAGGACGTCTCTCTGCAACGTCATGAAACTGACGACGTCTTCTTTTACCCATCTAAGTGACGTTCACTCGACGTCGAAACGATGACGTGATTATCACGTCATAGAAAGTACGTCATAGTGACGTCATAAATTGGTGTGTGACGTCTCTGACGAAAAATCACCAATTAGGGACGTCACAGTGACGTGATCATTCGTCATCTGGTTGCCTGCAGGGATTCCCAGCAAACATCGTGTACCTCTGGCCGCCTTCTGGCCCAATGCATGATCAGTCGGCAGAGTGCTGGCAACGGCTGAGCTGCAACGGGCGAATGTCGGCCCAATGTATGGTATATTGTAATCGTTTATCCATATAATACAGCCAGCACTGGACCAGTAGTATCAAATCGTGATGCCATTTCATTACGTCGTCTAAACTTCGACCCTTTGTATGGTATATTGAAATCATTCAACTATAATTCAGCCGGCACCGGGCCAATAAAAGGCATCCTGTGTAATTTCGATTAAAAGATATCTATCTTCATGATGAAGAAATTCAAAGCGTAATATTGGGAAACCCTTAATTAGTTAGTACATATAATATAAGATACGATTGTAAATAATGAAATATTTTGCAAACTCTATGATTAATAATAGTTTTGTAACGTAGATATACAGGGTGGGTCACGGTAGATGGCACCTTAGACGTTTACGGAGAACGGGACATAAGATCATTCTGAAAATTTGGTTACTCAAGTAATTGCTCTTGATCTATCGATCTAAAATATTTTCAGCTCTGCGGCGTTGCCGCTTCTATCGAAAAGTAGCAACAACTTTGTTATTTTAAATGGAACACCCTGTATTTTATTGCATCTTCAGATTCTCTCTGAAGAGCTGATTTCATCGATATATCACACTTGGGGTCTAGCGGAAATGATTACAGAGATATAGGGTGTGAAAAATCGACATTTTTCAACTTAAGGAATTTTTTAGTCGAAACTATTCATCATTGGTCAAAACGGCTTACATGTCCCTATCTCAACTTTTGATTAACTATCTACTGATATTTAATTGGGACATATACCGGGGTGATCAAGAATCTGAATTCTGCACCACCCTGTATTTGTTTCAATTAAATGTCAGTAGATAGTTGATCAAAAGTTGGGAAAGGGACATGTGAGCCGTTTTGACCAATAATGAATAGTTTCGACAAAAAAAATCCTAAAGTTGAAAAATGTAGATTTTTCACACCCTATATCTAATCATTTTCGCTAGACCCCAAGTGTGATACATCGATGAAATCAGCTCTTCAGAGAGAATCTGAAAATGCGATAAAATACAGGGTGTTCCATTTAAAATAACAAAGTTGTTGCTACTTTTCGATAGAAGCGGCAACGCCGCAGAGCTGAAAATATTTTAGATCGATAGATCAAGAGCAATTACTTGAGTAACCAAATTTTCAGAATGATCTTATGTCCCGTTCTCCGTAAACGTCTAAGGTGCCATCGACCGTGACCCACCCTGTATAGTAGGTGAATTAAGTAAACGTAATTGTTGGATGTTGACAAACGAAGTCTCCCCACTTTCAACACTGTAATCTATAATAAAATAGGTCTTAGGTATATTTTCATCATCTTCTATAGTGTTACATATATATAAAGTGATCCTTTCGACAGTGATGGAGGAATAGTAAACGTCACCTATTATATCATTTCGTTCTTCAACATTCCGTTGTATATATTACGTATAGGCATTGTTGATCTAAATGCAAACCTAGTAGGCGACCTAGTGCGAGGACGTATACCGATACTTGCTCGCTGATAGGTGAATAAACTTACCACCTAATGGAGTCATCATATTTTACTAAGAAATTCAAAACTATCCCAGATTGGAAATTTTTGTCCCTGTTATGATATGATTATTAAAAATATTCATTGATAGTATACTCATAAGTCATCCGTAGTAGTAATATTTATTATTCCGTGACCAAATATATATATATAGGACATGTCAACAGTTGTGTATAATATATTTATATACAGAGTGAGTTTTCAGTTGATGCAGTTTTTCTGCGCCCTGAATGAATAAATCTTTCACTGAGCCAGTTTCGTTAAACTTTTTTAATAATTTACTGCCAGTAGATCTTGTTATGGGATTTCGGTGAGGATATAAATTATTGAAGATATTACACTTTTCTTGTTGACTTCTACGCATATCACCATATCCTAATATCATTAAAATCTCATTTCGTTCTTTTTCAGATATACGATCTATTGTGACTTTCACTGAACACCAACAATACTAATTTATTGAAACGTCAAAGTTGTTATTGTAGCAGTCATAGCCATATCTAACTGTATTATTTTAACTTCGGCGAAGATAATGTAAAGCTATAACTCCGAAATCATGGCATTAAAAGGTATAGGAAACATGACACGAAAAATATTCAGTATTTCTTAAGGATTTCAAAATGAAAAAAATATACAGGGTGATTCATTTGAAATAACAAAGATCATTATTATTCCGGAAAAAGGAGAGATCTGACAACAATGTAAATACCACCATAATATCGGCCGCATATCACAAGACCCTTGCACACCAAAATCTATAAAAATCGTGCAATCCGTTTCCGAGATAATTGAGGCGTTCCATACATAAAACTCACTTTGTATGTATTTATGAATTCATTATATTAACCCTAGCTGAACCCTTGAACAAACTTTTCCATCTCCACATAAGACACTATACCTCTCCCTATACCTATTAATAACCATCATTAAGAAGTATTCAGGAATTCGACAACACTAAACATTTTGTGAAAAAAAAAATCATAGCAAAAAATTTAATTCCCCCCGAAAAAGCCTGCTGGATCCGCCGCTGCAATCGACTAATATTTCCTGCAAAATTCTATCACTTGTGGTGATTATTACGGTATTACATATGATCATTTTTTGCAATAAAATTGTTTAGGCTGAGTTTGGTCCACTGTGATCATTGGTGTACTGTATGTATAAGTATACTGACGTAGGCAAAAACATAATACGAATTAACACTATTGGCCAATGGGTCCGTAAATAAACTTGATTATTTCGGTTAGTAGTTTTCCGTTCTGTAAGTAAATATCAAATGTTCCTGAAGTCCTGAAGAAAAGGTTATTTATTACGGAACGACCGTCGATTTTCCCTGGTGAGTTCGGTAAGTTTGACTTGACGTTGACGTATTTAAGTTTACGGTTTGATTTTTTGATTTACAACGAAATACAATATTTTCATTTCAGTTATTGCGTCAAGTTCCGATGTATTGGTTTACTGAGGTAAATTATTAATCGATACATTTATTATTTGATGTCGTTTTTTCACTATAGGACAATACATCCCTTGCTTGTGCTTCCTGTGCACAAGAATGGGCTTATATCACGAAAAAATTTTATTTCATAATTCGATAGAACTCACTCGAACTAGCTCACCACCGCAAACCGTTTCTTGCTGTGAGCTCCCTACGTTTTATAAAAAAAATATTGAAATCCCCGATTTTTCGGACCTCTGAAAACGAGGCGATGATGTGACGTCAAAACCCTAATACTGAAACAAGACTATTCCAGACAGAGATGAATGATACATGATTTCTGACAGAGTGTATTAGCGCGAGATCACAGTTGAAAGAATTAATACATCAGTTGCCTCAGTCTCCGTCGGGCGTTTGGTATTTTCTTTTAACTATGGCGAGATGAGGTTTCTACGTCATAAGGAGGTCCGTTTCCAGGAGGTACTATTATTTATGTCCAAAAATAAAACATTCCAGTCAATTTTTCGATCGAATACATGGTTTGAGTTGAAAGTTCTACTAAGGTGTACACGCCCATTAGGGCATTGTCGTTCTAGATGACAATCTAGTTAGGTAATAGTTAGTAGGCATAGGCAAGAGCTATAATACCTCCTCGCACTGGTCGTCTACTAGGTTTCCATTTAGATCGACAATGATTAGGGACTTTGGGTGCCATAACTTAAAATCAAATACTGGCAGAGCATGAATTAATATTTAAAAAATGATCTAAACTATAATTTGACGAATGACTGCGGCATTCCGTAAATAAACCACAATCGTAGTAACCAGTAGATAACCACTGTCAAAATTGTTCGTTCCGGTCCGGTAACCTCGGTTAATTAACGGAATATATTCAATATGTCATACAATGGGCCGACGTTTGAACAGTGCAGCTTGGCAATTTCCACCCATCTGCCGATCTATCATGTACCGGACCAGAAGGCGGCCAGAGATTTGATGTTTGCTAGGCAATCAGAAAATCAGGTTCGGGAATGGTTCGAAAATTTGAAGCTGTCGTTCAATCAGGTGGCGCTACGCTCGTCGACGGTGACGTTTGCCATGTTGGTGGCGGCGGCAGCCAATAAGAACCTCGACGCGCTTATGGACCTGGTGGGGGCGGTCTTCTTCTCCATTTTGGGGCTGTTCGTGCCCGCGGTCGTGGATATCTTGGTGAATTGGTCAGCGTGGGGCAGGTATCACTGGCGGCTGCTCCAGGATGGTGTTTTGATTGTGATGGCTTTGTTCGCTTTGGTTTCCGGTACTTATTATGCTTTGTGATTAAATTGTTTCGAGTATTTGCTGTTTTTTTGAAAACTTCTACCTCTGGAAGTGAGATTTTGAAGTTTTCCATGTGCTCAGATGATCTGCTCTCTTTGCAGTATGACGTTACGTTGAAGTATCCGTCAAACAATAAGATGATGGTCAAAAATCAGCGACGAAATTTACGAAATAGACTCGTTTGATACTTTCATGTGGAAAATGGCTGATTCAAATTCAGATTTCAGAGAAAGCAGCACAAAAAACACAATGGGGGAGACCACTGATTTTTTAAAATGACATTATCGTGAACTCTATACTGGAAAACTACCAGCGAATTAATTTTGAATTTTGTCATGCATGCTAAGACGATGAAAATAATAAATTAGAATATGTCCATTTCAAAACACACAATTCTTGCGCTATTTGAAATTTTGTCAATTCATTGGTGTGACTGGTGCGACGTCTTATTCCCAACACGCGCCTATAGTCCTTGAACTGACCAATCACACTGCAACACTGCAGAATGACGAGGTATCAGAGACAGATAGCTACAGTTCGGGACTAATACGTCACGACTCCACCATCATATTTGGCTGTTTGAAATATCGAATGAAATATGCTGATTTCAAAACGATATAGATTCGATTCCCTTCAACTTTAACTCATAATATTGATTGTACATCAAACGTAAATCATGATTCGTCGATTGAAAGAGGTTTGCACGGATTTCTTCTCTCAGTGGTCTTCCCCATTGTCTTCGTCCATCCATCCATATTTTCATTACATAACTGTTGTTGAAATGAACATTCCATCACCAATTATTTATTTTTTTCACATTACGTAACTATTTACGTAAAGTAAGACGTCCCAAAACTTCCGTCAGTTTTGAAAAGTGTCAGATACATGCCAAAAATAGAAAAACAATTTCTATTCATGCAATAAAATTCTATTTCGAATATTGATCGAAAAGGAGAATGTTTTTTTTTCTAATTTTGACGTGAAAACTGACGGAAATATTGAAACGTTATAAACCAGTAGCGAGAAAAGTAAAATATTTCATAATGGGCTTATATCACAAAAAATTTTCATTTCATAATTCGATAGAACTCTCCCAAACTAGCTCACCACCGCAAACCGTTTATTGCTGTGAGCTCCCTACGTTGTATGAAAAATTATTGAAATCCCCGATTTTTCGGACCTCTGAAAACGAGGCGATGATGTGACGATGTGACGTCAAAAACCTAAAACTGAAACAAGACTATTCCAGACAGAGATGAATGATACATGATTTCTGACAGAGTGAATTAGCGCGAGATCACAGTTATATATCAGTTGCCTCAGTCTCCGTCGGGCGTTTGGTATTTTCTTTTAACTATGGCGAGATGAGGTTCCTACGTCATTATAGGGTCCGTTTTCAGAAGGTACTATTATTTATGTACAAAAATAAAACATTCCAGTAAATTTTTCGATCGAATAATGTCGTCAATCATTATTTATGTATAAAAGGATCATTATAAACATGGTTTGAGTTAAAAGTTCTACTAAGGTGTACACGTCCATTACTGATAAAATTTACATTTCAACGCCAGTTACGGACTAAAAATATGGATGGACAAAGAAAATAGTGCATTTTTGTGCTACTTCCTCGATATCACTTGGGAAATCTGAACTTGAATCAGCCATTTTTTCACTAATATATCAAACGAGTCAATTTCGTTTATTTCGTCGCTGACTTGTGAGGTAATTATTTCTGTTCAAGCGAAATTTTTCATCAAAATTAGAAAAAAATATTGTAGGCGCGTAACTAGTTAGGAAACGCGTCATTCTGTGTGACGACGCAAAACACAGAGAACTGGTTACGTAAATATCTATTATTTCAATACGCAAATAAATTAGCGTCTGCGGACAGCGCAAGTAATAACTCCGTGGTGGGAGAACGTTATAGTGGGCAGTAGATGCGACTGGCGTTATGCGGCGCCGACTGAATGACTTCATCATACTTCGTCTCGTAAGCAACTGGTTGGCTCAGTAAGCAGAGCATCGGCATGCCAAGCTGGAGGGCCGGTGTTCGAATCCGTGCGAGGCTCATCTTTTTTTTATTTTTTTCTTGTTCTCAAGTGATTTCTAAAAAATATTCTCTATGGGAAATAGGTTCATTTAGGGGTTTTTTATGTTTAGGCCAGAGGTGAGGTTCGGTTAGGTTAGGTTAGAATATATTCTATAGAATAGAATATTTTATTTGGTGTTAATAAACATCAAGTTTTACACAGGTCAACGAAACAATAGGTTAGGTTTTCTCATTTTTTATGCAGAAACAATATTTTCCTTCCTCAAGAAAAATTCTCCTTCTTCAAGAAAAAAGGTTCATCTAGGTCGATTGATTGTTAAAAAAAAATTCCTTCCTTATATTAGACTCGACACAAGTTAACTAACGTTCCCCTACCACGGAGTTATTACTTGCGCAGACGCTAGTCGCAAATAATCTAGTAGGTTCTAATTTAAAAGTAGTTAGTATCTCTTGTCCTAAGGACGCACGCAAATGATTATTCTCCAACTTCCATTTTGAAAATTATGTTTTCTCACTCCCACTCTATATAACTACATGTTAGAAACATTTTTCATGAATTGTTGTAGGAAGGTATATGGTGATAGTCATATACAGTGTGAATCAGAATGAGAACGACATACCTTCCTATTCCCAAACAGGACACCTTATTATGTAGGTATTTTCATATTTTTAAATGATATTCTGAATGCAAAACTAGGTGTCCTTGTCACGTTCAACTTCTGCAGAATCTAGATAGATATAATGGAAATAATAACAAATGTCACACATTTGCACTCAGAATGTTATTTTGGGTGCCGCTTCCGGATAAACCAGAAATTGATGAAAGTTGCGCCGTATGTCAATTGTCAAAAATTGTAATATGGCGAACGATAACCTAATATATATATGTATAACTAGGTAGGTACTATATTTTTTCTACTAGCGTGCGAAAAGTTCATTTTTTTGCACTCATTTCAGTGTGGAGTCACTGGTGCGGAAAAGAGGAATGTTTTTTTCCGCATGCTCATATAGAATAAATAGTGTACCTAACACGTGCGTAAAAGTCACTTTCCGCACTTGTTAGGTAAACTAATAAATGAGTGAATTAATGAAACTGCGTTTGCAAGATTATTTTTTCTCTACAAAATTGCACCATATTTTTTTAAGCAAGACTTAATGTAATGTAAGTTGTTTGCATATGATGCCGACTTTAAATGACTGTATATCATTTCATTATCAGATGACAGTCGAAATTTGCAGCCTTGGACTAACACACGACAGTTTCTCATGTGTTGAGCTGAGACTGACAAACTTTAGTGAGTATATCAACTGGTCCAATGAAAACAATTTAATCTTCGAAAAGATAATATTCAAAAGTATATCATCTGCGGAGCTGATCTGCTTCCTTCAGAGAATGTCAACTGTTTCAATGATAACATCTCAATCCAAAAATTAAAAGATTATAGAATTTTCGTAATTTCATTATATTAATCTTCGAAAATAAATAAAAAAAGGGTAAGGTTTACAACGTATCAACCTTACCCTTGGAAAATATTGTTTCTGAGTTTATTTCAAAGTTATTTGAGTTTTACATTGATAAAGGGTGTCCATAATTCATACACCATAATTTTAAAAGTGCATTGTACCAATACAAACCAAAACTCATGAATTTTGATGACATTGAAAGAAGATAGTCATTGATGTCCAGTTGATGATCTGCAGATCAGATTTTCAGATTTCAAAAAGCGTATTTGTCATTGTCAAATATAAATTCGATGATCGCCGCAAAATATCAATCACCTACGTTTTGTTTGTATTGTCAATCGAAAAACTAAGGAATTAAAAATATATAAGGTAGTCTCCATAATATGATATACAGGGTGTCGACACAAGACTAGACTTTTAGAGCTACTAAAAAATTATCTTCAATGAATCGGAATCTGTAATAGATGTATTTCCAGATTGATTCGCTATGCCGAACCAATAATAATCACCATGTATTCATGTATCAGATAACCCCGACAAACCAAAAATTATTGATCAATTCCAATCTAGTACGAAAATCAATTAATACCATCAATATGTACAAACTTAGGATGCGATTGCTAAAAATGATCGCCATTATTCGAATCATTTAAAAATATATCATTCAAACACGTAAAAAAACACAACAATTTCTAACCCGACATTCAATCAACGCTAATCAAACAGCTACCTATAACTTAGATACGACCCTGCAGCTTGCCAAATAAAAACAAGCCCATCTATTAATTATAGTGCAAATTTTTAAATTGAAGAAATGTTGATCTCACTCCTTGCGCACCTTCCTCTTCCTGGTCCCCTCACCTGCAGGTTTGCTGGCTGTTTCACCCTGTCAAAAAAATACTAAATGTCAAGTGGACTGAATTTCCAAAATGATTCGTTCATCATGTAATGCTTTAAATAATTACACTTCCCCAAAAAAATCAACGCACCACCAGAAAGTATCCCAAAGTTTGAGATAAATTTTCGTCCAAACTACTTGTCGGATTTGGATGTTCTTTGTTTTGAATGACAGGTTAGCTCCTTCTGAATATTGAAACTATTTTTTTTTTCTAAAATAGCATCATCACTCAAATACCATTCGTTCTCATATTTTTTTAGAATTTTTCGTTCGATTGCAAGGTGCTAGAATCAACAATGATGCCATGGGGATGGGAAAGTTTCCTTCAGATGAATTTTCACAAAATAAGTTCGGAACTCTCCAGTTTTATGTCCACGCTGTACAGAATGGCGACCGATAAAGTCCAAGTCGTTTTCATTTTCTAATTAAAGCAATTTTTAAGAAGTTAAACTGGTAAACAAAAACATACATAACCACAAATGCACTCGGAGCAGGAATGCAGAAGGTAGTTGGCTTCATTCTGACAGGTTATGGTTTTGTTATTTATGCATTTAATTATCTCGAATAGAGCTCGACCCTAAACGAAAATATCATTGAATCAATGAATCACTATCGGCTACATTCAATGATACTATCCTTCCTAATTTACTGCCATCGGTCAGAACATAATGAAGCCGACACCCATGGCTCCTTCCTCTTGTTGTGCCTGTCAGTATTTTGAGTGGTGTGGACGGACTCGAAGTATAAGGCGCTGTTGCAAAATATAATCTGCAACTTCACTAGAAAATAGATCCGTTTTATTAAAGAACGAATCCAGTAGCAAAAAAATGACTGACAAGTTATGAATAACATATTGTTATATATCGATAGTGAAAAATTATATTCTATCGCAAAATATCATGATTTACCTTTATTAGTAATCAACTTCATACAGCCAATGAGAGATTTATGGGAATTATCCATATATGTACCATTTCTATATATGGCGCATCGCCTACACGATATCTCAACAAAAATGGGACCAAAATGAGAGGTACTTTTTGAATCTATAAGGACGGAAAGTGTGAAGGATGGAAACAGCCATATTGGTTTGACAAGTTCCGTGAAGAACCTATTATATCTCATTGCTGGTATGATATAGTTGTTATGCATTCAAAGAACAATTTCCGGAAATCTGGACATATTGATGATGTCAGCAACGTCGTACTGGCACAGGGAATCGTATTCTAACTCTGTGTGAATGTGGATTTTCAGAAAGTACTTCATAGGAAATGGTGGAGGAGCCAAGTTCCTTTTTTATTCATTTTTTTCCGAAGTGAAATTTGATCTTACGACAAAAAGAAAAAAATCGTGTATATTAATTTTTTACAAACTTCACAGTGAGATAAAAAACCTCAATATAGGAAAGTTCCCCATTTTCAAACAGCTAGAAAATTACCGCGAGTAAAAACTGACGTCATTGAAATCCATAGCAAATGTAAAATCTTCACAAACGATAAGATTTTCACAAAATTCTCAAACACACAACGTGTTTCGCTAACACAGTAGCTTCGTCAGGTGATTCACTGGTACAATGAACGCAGGGGAAATCTTATCGTTTGTGAAGTTTTTAGATTCAGTACATTGTTGCCAAGTTTTCAACATCAACATGATATTTTGTTATGGAGTTATGTTATGGAGAAGACATATTTGGACATGCTGGTTGCTCGAAAAAGTCAATAATAAACTATAACATCATGGCTTCCTCATATTATGTTTCATCTCGTGTTTCGTGTTTTATTCAACGACAGGACTCCAATCTTTTTGATAAATTGATTATAATTGGTGACTTGACAACCTTGCTTCATGAGTGGAAATAGAAGATTATCTGACCAATAACGAAACAGCATAAAAACTGACGTCGACGTATCGCCAAATGAGGGTACGCTTGAAAAAAGCTCTGAAATTCAACAATTTTGAACAACGCAAAGACTCATTATTTACATAAAACGAGCATGAGAAATGTTGCAAAAATTAATTTAGGTCCATAAGGACACAGTGGAGTAATTGAATGCCAATAATTCAATATATTTTTTTTATGTTCTGGTTCCCACTAGAATGGATACCCTGTAATGTTCAGAGAACATCGTGAGAAGCAAGGGAAATGAGGTAGGAATTGGTGTTCTTAAATTTCTGGAGGTTATACGCCTCGGGGAACACCTCCCTTGGCAATGTGTTCCAGAGCCTCGCTGTTCGTTGGATGAACGAGTCTTTGGAAAGAAATGTTCTGCAGGTCTCCAAAGTGACCACGAAGGAGTGCGAAGCCTCAACTCGACGGGTTAATCTCGCGGGGACTGCCAAGAGAGGAACAATTGTTCACTAGTCCATTTTTTGAGGAAGTGTAGTTACAATTTCCACAATTGTTTCCAATGGTTTGAACGATTATTCAGTTTCGTTAGATAATTAATGCAGGTACTACTTCGCCAACTATAGGTTTTTCACAAAGAAAAAAGTAGAGAAGTGATTATTTCTTGAAGCTCATCAATTTCAGCAGCAATAATCAAAAAAAATCAGGAACCGCATACATTATTCGAATTTTTAAGAAAACGATGTTTTTGACTGATCGGAAAATTAACCATAATGAATGCTTTACCTCTACATTCTCATTATCTTCCTCAGAATCCGGTTCTGAATTCTTTTCTTGATCTTCGTCGTTCGCTTCAGTTTCTACTTCTGCTTCGATTTCTTCGTTGGTTTCTTCATCCACGTCTTCAGTCATTTCATCAGTCTTTTTCTTTTCGGCCGCCTCTTGCAGTTCCTCCTTCTCCTAAAGACCCACCACAAAACAGTAATTTGCTGTCAAATACTTTTGATTTCATGGAAGTTCAATTGCTGTACATCGCCCCTAAATCATTAATTTACAGAAGATAATATCCGATGGACCAGTGTAAACTCATGTGGAATTGAATACACATACTGAATGCACTTATTATTAAATAAATTATTTGCAATTGGTGTCAGAGGAAGAATTCATGATTGGTTCAAAAATTATCAATCAAATAGAAAACAATATGTTGAAGTGAGTGGTACTTGTAGCTCCTTAATGAACATCTCATGCGGTGTACCGCAAGGGTCAGTCTTGGGTCCAGTTTTATTTTTAATCTACATAAATTCAATATCAAACTTGGAATTGAGAGGAAAACTTAAATTATTTGCAGATGACACGACATTGATTTATTTCTCCAAAGATTCAAATAATATTATCATGGACATGAAAAGTGATTTAGAGAAAATATCCTCTTGGTTACAAGTTCATAAACTATCTCTCAATTATAACAAATCTTCATATATGTACATAGCAAAAAGAACATTGAACATTTCAAATAGAACACTATCCTTCAACAATAAACTCATCAAATATACAGATGTTACAAAATTTTTAGGTCTTTATATTGATGAACGACTATTGTGGAATAAACATATAGATCATTTGAGAAACGAACTTAATCCTATTACAGGCATTTTATTCAAAATACGAAATTTCATTTTTACTAGATACTTGAAGAGTATTTATTTCTCTCTATCTAACTCAAAATTTCAATACCTAATATCTATATGGGGAAGTATCAATATTTCACGTTTGAGTCCACTAATGAAATTACAAAATAAAACATTGAAGTGTATTTTCAATTTAAATGTTCTCGAACCAACCATGAATTTATACAAACCAAGAGATTTATTAGATCTGACATCACTATATAAACTTAAAATATGTTGTTTTATTCAATTTGTCCCATATAAATTGAAAATTTCGAATTTAAATTTCAATGTAATCAATTCATTACATAATCATGGAACAAGACAATCAAATTTACTAATAGCAAATACGTTCAAGTCAAATATCGGCAAACAATCCATTTTTCACACAGGACTTTTTCTATACAACTCATTACCAAGTCAATTGAGGAATATAGAGGAAGCAACTAGATTCAAAATTAAATTGAAAAAATATCTGCTTCAGCGACTTTGATAATTCCATTTCTTATTTGAATACCTATCGATTCACGAAATTTCCCTAGTGTAAAACGTTTGCAAGTATCCGAAACTACAGGAGTTTTACACTGGTCCATCGGATATTATCTTTCAATATTTGTTACAGCGAATTTTCGAGATACAAATATTTGGAACGAATCAGGCGTTTCCATTTTCAATAAATAGACTTTGATGCCAATAATACAATTATAAACCCAAACATTATTTTTTCGTCGACCTCTACAAAAAATCACATTTTATGTTCTAATTTCCGAACGAAAAACCGACTATTTCCGAAGGCAAGTTCTTTTTGTCCGCTGCAGGATTGCCAGTTCTAGTGAAATTTCAGTAGATCTATTGAAACATTTAATGAAGTACTGAAATATTTTGACACTTATTTATTATTATAATTACCTATATTATTATTAATCTTTAGTTGAACACATACACTCATAAATTGCATTATATTTCGGCATGCTCTGTTTAAATTAATTTTACAAAATAAGTAATAAATGTACCTATAGGTACTAATGATATGTATAAACCAAAAAAGAACAATACTTTATCTGATTCAGATAAAATTAAATTTTTTATATACCTCTGTTATAACAATTTGTTTCTTAGATTTAATTATATTTATTTCAAAGCCTACCAAGTGTCGATATATCATCGAATTCATGTCACAGCCAACTTATTCTTTTTGAATAAAAAGCAATTCAACAGCGAATTAAGAAATGCCACTTTGTGAATTTGTGATACATAGTTGGATAGAGAATTTCAAGGCAAAAAACAAAGACTGAAGAAATGTACAAGATGACATTTAAAAAAAAAGTTGGGGTCACTTCCGGTCAAACAGGTGGTTAAAAAAAAGTTCGTAAAGTGCGCTACCATTTATTATATACTCCCTGTGAATTTCAAAATTTTATCTCTTCAAATAAAAAAACTACACCCGGTATGAATGTTCATTGTCAATGATGTTCAATTGAATCATTCGACAATAGTGATGTAGCATTGAAATGTCTTTTCATCATTACTGAATCAACAATCAAATATGTTCAATACCTGCAGATCTGAATAGCTTCCTTTAACTTTTAGGTAATTTTGAATCTTCCGAAAACGCTGTTTCGTAACGAAGTACTTCTGTATCTCAATCATCGCTTGTATCCAAAGTATCTATGATTTCGGTAATTATTGTAATAATAGTAATAAACTTCAATGAGACGTGACTCGAATATTTGAGGTTATGTCGTACAAGCACAGTTCTGAAAACTCGAACACTGATCGGGCATCGAGCAAGATTGAAAGCCAGTGGAAATCATTTCTCCACGAAAGTTCGCTCTTTAAATTCCTAGTGGACCACTTAAAACGCATTCAATGCCGAAAAAGTTCGAGCTAGTGCGACGAGTCGATAACGCTATAAGTGTTTGAGGTCGACGAAAAAATGTAATATGCACCTCGGCGAAAAACTGTCTATTGTCTCGACTGATTGCTAGCATCGGCTATCAATTTAGTACATATACATCAAATATTATTCTCTATTCACATATACTCAGTAGAATCAACTATCTCATAAATATTTGGGGATCTTGCTCCAGAAATAGTTTCAACAAAATTTCTGTTCTATATGAAAAGGCATTGAAAGTATTGTATCGTCTTCCATATGATACTCCAACGAACCAACTGTATAAGGAAACAAACACCCTTTCTTTGGAAGAGCACGTTTTAATCGATACTCTCAAAATTTACTATTATATCATCAACAAAAAGCTTAAATCGGAATTTTATATTGATTAGGAATTCCGAAATTCATGATCATCACACTAGAGAATACAATTTGTTTCATCTTGAAGCTGCAAATTCTAAACTTGGACAAAAAAAGTTTACACATGAGGCGATTTCAAAATTCAATAAATTACCAGATGATATCAAAAACATCCCAAATATTATACAATTCAAAAATAAAGTGAAGAAATATATTTATATGCAAAGGAATGATCAAAGCTGAAAGACTATGAATTTCCTTTTTTTTTCCTTCTTGTTCACTATAATATGACTGTTATTTTGAGATATCTTAATGATATGTAAGTTTTGTTCACTATTTGTAATTTCAATTATAAAGCAGTCGATAATACTTCATGAATGATCTTATACCAGGAATGGGCGTATACACCTTAGTAGAACTTTCAACTCAAACCATGTTTATAATGATCCTTTTATACATAAATAATGATTGACGACATAATTCGATCGAAAAATTAACTGGAAGGTTTTATTTTTTGGCACAAATAATAATACCTTCTGAAAACGGACCCCCTCTTATAACGTAGAAACCTCATCTCGCCATATTTGAAAGAAAATACCAAACGCCCGACGGAGACTGAGGCAACTGATATATTAATTCTTTCAACTGTGATCTCGCGCTAATTCACTCAGAAATCATGTATCATTCATCTCTGTCTGGAATAGTCTTCTTTTAGTATTAGGGTTTTGACGTCACATCATCGCCTCGTTTTCAGAGGTCCGAAAAATCGGGGATTTCAATGATTTTTTATAAAACGTAGGGAGCTCACAGCAAGAAACGGTTTGCGGTGGTGAGCTAGTTTGGGTGAGTTCTATCGAATTATGAAATAAATTTTTTTTGTGATATAAGCTCATTACTGTCTGATCATTCATGTCATTCCTACTAGAAAATTAACTATACTTCATATATTATTTGTATGAAATGTATCAATGAAGAAGAGGATGTAATGCAATAACTGAAATAAATGAAAAATAAATTAATCATTTGCAGACTCGACTATAATAGACAGTGTTTCGTCCTTGGTACATAAAAAACTATTGTATTCTTAATCACAATGACCTGCAAAAGGAAAAGACACTTTAGATTTGGAGTGGAAGAGGGCATTTTTATTTGCAGGTCAGGGTATATTGGTGCAGTAACTGAAAATAAAAACATCCTATTCGTCTATCAACTAGCACATTATTACAACTACTAACTCTACCCTACCTGTATTTGACTAGCAGAGGAACTGGGCTTGCAGCAAAGGTATAACAGAAACACTACGGGTATAGCAAGGACAAGTATGTACACCCCCCACAGGGCTGGATAGTCATTGGTCAAGTTTGCTAATCTCTGTACGACGCTCTCCTACATTCCACAAAAAAAAACAAATTTGCAAAATTCTACTTCGGGCAAGCGTAAATACTTTACAAAAACGTCAGTTGAGTAATCAACTGAATAATAGTTATTTATTATACAAGGGAAATAAGTAGTATATTTTAGCTCCAGGTTGTGTTCCGTCGCGTAGCGGAGGGAGCTACAAAAACGTGAGCTAATATTTTCCCGTGTATAATACGTTTTTTTTTCTGTGACAGGAAAAAGGACGAATCAATATTGAGATGATATTACATTATATTGAAATCATATCGTCATATCGACGTGACATTTGGAGTTTTTAACAGTAATTACACCTGCGTTGCAAACATCTTTATTATTCTTTTGGAGTAATCAAATATCTGTCAGTCATTCTTTGAATTAATTTTGAAAAATTGCGAATTTAGTGGTTGTTTAGTAATTTACGTAACCGCGAAGTCGAATGGACGATAAAAGGATCAAAAATTTATATCAACAAACGGCATCAATTGATGCCGTTTGTTGATTTAAATATATACACTTCTCCCAGATAGTAGTCAAAAGTTTGAGATCCATTTTCGTCATAACTACTAGTCCGATTTGGACGATTTTGACTAATTCTGTCTATCTATGCAACTAGTTGTTCCATGATCTGGATGACTTGACAGTTGACAGCATAAAATTTTACTGTTCAGTGCTTCCGCACATGTGATTCTTTTCTTGGTTATTTCCGAAGCCACATCTTTCTTATTATAAAAGATTGATATTTTCAAGTTTAATTACCACTTATCGGTGATTTAAGGGTACCGTCGGCCCTTATTAAATATGTTCCCAACCGCTAAACCATCAACTTTATAAAATTTTTTAAAAAAACATTTTTATTGTATAAACAGTAAGTTTCGCTCATATTGATATTTCTTCAAAAATGTTCACTGTTCCTTTTCCAGATCATGGAGCAATGGCCTTTGCTTGCTCCGTTATTGCTTAATTAATACACATTGCAACTTTATTCACGTCCATGTAAGTAAAATATTATTGTATCATATCATAGGTCATCTTGGCTGATGATGGGCTTATATAAGCCCGAAACATGTTCCATTATATGATCTATGATCATTAAATAAAAGTTGTGGAGATGACTTTGGGTTTTCATCTATGGTATAGAGTATTTGTTTCATGAAATTTGTAATACACACATTGGAATCACAATTTAACCTCATCTTTCTTCAACATTTCTTTTTTGGATTCACTTCATTATCTTTCCTATTACTCGATAAACACCATTTTATAATGTAACATGATTTTATGGAAAATGAATATCCAAATTTAACAATGACGAAAAAACTAAACAGAATGCGCAGTAACAAGTTAAACAAGGGTCAGTAGCGAGTATTTCCACCATGGGCAAGAATAACTTCTTTGCAAAGACCGTCTATACTTAAAAGAAGAGACCTTATGTCATTTTGGTCCAGGTCTTCCCAAATTTGAGGCAGTCTCTGCAATGCGTCTTCTAAAGTATTCCAGTTACGTTTCTCTTGTAATCTTGTCATTAGACTGTCCCAGAGATCCTCAATGGGATTTTACTCCGGGCTCCGAGTGGGCCATGCCATGGTAGCAATACCGACTTCCTCTAGATAATTTCTCGAAACTCGACAAAAGGCCTGGCATTATCTTGCATAAACAAAATCCTCACACTATTTATGTTGTTCTAAAATCTCCAATATGTACCTTTGCGCTTTAAGGCTTCCATCTTCCATCAATGATCCCGGTGTTCGTGCGATTAGTCAAAGAAAGTTCTCCCCAGACCGTAGCCTGCTACTTACGTCCTTATATTGCCAATTGAATTCAATAAAATCATGTTATGTTATAAAATTATGTTTCGGGAGTAATAGGAAAGATAATGAAATGAATCCAAAGCGGGAATGTTGGAAAAAGATAAGACTGAAATGTTATTTCAATTTTAACTTGATACTGTAACTGTAACACTTCACAGGGTATTTCAAATTTCATGAAAAAAACACGCCATAATTACTACACCCGGTATTCATGCGAAAACAGTTTGCATGGCAATATTTAGAAGATGGTGCGTAAATTTCTAGGAGAAGTGTATATCCGGAAAAAATACTCACTTTTTTCCGGTGGGAAAAAAGTAATTTGAGAGATGATATTTCGAACTTTTTTCCCGTCACAGAAAAAATAGTACATTGTTTTATTAGGATCAAATGTGACACTTTGTTTGACAAGCGATATTTGCGTTTGCGAGGCAGAGCAACTGAGAAGCCGAGCACTCAAATTTTGCGAGTCAAACAGACTTTTGTTCCGAATGAAACGAGCTATTTTTTCTGCAATTAAAATTATTGATGTCTCATTAATAAAATATAAGTGACGTTACCACTATTTTGAGTCACTTAAGTATCCCAGTGTCAAAGCAGCTATCATATCAGCTGTCATCCGACACATTTTCAATACCTAGGAGTTAAACTTCAATGTTAGCTCCAAAACACTAGAAGTCTTGCATAGCAACATACATACTAATCGTTTTATTGTGTCAGTAAGAGAAGCTTCAACTTCAAAGGCTAATTTTGGATAAAAAATGGTCGACTTTTGAGCCGATTGCTAAGTTTGACATTTTATCTCTGTTGACAGGTTAGAAAATGTCACTTTTCATAAACTACTTTTTTCCCACTGGAAAAAAGTGAGTACTTCTTCCCCGGATATAAAGGTGCACTTTTTATGGCTTTTGTTGTGCCAGTTCCAAAAAATAAGCCAACAACACCATCTACGAGGAAGAACTGAAAGTCATTTTATCTTCCATTCCACTTCGCGATTACGTAAATTACTAAACAACCACTGTTCGCAATTTTTCAAAATCAAAACAGAGAATAAGATTGACAAATATTCGATTACTTCAAAAGGTTTCCAATGCAACAATAAATATGTCTACAAAAAGAAACACAGGTGTACTATCAGTTGAAAACTTCAAACTTCATATCCATTATTTTCTGATTTTATTTTGATGTGATATCGTCTCTCAATATTGAATTGTCGTTTTTTCTGTCACAGAAAAAAATAGTGTATTATACACGGAAAAATATTAGAATTTGGCTCTCGATTTTTTGTATCCCTCTCCGCTACGCGTCGGGAGACAATACAAACTCGAGATAAAATCGGATACTTTTTCCCTTGTATGATAAATAACTATCATTTTATTAAATGTCATTTTCTTTGAGGAAACATTGCTAAGCATAATTCGAATTACGTCCATTTCATATCGGGCTCATTTTAAAGTTATTCTAAATTGATACACTGAAATATAATTTGTTCACTGTAGAATCTTGTCTAGCAAGAAAATACTACTAGGAGTACTAGGGTCCTACAGGCCAATCGATTTACCTCTTTGACGCATTTATACATATAGGAAACATAGAAAAAGACGGGTATAGCGCAATAGAAGGCGTATGCAGCCCACATTTTCGGTCTGTAGTTCATTCTCCTCAACATCTTGCCCCACCAAGTTTTCTTGAAAATGAGAAAAACGTTAACTGATTACGGGAGAGTGGACTGATTGTTTCATTGTTTCATTCAGAATCTCAACAATGATACTTTCAATCTCAAATACCGTGCTATACTCTCACATCCTAAGTAAAATGAACTAACTCATGAATATTTGGAGTTCATGTTCATAATGTTAACAAAAACTACATAAGGAAGCGTTAAAAGTACTGTATCGTCTTCCATATGACACCCCATCAAATCAACTTTATGAAGAAACAAATACATTTTATTTGGATGAGCACTATCTGATCAATACTCTCAAAATTTCTTTAGATATTATCAACAAACACCTCAAATCTAACTTCATATTGGTAAACAATTCTCGAATCCATGAACATCATACTAAGAAAATATGACTTGTTTCATCTTGATGCTGCTAATTCTACACTTGGTGAAAAAAGTTCACTCACGGAGCTATCTCAAAATTCAATAAATTACCAAAAGTTGCACAAATATCACCCAATTCAGAGTTAAAGTCAAGAAACATATCCTCTTGCAAATAGAGAATTAAACCTGAGTGAATGATTTCTCATTCACTAATTTATTTCATCATGTCATAATGTACTTTTTATGAGATTTTCGTTTTTCATTATCATTATTTTTGTATCTGTTGTTTATTTCAATAACTTAGATTTAATAACGCATGAATAATCTCATACCAGATATAAATCTGTCTGATTATTCATGTTATTTCATTGTAAATCTTGATAAAATATATTTATATTTATATGAGATGCAATGTAATGTTTATAAAAAAGAAATAAATATCAATATCATCTTTTTTTTAAATCACTAATCAAGTGCAATCTATTTGGACTTGAATGTTTACAAATTAGTATTGACTGTTCATCCAATATGTGGATAGATTTCTACAGTACATTCCAGATAAGAATAAAGTGTGTAGTGATGCAGGGATTGTTTAACCTTGCTTTTCATTGGTCTAGATGCCAGGCGAGTTAACACTAGCGATATCGTTATTAATAATCAACAATGGAAGTGCTAGGTTTACTGGTTGTCTATCTATAAACAGTCTGAAATAAAATCGAGAGTAATTAATTGGTTATCAATTTTTCAGATAAAAATATGTGATTCTATTATTATTATCCTAAAAGTAATTGCAATAATGGCTGCACACAGATTTGTTTTTCATTGACATCTGGCTGCTTCCGTAATAAGCCATTACCGGCCCACAGACATTGAGCTACTATAACCTCAATTTCGACCAACAATAATATCAACATGTTTTTCACTCAGAAACTAACGATTCCATTCATTTTGTATTCGATAAAATAAATTATCGAAGGTATCGAGCCCTTCGAATTTTTTAAATTTTTTTTTGCAATAACTAGAAAGGAATAGTTTTTATTCAGTCCAGTGATAATTATTATTAATTCAATCCATCACACATACCTTTAAGAAAGAAATAGAGAATTGCCGCAGTTGAGTTTTTACTTTTTATTTATAGTTTTGTTTTGAAATTTCAATGTTAATTATAGAGGCCAATGCAATGTTATCAGTATAATACCGAATGATTGGCCAGAATAATGGATTGCTAATGGTTGAAACAATGAGAACGTTACATTTACATGTGAAAAAAATAATCGATGTTAGCTACTAAACTCTATAGTCATTCTCATTTATTTGTTATTGGTAGGTTTACTATCTCTGATATCCAAGCCATCTACTTCAATCCTATCTGGAATATACCATCGCAGTTGATTTATTCAGTTATATAGATTTGGTCATATTTCCATTCAAAATGTCAATTCACACTGAAAGAGATGTTATGAAAAAAAGACTGCACATTTTTCAATTCGACAGCTAAGTTGACGTAGCAACATCAATAAACGACATCATTAAAATTTAAATTGTGGACGCATAATTGGAAAATGCAAATTTTCCCTGTGATTATGTTGTAAATTTGAAAATAATACGCTTTTGAATTCACCGCATCAAGTCCAACATTCTAACTTTCAGATTAACTTTAAGATTCAAGTGTTTAGAATCATTATGCGTGAATCTTCGATCATGAAAATCTGATTATGCAACATAATAATTTATAATTGATCTCTTTGTATATCATTAAGAATGTAAATAAATTAAGCCAACTTTCCATCAACCGAAAAGAAAAAAAGAAGGTGACACTGCAGTTTGGCAGTTTTATAATTACGAGAATATAAAGCTTTGATATTGAACTGTCAACAAAACACTGATGATGACCTGGGGAATGACGGAAAATTTCCCAGGAAACAAACATACTAACAAAAACAAAACAGTCCAGTCTTCAATTGATAGAATATTTTTATAGTAAACTGCTTTCTGTTACTTTTGGAATTGAATTGAAATAATCCTGAAGAAAGTGACTGGAAAATAATAGACTTACCGAATCTTTGGCAATCTTTTGCCGTTTCTTATCGAACGTATCGGCTGCCCACATTTCGGCAATGGCGATTTCTTCGGTGATGATGATATTGTCAAAGAGAATATCCTGGGACATGGACCACAACTCGAAACCAACAGCACTCTATGAAATGAACAAATCAAATTTCAAAAACACAAAATCTCCAACTAACAAATATCCATTGATCTGACAAAAAAAATTGTGTGCGTAGAACCACGCATCGGAAGTGATAACTTCTATGTCCGGTCTGTATTTCCAATATCTTTTGGACAATACGGGGGAAATCTGAATAATGTAATATTAATTTCATGTAATATTTCCACATATTAGCAAAAAGGATTAACTAGAACTAAAAATAATGATGGAGAATTTCCAGAATGAGAAATTTCCAATTGCATCTTGTCATAAGTATTTATTACTCACCCTGTGTAACATGAATGATGTGGATGATATATGGAAAATGTTTGTAATTCGAACGATAACATAATATGATTAGACTATCCGTGACTTCTATGCATGTCAGGTCAGATCTGACGACTACACTGTCTCTGCCTCGGTGTTCCCTGCAATACTCAATGTGCAGCCACCGGCGGCCCGTCGCAGAGTTGCCAGTTCTACTGAATTTTCAGTAGATCTACTGATTTGCATATCGATCTATTGATCTACTGAAACATTTCATAATCTACTGAAAAATAATTTGACAATTATTTATTATTATAGTTACCTTTTATCAATCTTTAGTTGATCACATGATTATACTTATATTTTACATGATATTTCGGCACGCTGTGTTCAAATTAATTGTCCAAACAGGTGATAAATTTACCTACGTACCTACTAATGACATGTATAAACCAAGAAAGGACAACACTGTATCTGATTCTTTTGTTGCGGTTTAATTTTACTATTTGTTCCCGTTTCTTTGTATACTCAAATCTGATAAGTATGAGTGCCAATATAACTCTATTTTGTGATATTTGTGAGTATTTTCAAATAGAGAATTAGGAATCTATTCACTTCATTTTTTTATAAAAGTTTCTGTTTCATTTGTTTCTATTCTCTTAGAAATAGGTTACTTATTTCGTTTAAAAAAAATACATATTATTTAGGTTCATTTCATTATTTTCCTGGAATTAGAATAGCATAAAATAGATCGACTGAAATCTTCTGAATTTTCGACAAAGTACCGGGTGACCAGTTATATTCTGACCCATTTCAAATGCTTATATCTCTGAAACCATTCAAGTTATCATTGTGCAGTTTGGACTAGTCTATTTTGATATTTTTCAAGTTTTTTTGACAGGTTCACCTTTTCTCTTGAACATCCGGTTCTACCGGAAACAAACTAGCCATTTTTCAGGTATAGGGCAACTTTTTTATTTCATTGAATCACCCTGTATATTTTTGCACATTCAGAAGGACTGGTCTTTTCTCTTTCTAACAATGTATAACAAGTTATGTTTTCTCAGAGAACTATCAGAGTTATAACTGTTTGAAACAACTACTGCATGTGGAATGGTTTAATGAGATTTTGCAATGTAACCAAAGTCGTCTTTGGAAATCCTGATCACAACACATGAAATGCCAGATTAGATGTGTCAAATAAAGATTGTCGAGCATTTGTACTTTCTTCGAGTTGAAAAAATGTTTACTTTGACTGAAAAAGCAAATTTAATTAACTCATCATGAATCTGCATCAGATTCAATTTACGGTAATTCAGCATTTCAGGATAACATCCTAATATGCAGTAGATGCTTCAAAGAGTTATAACTCTGATAGTTTTCTAAGAAAACATAACTTGTTATACATTGTTAGGAAGAGAAAAGACCAGTCTTTCTGAATGTGCAAAAATATACAGGGTGCTTCGATGAAATAAAAAAGTTGCCCTATACCTGAATAATGGCTAGTTTGTTACCGGTAGAACCGGAAGTTCAAGAGAGAAGGTGAACCTGTCAAAAAAAACTTGAAAAATATCAAAATAGACTAGTCCAAACTGCACAACGATAACTTGAATGGTTTCAGAGATATAAGCATTTGAAATGGGTCAGAATATAACTGGTCACCCGGTATTTAGTGATGAAATAAAAATCGAACTGGCAACCCTGGCTCGTCGCATATCAACCGGGCATAATATAGGTCTACAATTTTACGTGAGCTTCCGTGCGTAACGCAAGTACGACCGTTTTAACGCCATCCCAGAAAGTGCCTAACGGCCCTATAGAAGTTATCACTTAAAAAAAAGGAAGAAGAAGCAATCAAACTGCAAACTCACCACAGTGGCCATCTTGAACGGTGCCTTGTCCTCGAAATAATCCGGATTCGGGATCTTCCTCGGCCGCCATTTGCCCTTGTAGTTGGGATTGTCGATCATCGGAGGGCGCCACTTGCCCTTGAAGGCGGGATTGTTGATGAGGGGCGGCTCCCACGGCCCGCAACCGACAGCGTCGGCGCAGAGGGGGTTCTCCACCAGAGGAGGCTCCCATTCGCCGTCCATCTGTACGGACGATAATAATTGAGGCCCTTTACCATCGTAAAGATAGAAAGAGAAAGAGAGGAAAGTTTTATCCTCTCCCTCATCTTTCTATGCACTATCAACATAGCCATGTTGAAATAGATATCTGTCCGATTAGAATCATTGGGTGGTATTAGTTAAAAGTATTGTATCGTCTCCCATTTGATACACCAACCAATCAATTGTATGAAATAACAAATACGTATTCTTTATATGAAATATATAGAATTGAAACTCTTAAAATATCATATAATATCATAAATAAAAAATTGAAGTCGAATATTATTTTGATACGGAATTCTGCAATTCATAATCATGAAACTAGACAATATAACTTGTTCCATCTTGACGCCGCTAGCTCCCTAATCGGACAAAAAAGATTCACTCATTCAGCCTTAACTGAATTCAATAAACTACCTGATAATATAAAAAATTGCAGAAATATAGGTATACTCAAAAATGAAGTGAAAAAACTGATTATTTCTCAGCGGACTTGATAAAATTAATCATGCCCTTTTTTTTTTTACAAATATTATTCTTTGTTTGCCAATTTACAGTTGTTGATATATTTTGAATGATGCTATGTTTACCTATAGGTATATAATTATGTACTTCCTTATACCAGAGCCTATTCTGTCTGGAAGTTATTTGTTCAATAAATAAATAAATAAATAAATAAATAGATGAGAGTTCGGACACAGACAAGGCTATTTAACTCTACAGTGTCATTCATAAAGTCGGCATCATATGGGAAAAACTTTTATTAATGACTCATTGTGGAATTCGAGTTGAACGTTAAGTTGTGCTTCAAAAAAGATGAAAAATGGCATACTCAATCGGGGTCACGTGACTTTCGCTACATGTCAAAAGTGACATTTTTTCAAATTAATCGCTGAAAGGTGGCTTTTTTGTTCGAATATCGAAAAAGTTCACTCGAAAAAGTTGATTCTATTCGAATTTTACATATGTGTCTCGGATTTTATCTTTCTATAACATTTTTTAGAATTCGATATTTTTTGAAAATTTTCGAAATTTCTGTAATATTAAAAAAATTGTAAATTCGATAAAACTACTTCATACCAGTAGTTTCATCATGCTACTAACTTTCAATTACTAATTATCACTAATTATCGACGAAAATATAATTTTCTTCAAAGTTCTGTTATATTTGATGCAAACATAACATCAAAATTATGTTATGTTTGAGTTAAGCATTTAGAAACGAAATTCATTTAAATTTATTTTTTCAGTACTAAAAAGATCAGTTTAAATGAATTTCGTTTCTAAATGCTTGACGATATATCAACTTTGCATCAAACATAACAGAATTTGGAAGGGAGTATTATCATTTTCTGAAGAAAATCATATTTCTGTCCATAATCAGTGATAATAAGTAATTGAAAGTGAGTAGCATGAAAAAGCTACTAGTATGAAGTAGTTTCATGAAATTAACAATTCTTCAAATATTAACAGAAATTTCGAAAAATAAAAAAAAATCTAAATCTAAAAGTTGCAATAGAAAGATCAAATTCGAGAAGCATGTGTAAAATTGAAATAGAAACAACATTTCCAAGTAAACTTTTTCGATATTCGAACAAATAAGCCTACTTTCAGCGACTATTTTGAAAAAATGTCCCTTTTGACATGTAGCGAAAGTCACGTGACCCCGATTGAGTATGCCATTTTTCATCTTTTTTGAAGCAAAACTCAACGTTCAACTCGAATTCCAAAATAAGTCATTAATAAAAGTTTTTCCCATATGATGCCGACTTTATGAATGACACTGTATAAGGTTGCCTCATATTTTTTCGTCTTTCATTCTTTATATGATTCAGTAGATCATGGAATAGTGATGGAGTTAAACAAAAAAATTCTTTGAATTTCGTATCATTATCCGAAAGATGCTTCAACACTAACAACTCATAAACACCTTCTTTTGCCCCTTTCTCAAACATGTTCAAAACTTTAATATTTTTAGTACATACTCCTAATAACGCATACTCATCATCGTCATCATGTTCTTCTTCTAAAATTATAGCAATAAAAAAATCCATTTTTTATTTTGACTTTGCCGCAAACACCCTACGAGAAGACTGAAATATATCGGAACGAAAATTTACGAAAATTGTCTTCAGACATACCACACATAGACGAAACTTCTGAACGAACTGAATCCGGCGAATATCCACATTCTGTACGCTGATGTTCGCCGAAATATTTCGGGCCGATCTGGTCAGAGAAACCAGTCCTTAAGCCGACCGAACCGATCCGAGTCGATTCAGTGCGCGTCCTTCTTGACTCGAAAGACTTCACAATAGTCTGGGCGCAACACTGACTAATCACCCAAAACCTTTATCTTTGGGCAGAGCCGTTACCACCGATAAAACAAGGCCTGCATGCTCCGTGGGTGACGTCACTTAGTCAGGCCTAACCAGCGGCTCGAAACGACAAGCGCTTATAGCGCTATAAGGCGACCGCGTATTTCGATTTTAGTTTTAGATCATTATTGAGCCGATTTTGCTTTTTTTTGATGGGCTTCCGGTTGAAAGAGGATGCCAGCCGTCAACTGAGCCCTTCTTCGCATCCCATTCGATTTTATTATGGAATAACGAAGTTTCAAAGCAAAAACCAGAATAAAACACAAATACCCACCTACAGCAACCCATTCGAATTAAATATATTGGCAAAAATTGTAGTGATTCAATCTCATTAGAGGTAAACTTCACACCTACTCATACAGGGCCCGCAGAACATAAACTTATCATGAGATTGATCGAAAGAAAATTGGGGAAAATGTATTTTAGTTTGATAGACATGCCGTTTGTTATACCTAATTACCTATATTTATCTTAGAGAATTCCTATTACCTAAAAAATTAGCCAGTGAGTGTTTTCAATTTCCTGTTGTTGGATTTTTTACCCAATTGGTCGTTAGACTTGAAACAGTAATTTTTGAGTAGAGTGTTTGTAGTACATGTTAATATAATAGTTGCAATTTGATCATTGGAATGAATTCTGCATTCATTGCCACGAGGCAAATGACCGTTTTCAGAAATAAATTTGAGAATGTATTGAGTCAGAAACCAAAGAGTCCAATGCATTCGAAATATGTTTCAAAACCCTCTTTTCCTGATTATCAAGACATTTTCCCGAATTATGTATCTCGTTTTTATCTATTTCAATTAGTAATTCCTTGATTTGATTGATATTATTAGAGATAAAAGGTGTTTTCAGATTGGCTTTTAGAGATGTTTATATCGCTAGGTCATACAAAAATGACATCCACATTCAAAACAAAATCAATCACAACCGAATATGTAATTACGGGCCCTGGAGAATAATGTGACTTTTTGCAAATCGATAATTTTGAACCACTTTTCGGGCAACTGAAAAGACTCTAATACAACTAGAAATTCTTGAAATTTTGTGTAGCAAAATTATTTTTGGTAATTTTCGAATTCAGTTTTACTTTTGGTAAGTGCTTGTGCCAAATTTTTAGTCTTTAGTATCTCAAGTTTTTCATCACGACTTGTGCGTAATTTTACATCTTTCGATAAATAAGATGGACAGTTGGGAAATTGAGTGGGAATAACATCTCGTTTGAGCCTAGGAATTTTCAAATCTATTGTTACAGTTTTGCCAGTTTTTGAATCGGTTGCAGTAGATGAAGTAATAATATCATCTTTAGTAAAATGTAATTCACATACTTTACTGTACTTAGATGGAGTCGTAAAATCCTTGCGGTGAATTGCATGTACCCACTTTTTCGATAGTTCCTTGTCCAACGGGAAACTAAAAGCATGAACTTTTGGACCACCCACATAATTCCCCCGACAAAAGGGAACACAACACTTGTAAGGTATTGTTATTTCGCCTATCACAACACGAAATATTTCACAAAACAGTAATTTCTCCGCCAATTATTTTGATGAATAAACAACAAGAGAATTCGAGCACACGGTGGTAACGGCACACGCGATTTACCTACGCCACCGTTCTTAAACAAAAACAAACTGACGATCGATCGACGCGAATGCCTTGGAAGATGACCTGAGTATGCGACGTCACGAGCTGTTTACGTCAGAGTCTGCTGGCCTTGTTTTATCGGTGGTAACGGCAGAGCACTATTGAGCGGTTACAAGATCATCAGTCCGTGATTAATCGATCATTTAGCGTGGTACATATCCGTACGCTGAATGTCATTTCAGTTATGTAAGTAGACAAACCTTTTTTTTTTTAGTTGTTACCTCTGAGTCCCAGTCGGCCGGTTTGACAGCATCCGCATCGGGCAGATGGGTGGGTTCGTCGTCCAGCCATCCGTCCGGCTTCACGGCGCTCTCGTCCACTATTTGGGGCGGCGCATCTTCGTCCCAATCCGATGGTTTGGAAGCCGCCGGGTCCGGGATCTTCTCCCTAACCGACACAAGTTACAGTTGCTTTTTATTTGTTCCATTCTGGTAGCGGTGGTTGGAACAGAATGACGTTTACAAATAGAACGAGGAACTTCATGACCTTGCATGAACGAATTGAGATATTAGTTGCGTTTTATTTGTTCCATTCTGGTAACGGTGGGAGGAACAGAATGACGTTCCCAAATGGAACGACAAACAGATGACCTTGCATGAGATCTATACCTTTTCAACTTCAATTTCGGAATCGGTGAGTTATATTTCGGAGAAAGTAATCTCGATTTCAGAATTGGTTAGTTCGATTTCAGAAATGGTGAACTCAATTTCAGAATCGGTGAGATGAATTTCAGAAAAAGTCCATTCAATTTCAGAAATGGTAAGTTGTATTTCAGAATTATTATTGGTAGGTTCAATTTCAGTAGATGAAATCCTTTTATATGTTTGAAATGTTTTCAATTGCAAAAGAGAAGACTGTTTACAGTGGATGGATCGGTGTTTGAGAGCCCTATGTTGAATCAGATTGAACATATATGGGGTGGCTTCAAGTCAGAAGTGAAGAGCTTCTTGCAAGAGCATCGCCAAAGGGTCATAGCTGGAGATCCGAAAAGATTGCTCAACCAGATAGAATTCAGACTGCGATGTCTTGAAGAATGTGCAGATCATTCAATGAAAATGATAACACCTCAAATGTGTTTGCATTTTTATAATCATGTGCAACGCCACTATCTTCCAGCGGTTCAGATGGAAGGCATCTGTGGATTAAATTGTTTTTGAAAAGTTGAATATTTTAAATATGGTTTGTTAATCTCACATGCAATTGGAAACATTTCGAACAAATATAAGGGTTTTTTTCATGATATTGAACCTACCAATTCTGAAATACAACTTACCATTTCTGAAATTGAATGGACTTCTTCTGAAATTCATCTCACCAATTCTGAAATTGAGTTTACCATTTCTGAAATCGAACTAACCAATTCTGAAATCGAGATTACATTTTCCGAAATATAACTTACCGATTCCGAAATTGAAGTTGAAAAGGTATAGAATTGACATATAGATGAATAAAGAGGTTATATTTATATATTGGTGCTAGATTAGGGAATAATTTCAAAATCATAATACTAGAGTTGAAAATCAAAAAAATGAAAATGATCAAGGCATATTTGTAGCCGTGATGTTGGTTGGATTAAGTTCTCCGAGATCGAGACAGAAACGGTCACGTCTTTATTTATCAATTCCAACATTTTTTAATAATTAACGAACTTTTTCAGTAGTTGTTGTTATGTTATGTTATGTCACAGGCGTGACATTGACTTCAACGAACCTGGACTATTGACCAGATTTCCTTACTGTCACGTTTCCAAAAATATAGACAAATATTTAAAACACGTAAGGAAGTGGGCTCGAGAGTTCCAGTTATAGTTCTAGTTGTACTTCTAGTTCTATGTAGTACGGTTTTTTTGAGTATGAGTTAGGGAAGTCTAAGCTCTATCGATTGTAAGTTTGTAAAGTTCCCACTGTGGCCGAACTTTCGGAGTTCGGGCAGAACAGAAGATGACCTTCCTCAGACTCCCAGGAATATTAGTTAATTTGTACATATAGGATAAGTTGAGTTTTAATTTCATTGTCACTGATTGCCAAGAATAAATGTGTGTATATGTTTTGTTTGAAAGCCTTTAGAGTGTTATTTATTATCCCACTTTAGAAGTTCATTCTCTAATGAATCTACCCTGTGAAAGTTATACATGAAATTCTTTTTTTTATTCCAACTTTCAAGGTCAATAACTCCGTTATAAAGCGCGATGGACATATTTTTTTATATGAAGTACTAACATTATTTTGGCTCACTTTATCAGCCCTATCATTTACGATAAAATGACCTTTCTGGACACCCTGTATATGAATAAAAAAGCCAGTGCAGAATGTTCTATACCAGGAATTACTGGCTGATCATGCATGTCATTCCAATTAGAAGATTAATTATATTCTATATATTATTTGTATAAAATTTATCAATGAAGGAAAAAATGTAATGCAATAACTGAAATAAATAAATAACAAAAAACCATCTATTCTCACCGTTCATCCCAATCTTCAGGTTTCTTATCTTCCGCATCATCAATTTCCTTTGGCGGATTCACGGGCGGCACGAAATCCTCCAACAAACTACCCGAATTCACCGTTTTTCTATCCACCATCACCTTAATAAACATAGAAGTTGAAGATTGCTCGAAATTGTTCTCAAATTTTCTCCTTAACATTCTAGAAATTTGAGGAATATTCATTAAAATTTCCTCATATGTATAAAATGTTCATAAAATGTTTCAATATTCTGGAATGTTCCCAAATGTTTCAGCTATTTCTGATGATCTCGAAAATTTATGAAATTTCAGGAATCTAAAATATTCTGCAATCCACTCAACACTCCGAATGTTGATAAATGTTCAGGAATTCACTAGAACAATCTGAATGATCTAGCTATTTGAACTATATTCTACAATGTTTTAAAAATTTCAGAATAGTTCTAGAATGTTCTTGAATAATTCAAGACTTTTGTAGAACTACTTAGTACTCTCTAAATATACAGTGTGTTTCAAACTCAAGTGGGCACTATTGCTAACTTGGTTATTATATCAGATATTGGTAAAAAATCCATACATCACAATGGAATGATATACATACAATTCGCTACCAAAAAACTCGAAGCTTATAACAGGATTGAAAAAATGAAAAAGGAATTCAAGGAACATCTACTCCTGTATCATTGACATCTTATCTCATTTTTATAGTTTTCTAGTATTACTACTATAGTTCTCCATTGGGTACTTAACAGCTGAGTCAATTAAGAATCATATTCAGTTGAACTTGAAAAAAAAAAAGATTTCTTCTTTAGTGTGAATCTTATTTTACTGTCTTCTTTATTTAGTCAAATATATTTATTTTTATATTCACTATGTTCCCTGCTATAGACAAATGTTGTTTCTTGAGAATAATAAAGTTGATTGATTTATCGGAGTTACAAACACGGCTAAATGGACAAATTATTAGTATTTCTCCCTCTGACCATGATGATGAAAACGAAACAAAAAACGAACATCGCGTTTGAGAGTTATGTAAAATAGTTCACTTTATTTAAATGGGACATCCAGTATACAATATTCTTAATCGATAGGAAATTCGATTCTAAAGAGGAACTGTTAAATAAACTTTTATCGTAAATGACTAATATATCGGCGATTTTATGGCAAGGTATAAAACTACCATGAGTAATATCTAAATCATCCTCGACTTACACAATCACTTTGACGAATTTGAAAAACCGTCGATAGCTTAGTCATTTTTGAATTCACAATGGAATATTATTTTTTGTTCAGAACCGAATTTCCTATCGACTAACAATTTTGTGTCCCATAAAAATTACCGAAAATTACCTTTTGGCATAACTCATGAACGCCAGAAAGAGTTAGTACTAGTTTGTCCATCTGACCGACTTTGTAGCTACAAGTTAGCAATAGTGCCGACTCAAGTTTGAAAACCCTGCATAAAAAATGTTTTCAAATGTTCTTGAATATCAAAATTATTTCAGAATAATGTCGGATATTCTAGATATTTCTTTAGTCCAATAAATAAAGGGAAAAAGTTAACATTAATTACGCACTATTTTCATCTTCCGGTTGGAAGTAGCTTTTGGTACCTCATTAAACATGAGACAAAGTTTGACTGAAAAACGCGTGGCGGAGAAAATGGCCCCGAAAGACCAGAAAAATAGGTTTTCAGCCAATATCTCCTAAAATATGGCAGTTAGAGATTTTCGGTTCAGATAAAAATTGAAGTTCAGTTAATTTTCTACAAAAATGTTCCTTATTATTTTTCTCGAAAATTTGCCCGGTTTCGAGAAAAACGGCACGAAGCGCACCTCGAATAATGAGCTTCTGTTGTATGCCGGAGAGCACAGTCCGTGTATTTATTTACACATCGGCGGGGGGACAAATTATTCAATAACTTTGTTAAAAATGCATATTTTCTCATGATTCAAAGTTCATGTGAAAGAGGAATTCTGCTGCTATCATACCCTGTGAATTGAGTCACGCTTGACTCTTTTGGCCATATCCGAACATGGGTCAAACTTTCTGCTCCCGGTCAATTTTGACCTCGCCAGGAATTTGTTCCTATTTTTTTTCGTATTGCACTAATTCACTCAAAATTTTCTTGATTATGGGTCCTCATAAGGTCCTTCGTCATCCCTGAAATTTGTATACCCTAAATTTTTTAAATTTTCATTTAATCTTTGTTTATTGAATCCCAATTTTTTGCTGTTTTTGGAGCGCGGGGAAATTTTGTGAACAACCATCAATTAAAAATTTATACATGATCCGATGGGTTTCTATGATACATCATTTGAAAGCTAAGAAGGTCTACTTTTCGATTGTGCAATTACTTTTTTAGACGAAGTCGTCCATTTTTCAATAAAATTAGAAAAAGCGGGGTCAAGGAAAAAACGCACTTTTTTTTCGGTGGTTTTTTTTCTCCGTGCTCTTTATTTTTAGCATTTTAACACCTTAATTAGTGTAACGGGGGAATTCCCACCTTTCCATCGATGTATATAAGTCATACCTTTGATATCCCGGGAAAAAACCAGTATATCTAAATGTACACGCTATAATTTATTACTTTCGTTCCTCCGTCGTTCGCCGCGTGTGTGCTCTACGTGGCGCTCGGGTCGTCTGCTACAAACCATGCGGCCACGCAGGGTATGATAGCAGCAGAATTCCTCTTTCACATGAACTTTGAATCATGAGAAAATATGCATTTTTAACAAAGTTATTGAATAATTTTTTCCCCCCGCCGATGTGTAAATACACGGACTGTGCTCTCCGGCATACAACACAAGCTCATTATTCGAGGTGCGCTTGGTGCCGTTTTTCTCGAAACCGGGCAAATTTTCGAGAAAAATAATAAGGAACATTTTTGTAGAAAATTAACTGAACTTCAATTTTTATCTGAACCGATAATCTCTAACTGCCATATTTTAGGAGATATTGGCTGAAAACCTATTTTCCTGGTCTTTTGGGGCCATTTTCTCCGCCATCGCACGCGTTTTCCAGTCAAACTTTGCCTCATGTTTAATGAGGTACCAAAAGCTACTTCCAACCGGAAGATGAAAATAGTGCGTAATTAATGTTAACTTTGCCTTTTTTTCCTCCTTCATTTATTGGACTACTTGGAATATCTCGAACGTTCTAGACATCTAAGGGATGATCTAGAATATTCTAGAATTATCAGAAATGTTCTCAAATGTGTCCGAAATTTACTACAATAATCAAGAACGTTGTAGTAATTTAAAAATTATTCTACAGGTTCACGGAATTCCAGGAGAGTTTAAGAATGTTCCCAAACAATTCAACCGTCCGGGAAGTGCTCACTTTCCGGACGCTTTTTCTTTGAGATAGTAGCATTTTTTCGACCTAGTCCAGAAAGTACGAACTTCCCGGCCTAGTCCGGAAAGTACGAACTTCCCGGCCTAGTCCGGAAAGCACGAACTTCCCGGAATAGGCCGGGAAGTATCACATCGTTGTTGTCACTGTAACTATGAAAATCTTGGTAGATATGGTTTCGATAAATGCAGATGATAATTACCATGGCAGCAAAATATCGGCTGACAGCTATTTGACATGAAATTAGTTGACATTTTGATTTTTGATAGTTTGGTTGCAATTATCACAATGAACTATCGAAAGCAGCAGCGATAGTGAGATTGAAAATGTCCATACGAAATTTCCAATGTAGCATTTAGTAGGTATAGGTAGTCTGTTCAAATTTTAGTATTTGATACAAATAAGAATTAATAAAGAAGAAATTGTATTCCCCAAAGAAATATAAAATGGAAATGTGTCTCATTGAATTGTTATTCTACATATGGTTGCCGAAAAAATTGTGTACGCAACACGTCCAAGAACATTTTTTTTGGACTCGCAGACTTCCAGGACTCGTCTACGGCTCGGGCGAGAATTTTGTCTATTCGTCCAACAAAACAGTATTTTGCCCAACTTTGACCCAGACTGATAAACGCTTTATTAGGTAATCCAAAAGATGAGGTGGACACCCTTGAAAAGTCAGGAATATACGAAATTAGTTGTAATGATTGTGATAAAACATATATAGGCCAAACCAGGCGTCCCATAAAATCAAGGTTCAAAGAACACTTAGCACATTTGAAATATGGTAGGTTAGATGAATCGTGTGTAGCCGAACTAGGGGTGGGAAAAATTATCGATATATCGATAATTATCGATAATTATCGATAATTATCGATAATTATCGATAATAATTTGGAGAAAAATTATCGATTTATCGATATTATCGATATTATCGATATTATCGATAATTATCGATATTATCGATATTATCGATATTATCGATATTATCGATATTATCGATATTATCGATATTATCGATATTATCGATATTATCGATATTATCGATATTATCGATATTATCGATATTATCGATATTATCGATATTATCGATATTATCGATATTATCGATATTATCGATATTCTCGATATTTTCGATATTATCGATATTATCGAAATAATCAATAATGTCGATGATATCAAAATTATCGAAATTACCGATATAACCAATGATATAAAAATTATCAAAATGAATGAGCATCAGAAACAAAGGTATTTTTGTTTTCTTATATGGAATTGAAGTAAGAATGAAGAATATAATAAGACACGCCACCCTCTACATCAGCCCTGTTCAAACAACATAGGACTCCAGCACAGCAACTTGCATGAAGCTATCTGACATCTGGCAACGTGGCAACCCTTATTAGTTGTGGTGGCAAACTTATTGGTTAGTTATGTGTTGAACAAGTAACAAGTATCAAGTAAGGTGGGTTATCTAATTATATGGAATATTTTTATTTCATCATTCGATTGCTCATTCCTTGAAAAATAACATAATGACAAAATGGCTTTGTTTATTATACCTACGTAGAAACCAGAAAGTAAATATAAAAAATTAGTTTTATAAAAACACCCTTGTCACGACTAGGGGTGGGAAAAATTATCGATATATCGATAATTATCGATAATAATTTGTAGAAAAATTATCGATAATATCGATAATATCGATAATATCGATAATATCGATAATATCGATAATATCGATAATATCAATAATATCGATAACATCGATAATATCGATAATATCGATAATATCGATAATATCGATAATATCGATAATATCAATAATATCAATACTATCGATAATATCGATAATATCGATAATATCGATAATATCGATAATATCGATAATTATCGATAAATCGATAATATCGATAGATTATGATTATCGATAGTCGATATTTCAAAATCATTATCGCCCACCCCTAAGCCGAACACATGTTCAATCACAACACACATATTAATAACCTCAAATTAGTTAAGCAAGTTAATTATATTAGAAAATTGGATGCATATGAAAGCTTGGATATATTTAGTAATTGTGATAGAGTAATGAATAAGGATAATGGACCTATCCCATTTAGCCCTCTGTATAATTTAGTAATATGACATATGAACTCAACCATGAATAAAATCAATTTGGCAGTTATTAGATATGTTCTGCAAGCACATTTTTTTGTTGGTTTACCTCCGGAGCCGTTTTTCAATGTCATTTAGAGCAAGGCAATGTACAATTTTGATAAACAGTATTTTTTTTATTATCTTGGAGATGGTTGCTCTCAAAAGAGTGTATACAATCACTATCCAATTCAAACAAAATAATTGAATTTATGTGACATGGAATAATTAAAAAAAAAATATCGTCGCCGTGGGCTAGAACCATCGACCTTCGTATCCTCGCGCAACAACCCTAACAGTTGCACCACATCAATTAGTAACTTTATCAGTCAGTCACAATTACTTGAGTATTTGAAGAAGATTACTTCAAAAAGGAATTTGAATTCTAATATTGTTGTGTCAGACCGTCAACAAATACGCAAACTTTTTAAATTACACATGAAACGTCCAGCCAGAATAAAATTGTCTCGCCTTTCGTACAAAATATCTCACTAAAGCGAATTATAAGTAAATAAAATAGAAGGAACTTAGGTTATTGTCTCAGATTTGAATCCAAAGCAATCCTGACCAGTCACGATGTCAAAATTTTATCGCTGATAAACGAGGTTAGTTGGTCACCTGTGGGTCAATTCGGCTTCTGTATTGGTAGAGCAAGTCCGATAAAATTTAATAAACAAAAAATATCGCTAGAATACAGAAGAAACCATGAAAATGGTTGATTCTGATTGGTTCTCGAGATCAAGAGTGGAATAGTCACAGGAATTAGATATATTTCAACTTTGACAACTTTTTGTTGAATGACTGAAAACTGAAGGTTAGTTATTGGAGTTGGGAGTTTGAGCACTGGTTTCTGATTTGGTTTGAGTTTGAATTATATTAATTTATTCAATATACACAGTTTGCATTAGTCATAAAGCCAAATATGAATGGAGCCAGTATAGTTCACACAGAAAGAACGTGTCCATAGTAGAAAATTAAAACATTTTGATCCAAATCGGTAAGAAATCACAATTTTTATTGGCATTGCAGTAGTAGACTAATAGACTCCCCAGGTGTGTTCTCTTATATTATTTATCTATTTGCTCCAGAGGTCACATGACTGAAAATCTTCTTCCTCTCACTCTGCTCTCAGATGCGGTTACAGAACATACCAATTATCTATTCACGGTTGGGTGGAAATATTCTTAGTATATAAGTAGCCCACTAGGATAGAGCATTGTTTGGTACTTTGTACCACTTTGTACATCACTGTAACATGGCAACTTGTTGTTGGGGGGAAACAGTTGGAATAATAAATAAACTCAATGAAAACCAGAAAGAATTACAATTCTTCTTCAATCATAAAATAATCATATCATATCATCAAATCATTCAACCAACCAAATATACAGTCCACTCACACCAAGGCATCGAACATATTGATCACCCATTAGATTTTGGTTAGCAAGTGGTTTTGCCTTGAAACACAATACACATTTTCGCAAAATTTTTCGAGTTATATTACGACCATTTAAAGGCCAATATTTTTGACGAACTGCCGATAGTGTAGTTTGATTTCCAGAATGCATATGCCGTATATGTCCATATTCAATAACTAATTTCGTGAATAGATGATTACCCGGTAAAACAATTGGATGTTTATGATATATATTCAAATTGGATTTAACTAATCTTCCTCCTACCCTAAGTATTCCGTGATTATCCAGAAAGGGATTGAGACAAAGTAATTTGCTGTGGTTGGGAAGTTGATTATTATTTTTTGATAAATTGATCTCAAGTGAAAATTCATGTTGCTTAAGACATTCGTAGTATTATCAATTTCAGAAATCTTCAAAGATGATTTGTTCTCCTGTTTATTTTTCAAATATTGGATAAATCGTAAACAATATGCAGTAACTCTCAATAATTTGGTTAAGCTTGAGAATCGAGTAAATATGGTTTGATCTAACACATTTGAACTCAAATTGACAACACTATCCTTTATTTCGGGAATTTCTGTCGATTTTTGAACTAATCCAGATGGCCATAGAGAAGAATCTAAAACAAGCCATGAAGGACCGTGCCACCACATCTCAGATTTCGTTAAACATTGAGGACTTGCTCCTCTGGAAATAATATCAGCCGGGTTATCCTGACTATTGACATGTTTCCATTGATGTACAAAGTGGTACAAAGTACCAAACAAGCATATAGTTTCAATCTTCCCCTGAAGATGCTAACATAGCAAAACACGTGTCGAGGTGTCAAAAAATCGGTTTGTTTAGTGGTAAAACAGTGTGTAGTGTATTATCGTGCCGAAGGTTCCAGTCTTCGATATACGAAAAAAATACCTCGAACGTATTATCCGGCCGCAAGATCAGCGTGTACAGATGCGGCAACTTGTCCGAGAAGTACTCTTCGAGGCGCTCCTTCGGCTTCTGGCAGTGCTTCTCTTCGACAGTGCCGTTCACCGGATTCCTATGGCGGAAGATGAAGTGCAACTTGTGATCGTTGCCGCACTTGTCCGGCCCGAACATGATCGTGTAGGGCGTTTTGTCGTGGAAGAGGGCGAGGTTGCGGGACGCAGGGGGCGAGTCGCTCAGCAATTTCAGGTACGCGCCTTAGAAAAAAAAGAAAACTACAAATACCAGCGGAAAAAAGTGCGGGAGCAGTTTTTGGAGACTGCCGATAGGACTGAAAACTAAGTAACTTGTGAATTATATTATTATTTTTCTACTCCTTTTTGATTCGCTTTACCAATTGTAACGAATGATTCATAGGACCACGATTATCTGAAGTTATTCCCGACACTGATTCATTCTCTTCAGAAGTTATTGGAGATTCCAGCATGTGTTCGATGTTTTTGAAACCAACTAATGTTCAGGAGCTTGAAGAAATCATAAATGATCTGGATAATAAAAAAGCACCAGGATTTGATGACATTAATGTTCATATAGTCAAAGCAGTTAAATCAGAATTGGTGCCATTACTAACTAAATTGATAAATATAACATTCGAAACCGGTTCGATCCCCAAAAATTGTAAAATTGCAAAAGTGTTACATACCAATATTCAAAAATGGAAAAAAATATTCAATGAATAATTATAGGCCCATTTCTTTGCTACCAACATTATCCAAAATTATTGAAAGAGTTATGCATAAAAGATTATCTGATTATTTAATAAAAATTGAATTTCTCTTTGATGGTCAATATGGCTTTCGGAAATCCTGTGACACTGAATGTGCAACACTGGATGTTATTACTGACATTCAGCTGAAATTAGATTCAGACTACAGATGTGGACTCTTATCACTGGATTTGCGAAAGGCATTTGATACAGTCAATTTTGAAATTCTATTAATGAAATTAACTCAAATAGGGATAAGAGGTAAAGTTTACTCTTGGTTTGAAAATTATCTAGTTGATAGAAAGCAGTTTGTGTATATGGGAGATTCATTTTCTTCAATAAGAAACATATCTTGTGGTGTACCCCAGGGATCAATTCTCGGACCTATTTTATTTCTAATTTATATAAATTCTATCTCAATATTGAAATTACAAGGGAATTTAAAATTATTTGCCGATGACACAACTCTCATTTATTACGGAAAAAATATACAAGAAATAAAAAACCAAATGGAACAAGATCTCGCTTCAATAACATTATGGTTACAAGATCATAAATTGACACTCAATTTCGATAAATCTTCTTTTATGTTCATCTCGAGAAGAATTATACCTGATAACCAAATAGATCCGTTAAAATTCGGGAATTTTTGTATAAATCCTACAAAAAACTCCAAACTCTTAGGTTTAACTATAGACCAGACTCTATCTTGGTCATCGCATATTCAATTGCTCAGGAAAAAAATATCTCCCATTATTGGCATATTATACAAATTGAGGTCTTTTATACCTCTTAAATACTTAAAATTAATTTATTTCAGTTTGATTTACTCTAAATTGCAGTATCTGATATCGATCTCGGGTACTGCAGCAAAATCTGTTTTGAAACCTCTGAAATCTCTTCAAAATAAAGCGATAAAATGTATTTATAAACTACCATTTCTGGAATCAACATCTAGACTATACAAACCAAGAGATCTACTAGATATTGACTCTCTCTTCAAAATGAAAGTATGCATTTTCATTCATTTCATTAAAAATAAGAAAAAGCACTCGAATCTTACTTTCAATATCAATTCTGATACCCATGAGCATCACACCAGACAAAGTGAAAATTTGAAAACTGTTAAAATAAAAACCCAATTCGGGAAAAAATCATTGTATTTTTGTGGAATAAATATTTATAATAGTCTACCCAACAGAATAAAATCTATTAGATTCGTCACAAAATTTAAGTGTGAACTGAAGAAATATATTTTATCAATTTAACTCTCCCCTTGTATCAATTAATTCTGATTGAACTGTTTATCTTTCATTGTATTGCATATTTGATTTTATTTTTTTTTTGTTGTTTCCCTCTATAAACATTGTATGTTTCTTGGGATCAATAAATGTTATTATTATTATTATTATAATCTCCGACCCGGAAAACTCCCAAATTTCGAACAGATTCGGATCATAATTACAATACTCGTCCGCCATATTGGATCCACCATCTCGACTTTTGTAATAACATCTTGTATATATATTTTGTTTTGAGGTTTTTCCTTGACGACAAAAAACGTTGAGAGCAAGAATTTATGCAGGTAAATTATGGAAATAATTCTGGAAGTGTGTTACGTTATTCGTGTGCAGAAGCGAACACGACACTATTTATTTTCGAACTAATTTATTTGAACTAAAGAAACACTAATTTATATCGAACTTATAACTACTATTTATGTAAAACGATTTATATCACGCGGTATATGACTGTCTCTCTGACACTCGCTGCTTGACTGACTGACGCAGTTGTTCGGCCGTCTTATATATTAGATCCCTTGGTAGGCTTTGTTTCTCCAACGTTCTCGAATGATCTTCCGTCCCCTTCTTTTTGTTCTAGAAGCTTCTCTGAACAATACCTCTCTCTTTAATTGTTCCAAAGATTGTTTCCAGAACATTCTAGAATCTTCTGTCATGTTATTTGTCACCGCGGCATACATTGAGTGTTCGGAAATATGCTGGTGCATGTGGGTATTACAAATGTTATTATAGGATTAAACAACGATTTTTCTGGAAAGGTATGACAAATGACATGAAGAACTACATAAAAACTTGTTCAGTTTGTCAGTTGGTAAAATTCAAATACTTACCCAAACCTGATTTTATACACGAAACCTAATGTTCGCAGAATTGAGTAAAAAATCCGATTTGAACAAAACTACAAAATCATTCTTTCTAGTCATTGATGAGGCAACAAGATTCATTCAAGCTAAATCAATGAAAGAGAATACACGAGCTGTTTGGATAAATTACCATATTTGGATAAAATCAAGTATATTGTATCTGATTGTGGAACAGCATTTACTTTCTTTCTTCGCCCGACCTTGTCACATACGCTTCAACAGCTATGATTAGCCCTTGAAACGGCGGTTGAATGCTGTAATTCAAGATATAGGAGAGCATACTACTTTTTGACTACATCTAGGACGCCTGCTCTTTATTTGTTTATTGTAACTGAGGTTAATCTTTACTAATGAGAATGAGGCTATCAAATCGGGGAGCCAGTAAATCATATTAATATTCATGTTTTTTCAAGTTGTTAATCGATATGTTCTGCATTACTGCACATACAAATTTTTTTAAATCTATAATAATTGATGATAATGTGCAACTTGTGATTGTTGCCGAAAACCCCCAGATACAAATTTTGAATAGATGCGGATCATAATTACGAAACTCGTCCGCCATATTGGCTCTGCGATCTTGAGTTTCCCAATTTTGAGGATGGAATCATCTTTGACCCCGAACACCCCCAGATACCAATTTTGAATAGAATCGGATCATAATTACATGTTTCATGATAATCAGTTGAGTAATTTTGGCAAGAAAGCGTAACAAACAAACGATGACAATGACGCGAAATCCAGTTTTTCTTCAGCCTTTATGAGTGTAAGGCTCCTTGCACACGAGCGGTATTCGCCGGGCGGAAATTCTGCCGGCCGGCAGAAAAATCGGGTATGGTTTGCACACGGGAGACGGTGATAGTGCCTCAGTCTTTATTCACGCAGTGCCGGATTGAGTTCTAACAGTGGTGCACATGGATCTTCGCAAGAGAATTGTGGTTGCGTACGCCTTGGACAGACATCGAAGCTAGGAAGTTGTGGATTCATCCATTAATGGAAAAACGAACAGCAGTGGGAGCATTCAACACATTATTCGTTTCGCTAAGAGCAGACGAGAGTAAATTTTTCAATTATTCTAGAATGCCGATTTCATCATTTCATTTTTCAGTTTTCTTGTCTTCTGTCTATCTTTAAACTCTTCGGTGGTCTTGTCCCACAAAACCGGTCTTTGCTCCACCGCCATAATAAGCAGTTCAATATCGACCTCTTCTTTGAGCTCCATCTCCAAGCACTATCAGCACGAATACTGACATGTGCACCACTAGCGAACGCTCACAAATTTTGAGATCGTGCGCAAACAATTATAAACTTGCATGCTTTCAGACGAACCGAGCGACAGTTCTATACCTTTTCAACTTCAATTTCGGAAAAAGTAATCTCGATTTCAGAATTGGTTAGTTCGATTTCAGAAATGGTAAACTCAATTTCAGAATCGGTGAGATGAATTTCAGAAAAAGTCCATTCAATTTCAGAAATAGTAAGTTGTATTTCAGAATTGGTAGGTTCAATTTCAGAAAAAAATCCTTATATTTGTTCGAAATGTTTCCAATTGTATGTGAGATTAACAAACCATATTTACAATATTCAACTTGTCAAAAACAATTCAATAACATAATTATAATCTCAATTTAATCCACAGATGCCTTCCATCCGAATCGCTGGAAGATAATAGCGTTGCACATGATTATGAGAATGCAAACACATTTGAGGTGCTATCATTCTCATTGAATAATCTGCACATTCCTCAAGACATCGCAGTCTGAATTCTATCTGGTTGAGCAAGCTGTTCGGATCCCCAGCTATGATCCTTTGGCGATGCTCTTGCAAGAAGCTCTTCACTTCTGACTTGAAGGCACCCCATATATGTTCAATCTGATTCAACATAGTGCTCTCAAACACCGTTCATCCACTGTAAACAATCTTCTCTTTTGCAATTAAAAACATTTCAAACATATAAAAGGATTTCATCTTCTGAAATTGAACCTACCAATAATAATTCTGAAATACAACTTACCAGTTCTGAAATTGAATGGGCTTTTTCTGAAATTCATCTCACCAATTCTGAAATTGAGTTTACCATTTCTGAAATCGAAATAACGAATTCTGAAATCGAGATTACTTTTTCCGAAATATAACTCACCGATTCCGAAATTGAAGTTGAAAAGGTATACAGGCCGGTTGCCGTGTGTCGCCAGATTCGATTCTAATTTGACCGGCAGTTAATTTGCCGGTGCCGTTCTGAGTGAAAACCCCCATATAATATGTTGTATTCGAATATTCCACGGTTTTTCTGCCGGCCGGCTGAATTACCGCCCGGAGAATTGGCGCACTTGTCCGGCCCGAACATGATCGTGTAGGGCATTTTGTCGTAGAAGAGCGCAAGGTTGCGGGACGCAGGAACAATGCAAACTACACTGGTAACCGGCCAGAAAACAAACTTATATAGCAAAACCGATCGCCCTGTAACTTTTTCATTTCTTGTCCGATTATTGGGGAATTTCGACCAAATTGTAGATTTATGTATCGGAATGTTAGCCTGAATTCAAGTTCCCAACAAAAGCTGATGGCAAAATTGAGCAATTAAACTTTGCTTCATTATGTTTTGGATCGAAGTATGATCCCTTCTCAACACAATGGTTTTTGATTCACAGCAATATCTCAATTTTAAGAAAAGATACAAGTGTTTCATCGCGATGAAATTAAAAAAAAATATGTACAACAGTTTACTCAGATTGAATTCGCAACGCTGGATGAACCTTCTATGAAACCGTCAAAGTGGGAAAACCAAATAGAATTATTGTAAGAAAATTATTGGAGTCCTGAAAATATGAGGATTAAAAAGTAGCAAATATAATCTTTAGTTGTCATATACTCCGTTGCATTGAATATTTAATGTTTGGGGATACTGTTCGGAAAACAATTTCAATGAAATATCTGCATTACATAAAAATATATCAGAACTACATCGTTTACCATATGATACACCAACGAATCAATTATGAAGAATAACAGAAACATTCTCATTAGAAGAAATGTTCAAAATTTCATACAATATCATGAATGAAAGATTGAAATCCAATTATGTTTTATCAATAAACTATGAAATTCAAGATCACCAAATAAGACAATATGATTTATTTCATCTTTATGTTGCTTGCTCTACAATAGGACAAAAAAGAATTTGTAATAATTGTATTGTTATAATTGTTAACAACTTCCTTATACTAGAACTGTTTCTGACTGGAAGTCATATTTTTGATAAATAAATAAATGAATAAATAGGTAAATAAAAAGATGACTGAATAAATGAATAAATAAATGAATAAAAAAAATGAGGAAATGAATAAATAACATCATTTTGATGCTTTCACAATCGGGTTGATCAGTGCTGCTGAGGTTCTAACTAGTGGTAAGTAATTTTGACCTAATTGTCATTATTAAACAGGTATGCATCAGTTCAACATTAATAATGTCATTATTGTAGAACCAGTATTTGGAATCATTTCATAAAATTCTGTTATTTCCGCAGCTCATTTAACGACCGTTTATTTATTTATTTATTTATTTATTGAAAATGTTACTTCCAGTCAGAATCAAGTTCTGGTATAAGGAAGTATAGTTAACAATAATACCTAAAACTATACAATTATAATAAACTGATGAATAATAAAATATTTGAAAACATTAATTATTAAATTTTGACAAATCATTTCATATTGGTGAGCAAAAATCAATTTGAATATGAATCAAAAGTTGAAAAAAAAAGTCATCTATTTCGTTCAGAAATGATAAATTTTTCAAGATGGTATTTGAATTTTATTGTATTTCTGCAATTTTTTATAATATCTGGTAATTTGTTATATTCCAACAGAGCAGCGTGGATGAATCTTTTTTGGCCTATAGAAGTATTAGCGATATCAAGATGAAATAAACCATGTTGTCTAGTTTGATAATTATGAATTTCATTGTTTCGTGTTAAAATAAAATTAGATTTCAATCTTTTATTTATGATATTGTATGTAATTTTCAGTCTTTCGATTTTGAACATTTCTTCTAATGAGAATGATTCAGTTATTTTATATAATTGATTTGTTGGTGTATCATATGGTAAACGATACAGTACTTCCAATGTCTTTTTATATAATGCAGATATTTTATTAAAATTGTTTATTGAACAGTATCCCCAAACATTTATCAAATAGTTAATACGACTGAGTATATGAGAATATAGAATTATATTTGCAACTTTTTTATTCAGCTTGGGACATCTTCTCAGGGCTCCAATAATAGGAGATATTTTTTTCTTCAAAACATTTATATGTTTGTTCCACTTCAATTTATCATCAAACCAAATCCCAAGATACTTTTTCTCATTAGTTTGTTTCAAAGATTCATTTTTAATTCTGAGATTTGAATTTATATTTTGTTCATTTTTTTGTTGAAAAATCATATATTCAGTTTTATCAGTATTTATTGATAAAAGGTTTGAATGCAGCCATTTTTCAAATTTCATCAAGTCTCTGTTTATTATATTTTCTAAAATGATAGGATTTTTATTTTCATATAAAAGTACCGTATCGTCTGCATAAATAGTGTAATTACATTCTGTATCAATTTTCGTGATATTTTGAATATATAATAAATATAAAATTGGTCCTAAAACAGATCCTTGAGGGACACCTTTAGTCATGGGTAGTCTATGAGACTCTGAGTTGGTAGATTTGGTACTGATTGTCCTATTTTGAAGATACGAATCTAAAAGGTTCCTCATCATGCCTCTGAGTCCCATTGATTCTAAATTTTCCAAAAGTGTTATGTGGTCTACTGTATGGAAAGCTTTCTTGAGATCAACAACAATTGCTATCACATAATTTCCGGTATCAAGTCCTTTTTGTATTGCTTGATCGAAGCTTGTATTACTTGTAATATTGCCGCTTGTGTGCCACTATTTTCTTGAAAACCAAATTGATTTATGTCAAAGCTATATTTTCTATTTATGAAATCTACAATGCGTTTTTTAAGAATCTTCTCAACAATTTTGGAAAAAATGCTCAATAAGGCGATTGGTCTATAATTTTCTGGATCTTGAGTATCTCCACTTTTGTAAATTGGTCTTAATGAAGCATGCTTTAATTCTTGTGGAAATATACCACTGGTAAAACATTTATTGATTAATTTTGACAATGGATTGGCCGTAAGTTACCTATTAAAAAAACATAAAGATAGGGGCACAGGAAGGAAGAGGAAGGACCAAAATAAAACACAAACATATTTCCAACACATCACATAATTGCCAAACATTTTCAAACAACTCACCACCGCATTCTTGGCCGTCCTGCAACAGCACCTCGTACTGCACCACCAACGGCTTGTCCTTGAACACGAACGGCCTGTCCAAGGCGGCGGCGATGGCGGCATGTTTCGCCTTAGACTTCAACACCAGCCCGCTGTCTCCCCGCAAAGCGTCCCGCCCCGCCTGCTCCACCTCCCACTCGCCGTCGTATTTGGCGATGTCTTCCTCGATGCCCTCCTACAATTCACAATGATAATAAACTGGGCGAAATGTGGCATCAAGTTTGACTTCTCGTAATTTCTAAAATATTGAACGAATTTTGAATTGCCGCCCAGATTCTGAATGCCTTTTTCATCGTCTTTCGATCCGTTCCTTACAGCTTCTTCTAAATCGATCAGGACCCATGATACAGGGTGAAACAAAGTTTCGTGCATTTTGAAAAAAAATTCTCCGCCCCCCCATTTTGTCGGAAGACCACGATGCTCATATTTTATTCGGGCATTTCATAAATAGCAACCATACCTCGGGACGTTTTCGAGTTTTTGCCAAAAACTACTGTGGTTTCCGAAAAGAAAATTTTTTTTGCATTTTTTTAAATGGACTAATTTTAGAGGAGTTCCATACATGGATGCTTTTATGCATTTCAGGAAAGCGTTGGAGCAAATATGTATACCAGGATACTCAAAAACAATCAATAATTAGTTACTTCGCAGTCTATGTTAAAAGTTTCCTACCTTAGTGTATCTTTAAATTTTTTAGGAGCAGAATAACACTGACGTTTTCATAAAAATTGGCAATTGATATAACCTCTACGCATACCAATATTGTTTCAACAATACGTTGTTATAGAAACAAGGTATTGTTGTTTGTTTTTGTTGATGAGATGTGTTGATTTACTGCTCACTAAGGTAGACAACTCTTATCATAGACTGCGTAGTAATAAATTATTGATTGTTTTTGAGTAACCAACGCTCTCCTGAAATGCATAAAAGCATCCATTTATGGAACTCCTCTAAAATTAGTCCATTAAAAATAATGCGAAAACAATTTTTTTTCGGAAACCACAGTAGTTTTTGGCAAAAACTCGAAAACGTCCCGAGGTATGGTTGCTATTTATAAAATGCCCGAATAAAATATGAGCATCGTGGTCTTCCGACAAAATGGGGGGGCGGAGAATGTGTTTTCAAAATGCACGAAACTTTGTTTCACCCTGTATCATGGGTCCTGATCGATTTAGAAGAAGCTTTAAGGAACGGTTCGAAAGACGATGAAAAAGGCATTTAGAATCTGGGCGGCAATTCAAAATTCGTTCAATATTTTAGAAATTACGAGAAGTCAAACTTGATGCCAAATTTCACTATTAACGTTTCAATTGACGCCCAGTTTAGTCTATAAGAGCCAGCGCCGAAAAGATTCTTTGAATTTACTAAGCCTAGTTTTTTCACAGTTTATTACAGTGGTTTTGTACACAAACATACTGCGGTCAGTCAAGCGAAACTGAGAACAGGTGTCCCTCGTATACTATCGGAGTTGTCGTTCCTACCGAGGTAATGTAATGAATTTACTATATTGCATATGAATGAAAGTTATGAAAGTCCGTCAGCTGACTGTGGGGACGGGAGCTGGTCAGTCAGCCCCAATGTATGCAAAAAATAAATGAATTGCAATTCATTTACTACACTTCAAAATTTTTGTGAGGTGTGAGGATATTTGTTGTTATATCAATTATGAAAAAAATGGTCAGTCATCGATTCTGCGGGACCATAGTACAGTTGCCATGTGTTGAAATACGATTGGGAACTTCAGAAATATTAGTCATTCAAACATTCATAAATTCTCATTTATGTATTGGCAATATTCCTATTTAGCAATACAAAATCAATTGTTTCAAAATGTTCCCTGATGATTTGGGGCTCATTGCTTAGAAAGAGTCAAGAATGAACTATAACATCATGGGTTCCTCCTATTATCTTTTATTCAACACAGAACTCATAAATCTTTCTGATAACTTGATTATAATTGGTGACTAGACAACCTTCCTTCGTGAGTGGGAATGGAAGATTATCTGACCAATAACGAAACAGTATAAAAGTTGATGTCACCATTTATTTGACGTATCGGCGTATCGTCAAATAATGGCCATGGCGGTACGTTTGAAATGAGCTCCGAAATTTAACAATTTCGAACAACGCTTACACTTATTATTCACACAAAAAAAGTGTGAGAAGTGTTGAAAAGATTAATTTTTCTGAAACCGACACAAAAGTCGTCCATTTTAATACCAAAATTAGCTCTTGAATTGACGTTTCTATTACTGACACAAAAATAGGTATGTTGCTAGGCAACATATTTAGTTCCTTCCAAATAACCAACCATAACAATGTTTATTATTATTCTTTCCAAGGAGAACTTGAGAAGGCGGAAGGAGTCTGGAGAGCCAGACAATGGAGAAGACTTCCAGGACTACGGCAGGGTAAAGGTCTCCTTGGAAATTTCAACCGAGAAAGATCTAAGACACTGACAAACCTCAGCAAAGGAAGTCTCAAAGCAATAACGGGATTTCTAACGGGGCATTGCAGACTCAGAGAACACCTAAGAAGCTAAGCTTACAGGAGGACGGCACCTGCAGATTCTGTGAGGAAGAACCAGAAACACCTCATCTCATACTGATGGAGTGTGACGCTGTACATCACAAAAGATTGAACATACTGGGAACACACCAGCTGACTGTGGAAGAAATACCACAGCTGGACCCCCTCAAAATCCTCAAATTCCTGAAGGAATTGAATCTCGAGGGGCTGCTATAAACAAGAAATCCTTGATATAGCAGAAGCAGATGGGGCACAATAGATCTAATTAGGTCGCAGCGCATCTGTCACCATCCAACCTACCAATACCAATTATTATTATTCTTGATGACCTATAGTACATCCGTTTTAGTTCCTAGGAGCTAAAGTTAAACTTTAGCCCCTAGGAACTAAAATTGTTGCCTAGCAATATATCTATGTTTGTGTCAGTAATAGAAAGAGCTAATTTTGGTATTAAAATTGACGACTTTTGGTGTCGGTTGCAGAAAAAAAAAGTCAAATAAATCCAGTAGTTTCAGAGCCTAGTCAATACAAAAAATCAAATCTTTCCTCTTTATAAAAATTGGTAGAGATAGTAGAGATTACTGATCACCGACCTCTACCCTTGCCTACTCAAGAAAAAGTTGCTCATAGATACCGCCTCCTACTGATTAAAATTTTTGGCTTCATTGCTCTCAGAAGGAAACCCACTGAAATTACAATATGTCTCTGAACTCCATAAGGAAAAATAAATATGCTTCACAAGAATGAATAAATATGTTTCAACAAGCAAAAACATTATTCCTTACCTTTTTGGCCTGTGATTTGATCCAGCGCTTTTGAACTTGAACAGGATCATCAAAATGTTCGGCTAGGTAGACTTTTCTTGTGTCGGCAATCGTGGGACTTTGATATTGAACATCGATGACTGGCTGTTCGACCGTTTCCACATATGCTTCGTCCTAGAGAGTGTATAATATTTCCAATATGGGATTTTTGTATCTTTGATACTAGAGTCACTGGATGGTATTAGTTAGATGAGAGTTTGAACACAGAAATGACAACCGTTAGTGTTTTTGAATGTTTATATTTATCAAGTTACACAACTTGCATTGTGACAACAGCATCATAGTCGTTCCGCGCTATATCTTTCAAAATTGTTTGAATTCGACAACAAATTTTATGAACGTCAGAATTGAAATATAGCTTCATAACTATTTGCGATAGAAAATAAACGTACGCCACCTATCGGAGTTCTTGAAAGCTGTCAAAGCGGCCTGTTTACTTTTTTTTTCATTGGTTCACATTTGTTTTTTGTTTGTGCTTATTGGTCATAGAATCAAAACAAACCGCTCAGAAGTGTTCCAGTTGCTGCCGTCAGATGGGGCGACGTGTTATTTTTTATCGCAAATTGAGAAAAAAGCATAAATGGAAATGTCCTTCTGTGTAATGACTTGCGGGAATTTTGAAGGGAATGGCGATTTTATTTCTATGATTTTCCAAAGGAAATATAAACCATTCCTTTATACAGTGTGTCCCACTTACCATGCTCACCATGGGTATCTTTTTAATGGTGAGAGATACGAGGTTAGTTAAATGACACCAAATGTGGAGTTTGTCAAGGCCAACTATAATGTGAAAAAATATTTTGATAAAATCTATTCGTTTTTGTTTTATACGCAAAAAACAGATTTTGATCATCTTCATGTCTTCTCGTAACTTCTTTATTTATGAAAATATTCAAATAGGAATTTCACATTCTCATGGCAGTTTTTCAAAGTGATTTCGAAAATAATATGGAATTCATACCAACTTTTCGAGAATTTGAGATATCAGCACCAACTTTAGTTTTTCAAATGTAGGTCATAGCTCACTATGACTCAGTTACAAATAACTTTTTTTTTTCTCACAGATGATATGTCGCAGTAATAGTTTTGTGTTGATAACAACGGAGTTATCGTCATTTATACAAAAACAAAAAATAATTTGGAAGCCGCCATCTCGAATTTATGAATTTTAACAAAAAAATCATGATCTCCGACCTCAAAAACCCCCACCCACCAATTTTGAATGAAATCGGACCAAATCTTGTCCGCCATCAATGAAAAAAATGGCTGCTCCAAGATGGCGGACAAGATTTGGTCCGATTTCATTCAAAATTGGTGGGTGGGGGTTTTTGAGGTCGGAGATCATGATTTTTTTGTTAAAATTTATAAATTCAAGATGGCGGCTTCCAAATAATTTTTTGTTTTTGTATAAATGACGATAACTCAGTTGTTATCAACACAAAACTATTACTGCGATATACCATCTGTAAAAGGAAAAAAAGTTATATGTCACTAAGTCATAGTGAGCTATTACCTACATTTGAAAAACTAAAGTTGGTGCTGATATCTCAAATTCTAGAAGAGTTGGTATAAATTTCATATGTTTTTCGAAATCACATTGCAAAACTGCCATGAGAATGTGAAATTCCTATTTGAGTATTTTAATAAATAAAGAAGTTACGGAGGAGACATGAAAATGATCAAAATCTGTTTTTTGCGTATAAAACAAAAACGAATAGATTTTATCAAAATATTTTTTCACATTATAGTTGGCCTTGACAAACTCCACATTTGGTGTCATTTAACCGACCTCGTATCTCTCACCGTTAAAAAGATACCCATGGTGAGCATGGTAAGTGGGACACACTGTATAGAAGGAATGTATGAAGCGGCCTGGATGGAAAATCAATTTGAAGACATGCGAAATTTGTGAAGTAAGTAAATATACATTAAAACTCACTTCTTATAATAGCAGATTGGAATGAAACTATATTTTAGGCCAATTTTCCATTGATTCACAAAACAGACTATTGAAAAAAATTCCAATATTATCATGAGACGAAATGCAAAACAAAATTTTTATAGAGAAAGAGGAATTGATTGCAAAACTTTGCATAAAAATTTTAATTTCGAGAACGACACTGAGGAAATCAAGTGAATTGCAATGTGATATAATATCATTAAATGGAGTTTTCAATACCGACCAAATTCAAAATTTATCAGCAAAAAGTGAATGCAGCAAAAGGTGGAAAATCAAAACAATTTTCATGTTTTACACTTTATCACTCGGATACAGTTTTAGATATATGTCTACATTGTCATATTAAAATGTTGGTACATGAACTCTTTTTATTTTTATAACTATCGTTCTGCGAAAAGTGTAGGTGTAGCGCTACTAGGGAAATTGAAAAGACAAAGAGTAGACTATTATGTCTCATTCTTTTATTCACTGGAACCATTGTGATATGGAAAATAGAAAAGGACAGAAGTTCAGCTGTGTCCAAACTCTTATCCAACTGATACCATCCAGTGCCTCTATTTTTTTTTGTGTTTTTTTTTTATTAAACCATTTTAGCATACATATTAATAAATACATCTAGCATTTTTTTCCTAATCAGCAACATGCTGGTGACGGAACATTATAATTGACATATGATTCAATAACAATTTCTGTAGTTACCATAATATACATTAGTATACATTAATATACATTAATATACTTATACACAAACAACAACAATTACAATCTTAGGTATATCATAGTACAGTAGTTTGTTGATTTATGTGCTGAATCAAGTTTATTTTAAATGAAGAATAACTATCTATATTTTTCACAGGATTTGGCAAAGAGTTGAAAGTTTCTAGACATTTGTATATAGGATTATTTAGTGCCAAGTTTGTTCTTTTTTTGCGTCGAAACCATTCATTATCGATCAAAACGGCTGACATGTCCCTATCTCAACTTTTGATTCACTATCTACTGGAATTTAATTGAAAAAAATACAGGGTGCTTCAAGATTCAGAATTCTGATCACCCTGTATATATTCCAATTAAAGTCAGTAGATAGTGAATCGAAAGTTAGGATAGGGACATGTAAGCCGTTTTGATCGATATAGAATAGTTTCGACAAAAAAAATTCTAAAATTGAAATATCTCGATTTTGAACACCCAATTTCTCTGTAATCATCCCTGCTAGTGTGATGCATTGATGAAATCAGCTCTTCAGGAAGAATTTAGAAATGCAATAAAATACAGGGTGCTCCATTTAAATGAACGAAGTTGCTAGTTGTTTCTGATAGAAGTGGCAACACTGTATCGATGAAAATATTTTAGGCGGATAGAGAATGTTCAATTATCAGAGTATCCCAATTTTCAGAATGTTCTGTCTTTCCGTTCTCCAGATACTTCTAATAGGCCAACCACCGTGGATCACCCTGTATATATCATTCATATATTGTTATCGAATAAAATTTTGTTGATATGAAGAAAAAGAGAGCACAGATTCAAACAATTCGAAAATAATTATTCCAGAAACGTTTTTGAATAGCCAAAATATGTTGAGAATTACGAGGATAAAGGGGTGACACATTTAGGTGGGACACCCTGTACCTAAACTTTGCCGAAAAAATAATCTCGTGAAATCAGTGTAGGTACTTGAAGCCCTAAAGGTAAACTTGAATTACACTGCGTGACATGAGAGATTTTGAAAATTAATTACCGCCTGAAATCAAAATACCATAAATGGAATAAATGATCTCAATTAAGCTGTCTACAATGAACATTAATATTCAAACAGAAAAAATCACTCTCAACAAACGAAAAAAATAATTCACATAAGTGTTAATTCGGCATGAAAATGAAGAGACATAGGAACAAAATTGAAAGTAGATACTTATTCTCATACTTGTCTTCTGAGAACCAAGATAAAGGGTAAATACCCAGGGTATTTACCTAGGAGCAGTATTTATGAGGATATTTTGTATTTATGAACTTTTCAACAGGAAACATGGAAAATTTCTTTTTATTACACTATTTTTGCAAGTCTAATGTCTTAAAACAGTTTCTATCAATTCGACAACCTTCTAAACTCTGACAAAAACAATGTTTAGATTGAACAACTCTTCATGAACTCACTTCCAGTAGTTGGGATCTGGTATCTGGTAATCTGGTACTACAGAAATGACACCTTTGACAAAAAAACTACAATGAACAAGAAAACCTATATTAAAAAAAACTAACCACTTAAAAAACAAAATGAAATTTATTCGTAAAAAGAACTGACTCCTATTTCATGTCAGAGGAACAAGGAACAAAAAAAAATAAAAAAAAAAAACAAAAAATACTGACTCTTTTAGTTTTCTCTTGCAAGTTTTGTGTAGGAAACAATAAAATAATGTATAACTTGAAAAATAAAAAACCTATTCTATTCTTCAAACATTCAAACATTTCACTACGTTGACACGGCTGTTTTGTGCTGTCGACAATATCAAATCGTTTTTTATAATAAACCTACTTTTGGGTAGGTATTTATCCTAAGGGTAAATACCCGGGTAAATACTCGATTTATAAATACCCAGCTACTGGGTAAATACCCACAGCATATCACTACTTGGAGCACATGAAAGGAAATTCCTAAAATGTTCCAAGAGCATCGTGGGTACTCTTGAACTTTTGGAGGTTATAATAAGTTCTTGGGAATACTTTCATTTGCAAAGAATTCCAAAGCAGTGGTAATTTAGAGAGCTGATACCTTGGCTGACACCGTCATATTATTGATATTATGCCCTATGAAGACCAGTATACATACCTACCAGCTTTGATGACCCCACCTCAATACAATAAAAAGATACACATGATGGGCAGTGGGCAATTATAAAAATATACAGGGTGAGTCATTGAAATGGGAAAGTGAGATCTTTGGTGTTTGAGATAGATGAACAAAAATTGTTGTGATGATCTAGGCTCATGAACAGCACATTTCCAAAATATTTCGCTATTTCGCTTTATACAGGGTGACTTAAAAATGCGTGACGTATCAGAGTTATAGTTTTTCTTATGGGACACCCTGTATTTTATTGCATTTTCGGATTCTCCTTTGTGAGCTGATTTCATCAATGCCTCACACTGGGGTCTAGCAAGAATGATTACAGAGATAAAGAATGTGCAAAATCGAGATATTTCAACTTTAGGATTTTTTTGGGTTGAAACTATTCATTATTGGTCAAAACGGCATATACATGTCCCTATATTAACTTTTGATTTACTATTCTTGCTAGACCCAAGTGTGATGCATTGATGAAATCAGCTCACAAAGGAGAATCCGAAAATGTAATAAAATACAGGGTGTCCTATAATAAAAAGTATAACTTTCATACGCCACGCATATTTGAGTCACCCTGTATACGCAAAGTAATTTAGAAATATGCTTCTCATGAGCCTAGACCATCACAAAAATTTTTATTCATCTATGTCAAACAGCGAAATCATTATCTCACTTTCCCATTTCAATGACTCACCCGGTATTTCAAACCAGTATGTGAAGGGAATTCATATATTTATTTTTCTGAACGAAAAATTGCTAAATTAACAAAACATTTTAGATAATTTGGAAATTCAAAATGTGGAATACTTTTATCTGATATCAGTAGTTTGTGTTTGGAATAGTTTAGCTTCTCTTTGACAATTTCAAGAAACACACAAAGAGAAATAAGTATTATGGTATTTTCAAACAGAATAGATATGTTTAGAATAATGATAAGAGGCATAAAAAAACTGTAAGGTATTCTAGTCATAAGGTATTAATAATAATTTTCAGCATTTAGGCATTGGTTGGCAATATCAGAAATAAATCTGCATTAGTGGGCATTACAGCAAAAAACTAGCATTTAATGCTGAAACTGGCAATAGGTGTACATATTTTTGGAGTGTGTCCTCCCCTGTGAAAAATAGTATATTGTTACAATAGAATCAAAATCAATTATGCATTGACCAAACCAAGGACCAAACATCCTAGAAAATATCCACAGAATTTTATTCAACGTTTTTTGATCTTTCAAAGAAAAGTAAACTTTCAAAACAATAATAATCATCACATTATCATAGTTTTCTGGCATAATTGTTTATTATGTCTCTATCACCATGACTCTATGACTATGACTCACTGATTAAGTATGATTAAATTGAATTTCTTGACAGAAGAGAAATAAAAAATAGGGGTGGATATAAGTATTTTTATGGTTCAAGAACTGAAAATCTCAATGCTGGAACAGAATAGGGTCATTATTTCCTACAGTGAAATTTATTATTTGTTTAATCTATGACAGGTATTAAGCCTTTCTATGGTGTAAAATCAACAAGGTTCATTCACTCTTTGATTACAATAATACACAAACTAATGAAGGTAATTAAAAGATTTGTCTTATAATTAGGAAACTTAGCAGCAAACTTTAATAATCTGACATGTATTTACTTGTCTTCCAGAATGAGGTCATGAGCTATACAAAGAATTGCACAGAAACCAGCCAGTATTGATATAGGTATTTTGAGAAGGTAGGATCTTTTTGGATAACATTTGGTATTTTATTATTTCAGTTCAACAAGAAGATAGTCCAACTGTTGATTTTTCAGTAGGATGGTAGGGAATTGTTATTTATACTCTATGGGATAGAACATATATGTAGCCACTAGTATTGCTCATTGATTTGATTGATTGAATGTCATTATTAGCCAAAGGAACACACACATGAAAATGTATAACAAATCATTGAAAAATAGGAAAACATGCCCAACTTGCAGGGGAATGTGTCCTATTTTGATAGGCAGCTCTTGAATTCAATAATTGTTGAACTTGACATCAAAATTTATTATACTTACATCTACATCTTCATTAGAGTGTGCAGTAGAAACTAGAAGACACAGAAATAGGCAACTTATCCTTATTTTCATTGTGGAGTCTGCTACCACATAAATGCTGCAATTGAAAATGAATTGATAAAAAACAAGTTCCTGGTACCGAGAAATCCGTTCAAGGAAGCCAGGAAACCACTGTCTAATCCCAGATAATTCAATTAAAAGTAATTAAAAAAGGCCCAATCATTTTAAGGTTATGGCACCCTCTGACATTCATGTGATTACATATATTTTTCAAAATGATACTACTAATTATATTGTATTATTCCAGAAAAACACGATAACAGCGAATTAAATTCTATCAGGTTCTCTTCATGAAAAACATTCATGTTTGCACAAAAACACATAGGTGTATTTTATAGTTTGTCTTTAGCAAATTTTGAACACTAGACAATCTATAATATTTGGAAAAGAATATATAGGTATCGATATGAGGATTGTGAATCTGTTTTACCTTTATGTATCCCTCTTGATGGACTTTTTGATTTTTTTCAAGTAAAAATTCTACTTTTGCCTTTACCGAAAAATATTGTTGACAGAAAAAGGAAATTTTTGACAGAAACTTTTGAACCAATCAAAACGCAACGAATGTCATATCATCCAGTCATCCATGCGCACATTCCAACATGAAAAATTGATATATCTGACCTTGTTTTTTGTATGTGTTAAACAGTGATAGATACAGTACCACAGCATCACATTTCTGAACTCGATCGATACTGTCAATAATGTCACTTGTCACTAGTCAGTGTTGTGTCTTTGTCATTGTTTCTGTGTCCTGCTGTCCTGTGACGCCTGTGTCATTTGTGGTTTGTGGTAGTACTGGTAGTGTCAGTGTCAAAATTATTGGATGTTGGGTGATTATTGGATTGAGAAGAAGGAACTCGAAAAACATATTTATTTCCAAGACGCTTTTTAGAATCACAAGAAAATGGATTTGCCACCAACGAAGGAGGACATTGAAGCAGTTTTCCAAAGATTGCGGTCAATCGCGGGAAATAAAGTAAGGAGGAATACTCATCCTTGAACAGATTTTCTCTTTTGGTGTGACGTGTCCCCATACGATAATCACATATTACATTTCAAATGTTATGCACTATTCATACAGGTATGTTTCGATTGCAACGCGAAAAATCCAACCTGGTCCAGTGTCACATATGGGGTGTTCATATGCATAGACTGCTCTGCAGTGCACCGCAGTCTAGGGGTGCACCTGACTTTTGTGAGGTCCACCCAACTGGACACCAACTGGACTTGGATCCAACTCAGACAGATGCAGTTAGGGGGCAACAGTAATGCTGTAAGTACACTAGAAATATATTTTTGAGGTCAATGTTGACCAAAGATGAAGAAGGTCTATGAAGTGTGAATTATTGTTAGTTCAGAGTATTCTCAGATTTATGTCTTTAGCACTACTTACCTAAATACTGTCTGTAGGTTAATCGAGGAGGTGGTATATTCATTATTCCAAATTTTTTGGGATTTTCTCTCCTCGTTTCTATAAAATAAAAATATGAATATTATTTCAATATACGTGTAGTAAGGACAAATCAGATGATTTGCCCCAAAATGTCACTGCGTTTAAAGAATTTTCCTATCAGAGAGCCTAAAAGAAAAATTCACTAGCTTGTCAGTGACAATTTGTATTGAAAAAATTTTTGGAGAAGGGAAATAAAGGTATATAGAAAAAATATCAAATTTTCACTTATCTTTGGACGTTTCGGGACCGGTTCTGCTCCCGTTTTCAACATAAGAAGAGATTATTTCAATAGCGAAGTCGTATAATGTCTTGAAGCTTTTCAGTTTTCAATGACAATTGGTGACGTTGGCAATCAAATGAGTTACAGGATGTTTTCATTAATTGATCTTGAATTTACCATTTTCATGTTCAGATTTTAGTAGTGAATACCATGTTCTGTCTATATCAACTGAACAAGAAGCAATGTTATTGTCTCCGTTCAGAAGAATGCAAGCAGATTCCTTGATTTTTCTCTTCTGGTTGTTATCTTCTTTTCCAATAATTTTAATATTATTCCACTCTGCCATATGTTGTCCGTCTTCAGTAAGGATATGTTCAGCTAGTTTCGATTTATCGATGTTTCTTTTCTTTATATTGTACTTATGTTCCTTTGTCCTTACTGAAAGAGGTCTCTTGGTTTCACCTGTATAAAACTTTCCACAAACACAAGTGACATTTTGGGGCAAATCATCTGATTTGTCCTTACTACACGTATATTGAAATAATATTCATATTTTTATTTTATAGAAACGAGGAGAGAAAATCCAAAAAAATTTGGAATAATGACTACTTACCTACTTGAAAATAAATATCCATTGGAATATTGAATAAGTTTCTCTGAAATAAACATGACTGCCTTCATTAAAAATAATATAGGATCTGCCTCTCATATTTATACCTATTTGAAAGATATAATTTTCAAGTAACAATATTAGTTTCAGTTAACAGGTATGTATTTCTTTCAGTCACAATTTTTCAATCAACATAACTGTAACACCAATGATGCTCAGAAAAAATACAATTCTAGAGCTGCCCAATTGTATAGAGAAAAGCTGAGTCAAGCTGCTGCAAATTCTCTCAAAAATAGTAAAGAGGTAAATATGGCATTTTTTTCCATCTTGGCATTATAACAATTTTATATTAATTTTCCAGTTTTTTTCTTATATGACATAATAGTTATGTCATAGTTCCATTTATTTATTCAATATCTGTTTTAATTTATTTTTAGTTGATCTCCACAAAATACAGTGGATTCTTTTTGATGGATAATCAGAAGGTAGGCGTGGAGTAACCTCGCCTCATTTTAGAGCTTTAGTTCATCCTAAACTAAACCCCCATTGTGAATTTATTGATTTTTTTCATTTTAATATCACCCTAATAATATTTTTCAGATAACATTTTTTTTTTCTTTCAACTAATTTTTCATTTTTGATAATTTCCTCAGTTGCACATTCATCCTCAGGCCCAGGAAAATAAGGAAGAGAAAGAGGCAGACTTTTTCACAGAACATGAAAATTTTGCCTTGCAGGATTTACCTCTCAATCAACAATTGAATGTTGTATGTGGTTTGGTTGAATTTTTAAAACTAATTTCAATGTTAACACATTAATATAATTATGAGAATTAACTTAAATATCAAGTTCTTTATTTGATTTTTTCATGAATAATTTGTGGCAATCAGAAATACAACTTTTCATTCATTCTGGAAGATGTAATTTAATCAGTTGTTTCTTTTAGCCAACTGAAAATCCTAAACTTGATTCAGCAAATGAAAATTCAAACCTTGAAGGGCCAAAAGTAGATTTTTCATTGGGAAATGCTGAACCCAGAAAATCTGCCATTACTGCAAGGAAAGCTCCTGCCAAAAAATCAACTGTAAGTATAAATGTTGCATACTCCCCTATTCAGTACATTATTATCATTGAAAAATTATCTGGAAAATAGAAAGCAGTATGTTGAAGTCAATAATATTTGTAGCTCCGTAAGGGAAATCAAATGTGGTGTACCACAAGGTTCCGTTTTAGGTCCAATTTTATTCTTGATTTACATCAATTCAATATCATCTTTGAAACTAAAAGGAGATCTGAAGTTATTTGCAGATGATACTACAATAATCTATTCCTCTAAAGAATTTAACAATATAGTTGATGATATAAAAAGTGACTTGAAAATGATATTATCTTGGCTACAAATTCATAAGCTGACTCTCAACTATGACAAATCAACATATATGTATATTTCAAAAAGAAAAACTGATATGTTGAAAACAACAATATTTTTCAACCAGAAAGACCTAAAATATTTAGATGTTACAAAATTCTTAGATCTTTATATTGATGAACAATTATCGTGGACTAAACATATAGATCACCTGAGAAAAAAGCTAAATCCAATTACTGGAATTCTATACAAAATTCAAAATTTCATTCCTCTTAGATATTTGAAGAATATATATTTCTGTCTGATTCATTCAAAATTACAATATTTAATATCAATTTGGGGAAGCACAAGTATAGCACATTTGAAACCATTAATGAAATTATAAAATAAAACAATTAAGTGCATTTTCAAGTTACATTACCTGGAACCAAGTAGGTATTAATCTTTACAAACCAAAAAATCTGTTGAATTTATCATCTTTATATAAAATGAAAATTTGTTCTTTCATCCATTTTGTGAGAAAAAAAAATAAAAATATCCAACTTGAACTTTACTGAAGTAAATACAATTCATACTCATGCAAGGAGACAGTTGAATTCATTAATAGCAAACCCATATAACTCCATCATTGGCAAACAATCAGTATTCTACAATGGAATCATTTTATATAATTCATTTCCTTATGATTTGAAACATATTGATGATGAAACAAGATTCAAAGTCAATATGAAAAAATATATACTCATGACACTATAAACGGAGCAACTTATTCTCATTTGAATACTTGGAATGATTTTTATTTCAATTATTATGTTATATTGACATAACTTGTTGATAAGTTTTTTTTAATTGTTTTATATATATATATCATATGTTTATGTATCCCTATTATAAACAAATATGTTTCTTGGGGTAATAAAGAACAACAACAACAATATAAGAAATAGAAATAAACCAGAAGAACACTTATTTCTAGAATAGATCCTATGACGTTTGTCAAGATGGGAAAAGGCACAGATTTTATGTGTTCATTCTAATTAACGTCACAAAACACCGTCTATTAGTAGTCAAGATAAATTGATTTTGCTATTCAGTGAAATTCATAGCATTGAAATTTCAACATTAATCATTCTCAGAATTTAACTGATTTCAACAGTGTCATGGATAAGCTGAGCAAGATAGTTCAAAACTCACTTGATCTTGTTTCCTTATAAACTGAAATATGACATAAATATTAGAGTGATGTCATCAGTATTTGAGGTTCATCAAATGAAAATATAGCAAAATCGTTCAGTGAGATTATAAGAGTATAACCCTGTGTATAAACCATGGATGTACATTTTATTGCTTCTACTTGAACCTACAACATACTATTTTTTTATTTTTCATTCAATTTTCCAGTAGACAATTGCAAAAATTGCATAGGAATAGTCAAATGAGTACTACAACCTATTAGATTAGTAATCATGTCAGCTATATACTTGTAGAATTGGCAGTGGGACCAAAACCTTCTGTCTTCTTAACCTATCTTTCTATGGGAAAATCAGAGTGAAGAATTGATTGGTTTGAAAATTCGATTTTTTGACGTATTCTCAATCTTCTTTTCCAAATTTCTCCGCTCCCGAGGTATGTAAGTCAATGTTTATACAGTAAGTCTCTTACTACCATCTTAACCTACTTTTCTGAGAGAAAATCGAAGTGAGAAATTGATTGGTTCCAACATTTGATTTTCTTGAGATATTTTGCGCGAGCAGGAGGAAAGGGAGGTGGTGGTGCGGTTCCCATATATCTCCGATATCCGACATCATAACGATAATATTACGTCCTCATCATTTTCAGTCAACAGAAATTTATAATTCTCATTCATAATTTGAACAAAACAGGCTTAGAATCTAGAAATGCCAACATAAAGTTTTGAAATCCCGACTGGATGGACAGATGAATGACTGAGTAATTGAAAAAATGAAAGAATTGAGATGAATGAACCGACAACGCATAACAAAATCCTTACCATGTACAAAACCCCTATAAATTCTCATATCCCGCACAGTAGGGCGCCACCAAAGTGAAAAAGGACATTACCGACGTGGCACGCGAAGCAGCGAGGAGTTCCGTTTGCGCGAATTTCAACGAGAAATTTCGAAATTCCGAAAATATGTCGGAATTCATTTATTCCGATATTAAATCTCGAAATCTTGACTGGATTGATAGATGGATGACTGAGCAACTGAAAATATGATCGAATTGAAATGAATGAACCGACAACGCATAACGAACTTACCTAGCATTCCGTGCAAAACAATCCCGTTAATTCTCACATCCTGCACAGTTGGGCGCCACCAAACGCCAAGAACAATGAATTTACCCTCTTAAATATACATATTTACATAATTCATATATATTTATTTTTTTCTTTTATATTTTACTTGTATATTATCCTTATTCGATTGATACCTAATCATTTGAACATTGTTGTTCGATAAAGTACCATTATCATCATTTTTTCCTCAACCCGTACAGTTGGGCGCCATCAAATGCCAAGAACAATGAATTTACCGGCTACAATATTCATATTTATATAATTCATATATCACTTTTTTCTTCCATATTTCACTCTTGTATTATCAATATACTATTGATACCTAGTCATTTGAACATTCCAAAATCGAATTTCCCAACTGCAAAAACTTCAAAACAGAGGAATGACACTAATAATGAAATGTAATAGATATACTCCAATTAAACTGATGTTAGATACATTGCAAAGGTTTTCAGTTAATACTCGTTTATTTCACATGAGTATGACTTTTATTTATAAATTGAACAAAGACCTTCCTTCCTATTTCAATGAATTCATAACAAGAAATGATGAAATTCATAGCTATGGCACACGAATGAGGACTGACTTTCATATCCATAGAACAAATTCCAGTATGAGCATGAGATCGCTATTTTTCAAAGGGTTAAATGAATTCAACAAACTACCTATGCATATAAAATCATCGGTATCTTCTATCAAATCATCATTATCTATCATCTATTATCATAAACTATGTGATTGTTGGACGGGTAGGTATTGTATTGAAATGCTTATAACATCTTATCCTATTTAATAATAATTGTTTTCTAACTTGATATTGTCCCCAACCTGTGTTAAGTATTCTGTGGTATTAGTGCTGTTAGCTCGATTGTTTATGTATCTGTTGACAATAATTATCTTAAATTTTCTCTTTTCATTTCAGTACTATTTTTAACGTTTTTTAAATATCTCTTGTGTAAGTAAGCATAACTCTGAATTGCTGTTGATAACCTAGTATTTATATTGTGAGCTTTATACATGTATATGTGTGATGTTTCATGGATGCTCGAGATGTTTGTATATTATCTTATCTTTATTATTATTCCCAAGAAACATATATGTTTATAGCAGGGAAAATTATGAAAGAGCAACTAAAAAACAAAAATTAGATTTTTGTTCTATTTTTGTTCTATCTGTCATCCGGTTGCCCCCTTACGAGCAACCCTCAAAAGTCTTCGAAAGTCTTGTGCGAGCAAGGAATGACGGGGGCCTTACCTTTTAACGTGTGATCCCAAACACTTTCTTGGGCCATCAGAAAAATTTCTGCAGTCGACGGGGATCGAACCCACGACCGGCAAGCGAATGCGAATTAGAATATAGACACTCTGTCCGCACGGCTACCTGGCCACCAGATAATCAGATAATCATTTTAAAATCATATACATAATACATATAATGTTGTTTCTTCTAATAAACTACTACTACTACATTATTGTTCATCATTATCATTTGTTTTCTCATACCCGGTCAGTTGGGCGCCAAAAAATCCGGCTTGGGCGCCACCAAAGTAACCACCAACTTCGCCGACGTGGAACGCGAAGCCGCTTTAGCAGAGGAATCCCGTTTGCGCGCGCACGAGGAGCGGCGGCAGGCGGCGGTGACGAATGCGCGCGAGCAGGAGGAAAGGGAAGCGGCGGTGCGATTGGCCTACCGCGATTTAGAAGCGAGGCAGCATGACAAGGAGGAGCGCATGCGTAAGGAAGACCCGAAGAGGGCGGAGCAGATGGAAAGGCTCGGGATGGGGATAAATACGAGGAGGTGAGTGGAGTGCAAAGGATTTGTTTGTCATTGTGGTTTTCATGAACCCAACGAATCTGAAAAAATTGATATTAGTTGATTCTCTGACGATTTTTCTTTCATTTTCGGATCTAAAATAAATCCGAGAGGTTGAATTTTTTAACTAATGAAGCACAATATAAAGAATCAATTTTTATTCCATGGAACATTGTATTATTGAGAAAACAAGATTCACCCACCCTGCTTTATTTGAATATATTAACTCGAAATATAAAAAATTACACAGAAATATAATCAAATTCAATTGTGAGCACAAAAGACAATCATTTCTGAATGAAATGAATTATTGATTTATGTTTTTGTTTATTTTGTAGACATTTGAGGATCAAGGATCCAAAAATAATATCATTCGCTGACCCGGCAAACGTTGTTTTGCCATAAACATTATTTCTATAAATTATTTTTTCAGTTGAATATTTATGAACGCACTTCTATTATTTTACTACCAATCAACTATTCATTACATAGCTCGTTCATTATATTGGATCCATCATCTTGAATTTCCCAATTTTGAGCAAAAAATCTTCATGATTCTCTAATAATAATCTGCATAATTACAAAACTCGTTGGCCATATTGGATCCGCGATCTTGAATTTTCAAATTTTGACGGAATAATCGTAATCTCCAACCTCGAAAACCCCCAGATACACATTTTGAATGGATCGGATCATAATTACAAAACTCGTTCGCCATATTTGATCCGCCATCTCGAATTTCCAAAATTTGACGGAAGGATCATAATCTCCGACTCCGAAAATCCCCAGATAGCAATTTTGAATAGAAACGGATAATAATTCAAAATCCGCTATATTGAATATCCTAATTTAGACGACGTTGTCATAATTTCCGACCCCGAAAACTCCTAGGTATCAATTTTTCGATTTGAAAAATTCTTTCAACATCAGAAACCGACTTTATCCCTGATGAACATAGGCTACTTTTTACCGCGGAAAAATGCCTCATTCCTACGGGAAAACGGGTAATAATACAACAGGTACTAAGAATTATCATCCTTCAGTACTTATCTTCTTCACATAACTTCTGAACTGCTGGAACCGAATCGGTTGAAATTTTATATGGGTATTCCGATGGTTTCCTGGATGATTCAGAAATACAATTGGACCCGGTAGGTGGAGCCGCTGTCGGTACGTGGCCCATTGGCTTAGAATTTTCAATATGTAAAACCACCAAAAAAATACAAGATACCGAGAGAAGCCAAGCCGGACAGCTAGTTTGTTATCATTGTATTTTTCCTTATACTAAAACGTGTTTCTGACTGGATGTCATATTTTCAATAAATAAGTAGATAACTACATAATTTCTCGATTTATTTTCAGTGGAATAAGTCATTCTGCGCTAAGTGACATGCAGACGATTGAACAGGAAAACGTAAATTCTACTTCAAATACTCTCTCATCTCTCGGAAAATTGCGACTTTCTGACAACGATGGGTTTTTTGATGACTACTCTTTTGGCAACTCATTCAGCATGAACAGGTACCTATAACAGTTTCCAATAATGTATTATGAAAATTGTGCCTATTATTTCATGTTTAACTAATACTTGATGCAACTATTTCTTTATTTAAAATCATCAAAACATTTTTTGGCCATAGGAATACAAGTGGAGGCACTGGCAGTGCCAAAATCGATGCTTTCCTAGCAGGGTATGCCGAGGCTAATTCAAAGATGAAAGATAACAGCTGGGTCATCATTGATGATCCTCCAGAAAAGGAAAAACCCAAAAGCGTCTCCTATGGTAAGATGAGGAACAGACAATAATCATTTAAAATGGTTGATGTGCCTTTGAAGTAATTCAATTTTTCAAATTCTAGAGGACTTAGAGGACATGGAGAAATTCCATTGTAGCCATGTCCAAAAACAATCAAAATTCTGTTAATGTTTTTTTACCATTTTGAAAATCAGAACTATCTGTGAATGACTTCAAAAAGTTCCATTCTAAGAATTGACTCCAAATTTTCTGAGGTTATTCATATAACAACAAATCGAAATTTTAGAGAGAGAGAAGCCTTCAAGAAGTACAGAATCTGCATCTACCTCCGACGAAGCCCAAAAAAAATTCGGAAATGCTAAAGCCATCTCTTCAGACCAATATTTCAACAATCAGAGCAACGATTATGAAACCAAAGCCAATCTCAGCAGATTCCAAGGTTCTTCCAGTATATCATCGGCCGAATATTTCGGAAATGGCAGAGGTTAGTATAAAAAAAGGTTTCAAATTTTATGGAGACATGTTTGTTTATATTCCACAGAGTGTTCCTTAATGACATGCTAATATTTGAGTGGGCGATACTTGGACCCATTTCAAGAAAAAAACTTCAAATGAACTTTTGTCCTAAAATTGTAAAATTCGTAACTTTTGAGATACAGGCCATCAAAGTTGAAAATATGCATAGATTCTTCATTTGACCAACCTGTACAAAAATTTCAAAATGTTACATACTGTTGTTATTCAGTAATGGATTTCCTGGAGTAATTAGCTTAGCATTTACATATAAATTTGAAGTCTGGTATGGTATTTTCGTTTTTTTTTATCGAAAACGGAATTTTTCTTTTGTTGCTCACTTTTGAGTGAAATATAAACAATAATAACCCCCTAACGGCGCCACTGGTAGGGAAAATGAAAATTATTTTGTTACATTGGAAAATGCACCTTGATGCATATACCGAATTTCATAAAGATGTCTACAATATTGAGACAAAGTTTAGACTTTTAGGATATACGTTCATGAGAAGTTTTTTTCTCAAAATGAGTCAAAGAGAATCATTTCAAATATCAGCATGTCTTCAAGGAACACCCTGTATATCTATTGAAAAAAATAAAGTATTAGGAGGCGGTGGCGTGCAATACTACTCATGTTAGGGTAAGCAAAAATTTAAAAATGTGAAATGCAGAAAACAAAGATGGAGATGAGCCATTCCGTTTCCGTAGTAAATCCTGAGATGTTGCCTATTTACAAAACTTGATTGCGAATGTTACCAACGGTTGCCGCATTATCAAATTTCTGAATGTCGCCACAATTGTCGGCAGTCACCAAATTCAATTTAATGTCGCATTTCACCAAAAATGCGATACATCGCCCTCTTGAAATTGTTCGTAATCGCTGGAGACCCGACCGGTGGAAATTGGCCCCGCTATGCATCGCCACGGCTCGAGGGTCAATAGCTTTCAGGCTGAAAGCAATGTTTTTTCGCTCCATATGAATCTCTATTTATCAGCGCAATTGCTTTGCTTTCATCTTAAATGGAATGCTTATTTGCTTACTCAGAGTAGAGATAGATAGATATAGATAGATATTCATTCATCAAAGATACATATTCTATAATATAATGCGGTAGGTCACAGCTATCACAGATTTCAGAATTAAACATAATATCAATGATGTATCATATGCATAGAGCTTAGGAAAAGAAAACATAACGTTTAACAGATATTTTGAATATATAAGATCAACAACAGATAGGAATAGAAAAATATCGATAAAGAATAACTCAGTAACAGCATGACTAGAACGTCGTTCTATCGTGAATTTGAACTAAAGAATTCCTCCAGATTATGAAATACATATTGATGTACTAATTTTTTCAGTGTGATTTTGAATTTTGAGTTTGAGTATGTTTTCAGTGCATGAGGAAGGTGGTATATCTTTATTCCAGTGTATATGGGACCCTTGCGGGGTCTATTGTAGCGGTAGTTTGGTAAGATTATAGACTGGTCTCTAGTCGAATAATTATACACGTTTGCAGGGCGCAGCAAAGAACCTCTGTTTTTATGGATTAAAAGTGAAACTTTGTATATATTCAAAGTGGTAAAAGTGAATATTTTATAGTTTGCGAAATTTCTGCACGATTCTGTGTACCTCAGACCAAATATTGCTCTAATTGCACATTTTTGTATAATAAAGGTAGATGTCGATTCAACTGAATGCCCCAAAACTCAACACCAAACTGCAAAAGACTGTGGAAATAGGCATAATAGACTGTTTTCGCTACTTCAATACTAGAATTCACTCGGATGCTTCTATTGTATGTATGCACGCCACTGTAAGGAGGCCTTGCAAGTTAACCTCACATTTTTTCTTCGTCATTTCAATGAACCATAAATAACAAAAAACTTGAATCTAGATAATTTCTATATTTTTCCTTACAAAGTTGGAAACATAATATTATGTTATTATTGAATTATTTGAAAATTGTCCTGGGTGATCCATGAATATAACGTTGATGGAAATATCGTGACCACTGTTTGGCGGCAAATTCGAAAAGGCGAAATTTTGTTTTTAGAGACTACACCATCTAGCAGCAATTTACCTGATTATGATTTGGAAGATGTGAAGGAGAGCGTTAGACAGGGTGTAACGAAAGTAGCTGGCAAACTGGGATCGCTTGCAAATGGTTTCATGTCTTCCATACAGGTAATTTGAGCCGAATTTTCAGTTTCAGTTTATTTGTACTTGTATTTTCAGGACCGTTATGGTTACTAGCATAGGACGTTCGACGACGAATTAGAAAGTCTTGCACATTCACACACCTCATAAATTTGTATGAAATGATCCAATTTTGATGAATTTATTGAGAACTGTATGTGCCTTGGCAAGTAAGATTTCTTAAGGAACAAGCTATTGAGATTCATACTTTGCCCTCCCTGTTCGATCCTGAAATAATCAGTTTTCAACAATTATGACATGTCAGCTGGTTATTCTAGGTCTACCAGATTATTGCCAGTAGTTGGTTAAAACAAATATTAAGTAATATTGTAAATAGTAATACATTGTTGAATTTTAGGATGACTTGCTACTCAACACAGCAAGTATCAAAAGGCAAATAAAGTTTCAAAGAACGTTCAATAGGCTCAAACTTATTGGTGTATAGCTCTTTTGTAGTTACTGGGTACTTACCTATCATACGAGGTGTCCGTGACTATATGATCATAGCTTAAAGGGCATATTCCTTGAACAGTTTCAAGTTGAAAGTGCCTTACATACTTTTGTGCCAAACTCTATAGTCCAGGAGACATTAGCAGTATTAAATTTAACAGAGTGTGTAGAATGAGGCAAAGAGGATGTTCAATAAGGAAGGTAATTTAATAGTTTATCAATTGAAAATTTTTTCCATTATTTTCACAAAAGTTATAAAAGTTTTTGTTCAAAATGTCCCCCTGCTGGTTCACAACACATTCTTGCTCTTCTAACCAGTGGCGGCTCGTGACTTTCATGACAGAGGAGGCTGAATGATATGAGATTCAATGTGAAAAACAACTCTACTCACCCAAATCAATAGCTTTAATGACATTCTGTTTACCAGTTAACCTGAACTTTATACTTGAAGAGATGTGTTCCTGTGATTTGCAGTGTCTATCCAATCCGCCAGGCAAATTTTTCAAATCATTATATCCTAATCGCCTCCAACATGTTGACTTATCGGTTGAAAATAATACGCAGTACCAACAAAATAGCTTATTTCTTACCTCAGATCCCGTCAACCAGATATATTTTTTATAATTATCAGAATTGAAGGAACGATTTTGTTTGTTACCTGTTACAATACGATTTTTTAATTCCGATGTCGGACGTTTGTTTTTCACAATCAATTTATCTTCATGAGACAAAGCACTGAATGGGGTTACCAAAAAGTATTCCACTAAATCGCAATCGTTTAAAACACTCATTTTTCAGAAATTCATAGAGCCCCTAACCATTAACCTAACATAAACATAAACAATGCACTCGCGTTTGTCCGCAATTCGCGAAGAGACACGACAAACACGTGCTATTCGGGCGTATTCGGGCATTTGCATTGCGCGCGTAGGCTTCGATTTGTGAAGGAGTCTAGCCTCCTATAGATGTTGCCAAGTTGAATATTTTACGCGTGATTTGCAGACTTCAACGTGTGATGCGTGATGCGTGGGCAAGCACTGTTGCCAATTCAAAAATATTCAACTAAAAACAGGAAATAAAATTGTCTGAGGAGTCGCCACTGCTTCTAACTATAGAAAACGTTGCTCTCTGAAGAGTCTGGGTTTGTGATATATTTGAGCACACCGCCTCTTCCTATCAATTCACTGGTGAGCTAAGCTGTTATTCAATTTGTTCATTTCTTCTTGAGTTATAGACGAGAGTGTATAAGACAGAATATGCCCTCAAGCTATGGCCATCAACATCAGAATTCAACATTTTTCTTTTGTACAAACTAGTGGTTTTATGTTTTTGGTATCCAATGATTATTGATGAAATTTTACACATGATAGCTCAAAGTAAAGTAATTCGATTGTTTTTCAATGGATCTTTCCAATAACTGATGCATTACCACATTCTTTTCTGTAAAATAACTGGGACTGTGTACTGTTTTTACCAGAAGTGTCTCCAATATTATGAGTGATACAAATTGTAATTCAGAATAGTATGATAATTTTATAACCACTCCACTATTGGTACAGTCCTCAACTACACATATCTTTCATATAAAGTTGGTGAAATTAGAAGGCTCATTATCTATATCTATACCTTGCATTATTGTGTTTGTGAATGGCTTTTATATGCGATATCGAATATAAGAGCAAGCGATATTATTAGTTTGATCCAAAATTAATATGCTTTATTGGTAATTGATATGTGTGGTACAAATATAAATTTTATTTTGTATAGAAATTTGACTTTCAACCTTGCCTTACACCAACCATTGTCCTTCTAGATGACAACCTAGTTTATACCAACTAACAAAATAGTAGAAACTTATAACACACTAACCTTTAGTACATTGAGAAATTGAAGGAATCAGAAGGAAAGCACCTTCTTCAAATATTAACTAAAACCTAAATACATTTCACTGAAAATGTTGAAAACTTATTAAAAATTTTAAAATGTCAGGGCATGTCGTCATTGTATAACAAACCATGTTACAAATAAGTTGTTTGACGAAGGCGTTCGATTGTATCTCCTTCGAAATCCTTTATAAAAAACTACTTCAGAGGAAGCAATATGTTTTTTTTCAATAATGCTGAATCAAAAAAACAGAGGATTCAGCACGGAGTTCCACAGGGCTCTGTGCTGGGTCCTCTGCTGTTCCTCATTTACATAAATGACCTGCCTAACTTCACCAATGCCATCACGCTGCTCACAATCTTATTTGCTGACGACACCACTACGTTGATGCGCTATACCACCCCGTTAATGCGCTACCACCCCTCAGACCCAATACTTCAGTGGACCCAAAATAAAGATGACCAGGTTTTGAATTGGTTTTTGGCTAACAAATTGAGTCTAAATGCCGACAAGACGCATAATATGAACTTTACTTTGCAAACCTCTTCATCAAACCTAGAAAGTCAAGCAGGGGTTGAATTTTTGAGGGTTTACTTGGATCCAGGACTGACTTGGAACGTTCATATCAATTATCTAAGCTCCAAGCTGTCCAGAATAACTTTCCTAATAACTACTTTAATTCTAATTTATCCTATGCAATTCTGAACTGGGGTCATTCCCCCAATAATACTGTTCAAATCTTTAAATTACAGAGACGCTTTGTTAGAATTATCGCAGGTCTAAAATATCAAGCTTGTTGTAGAAATAGTTTCGCAGAACTGAGACTCCTTACACTTCCTTGTACTTTTATATTTCGTTGTCTAATCCACATAAAACTGAACCTGGTAGACTTCAGATCACATAGGGATATCCACTCATATTCAACTAGGAATAGAGATAATTTAGTCCTGAGCTACGAAGGGGTGCCGATTACTACGGCAAAAAATGTATAATGTTCTTCCTATAGAGATAAAAAACCTAGATTTCAATTTCCATCAAGGGACCCTAGCTTTGAGACAATGGTCTGTAGAACGGCCACAGTATATTATCCTTTCTCGTGAAAGTATAATATAATGATAATATTATATACTGTGGAACGGCAAAAGAATTCCAACACCTGCCTCCTGTCCTGTCCCTACCCTCCCTAGGCACGCACGAAATTCCACGAACATTATAGGAATTTCCTTTCGTGCACTCCAAGAGAAAAAAACAAAATGTGTCCTTTTGACTTCTTTGACAAAAGTCTACAATACTTGAAACCTTAAAAGATAGAAGATGTAGATATTTGTGGAAGAAGAAGATTTGTTTACATCCACCATGATGAAAACATCCACTGACTAAAGATAAAAAAGACTAAAGAAAGTCTTCACACTACACCAAATTTTGATCTGTGAAAGTCAGTTTGAAAGTTGAAACAGAGCTCATTCATTGATATCAGTGATATTTGATATTTCAGTGGTGAACCAAAACATAATGGGGGAGCAATATGAAATTTCTTCCATAGATGAGCCAGAACCAGTACCTTACAAGATCAATTCAATTTCAAAGAATCAACTGTATGAAGTCAACATAGAGAGCATCTATGACCCATCAAAGTTCTGGGTGATTATCAATTTCAGAGAACTAGCTTTGTTCACTGATTACTTGACTGCTTTCTATGAATTCCAAAGGAGAAGACTGGCAATACCTAGAGTGAAAATGCGAGAAGGAATGATTTGTATTGTTTACAGAAATGCCAAGTACCACAGAGCAATTATACTGCCTGTTGTGCTGCCAGAATTTGAAAAGTTGAGAGTTTTTCTAGTTGACTATGGGTTGACTGTGAATATGCAAGTGGAAAATGTCTTTTACCTCATGAATAAGCATCAACTTGTCCCAAGGTTTGCCATCAGAGCTAGTTTAGCTTATCTTTCACCTGCAGGTATGGTCTTTCAAAACCCAAAACCAGATCTGAAACTTTCATCTTTGCTTTCATTTTCAGATGAATTTGCAGCATGGTCTCTGAATGACCTGAGAACATTCTGTGAATTACTATCTGAGAAGAAGCTTTATATTGATGTTTTAGAAATTGATACCACTCTGAATATTCTGCATGTTAATCTTCTTGGTATTGTGGGTGACAGGTTAGAGTCAATTAACAATCATATGCTGGAAATATCCCTGGCAAAAATGAGTCAAGACATCCCATCAGATATTGATGACAAATCTGAGAAGTATATGAAAAAGGTAAAGTTTATGCATTTGTTTCCATCCTTTAGTGCCTTAGAGCGTGGTACTGTGCCATGTTCACTTTGGGAGCAAAACTTGCTCAGATATGTACCTAAGGATGTCTTGTATCCTAGATATTTTGAATACAATTATCATCATACTGATGGAGTACCAAATACAAATGGGTATTAACTAGTCATAATATTGGATTTTTCTCAACACATTCAAAACACCAAAGTCCTTGTTAAATCAAATTAATAAAAAACAAGGAGTTATAAGACTGTCAAAATATATTTTGCTGTGAAAATGAAACTGATAATTTATTGATTTGAGAAATAACAAAATTTAAAGCATGATATATGTATAATTTATGTTCCTTGTTGAGTTCAAGAATTGTATGTTTCATAAAGATGTTAGGTCAATTGAAAAATTATATTATTTCAATTCAATGTGATGTCAGTACATGTTTGCTGCATTTCATTTATGGTGCTTTATTGTTAATCATTCAATCATCACATTTTTAATTGTTTGTTCATTTTACAAATATAATTAGAGGTACTTTTCTACTATGAAAATAATTGTTATTGTCCTTACCAGAAATGGTCTAGTCATGCCTATTGACTTGGATGTTCAATTATATTACTAAAATTATTTAAAAATTGAATTGTCCATCAATTTGTTGTTCAAGTTATTTTACATTAATTGTGTTCTTTATTATAATATTATCATATTGTATTGATTTCTTGATATTATGGAATAAATATCAGAAAAACATTCAAAATGGTGCATTTATTCTAATAATCTCACATAACATTTAAAAAAGAGTAGTATAGTGTGCATATTATTTTTAAGATAAAAATATGCAAGATACATATATATATGCTAACTGGATTATAAGCACCAAAATATACCTGTTAATTTGAAAAAATCTATATTAACAAGTAATAGCGCAAGTAATGTATTCATTAAAATTATTTCTTTTGACTATGACTAATTGACTACCAATGATTGATTAGGGAATTACTGAGTATTTGAAATCTTTCTTTTTTATTGGTTCTTCCTAGAACATTCACAAGAAGGAAACTTGTTACAAGAATTGCTCTCTTTCTGGCAATAACGTTTCTTTTCCAGATCCTCCTTGTGGACTATAATTATTATCATCTAACTTATTAGATTCTAATTTCAAAAAGAGCATTATTCCACATACTATCCCAATAACATGTGTCACACTCAGTCCCAAAGTTATCAGAAAGAGTAGCCAGAAATTCATTTGGATTTCCTTTATAATTATCTCCATGCATCCCTGGAAAAAATAAAATGGTATCACATTATTACAATGGACCGGGGGGGGGGGGGGAATCGCCCCCAACCAAAAAGTATTTAATAGGGTGAAATAAGGGGGGAATGTATAATTTGCTGACCAAAATTGAAGTATGCTGACCGAGCATTTTTTATTAAGAATTTTCTCTTCAAATTGCATATTTGAATATCTTATATAGATATATAGATGCCACCAGTGGAATTATTTCGATCCACCCTTTCAGAGGGGTAGTTTATTCTTACAGTTTTTCAAAAATCCTTGCTGACCGAGCATTTCTGGTTCGTATTTTTTCATCAAATCACATATCTAAATATCTCAGATATATATAGATGCCACCAGTGCCACCACTGAGATTTTTTCGATCCACCCCTTCAGAGTGGTAGTTATTCTTCCTGTTTTTCAAAAATCCTTGCTGACCCAGCAATACTTGTTCTTATTCTTCCATCAAATTACATATTTGAAAATCACATATATATTTATACATGCCACTAGTGGAATTATTTCGATCAACCCTTTCAGAGGGCACACTACACTGTTTTACCACTAACCAAACCGATTTTTTAACGCCTCGACACGTGTTTCGCTAACTATGTTAGCATCTTCAGGAGAAGATTAAAACTAAATATCCTATTCTAGTGTGCTGCTTATATACTAGGGTATATGTTCACCCAACTGTGAAAAATACTAACCGTCAAGTTAATGTTTGTCATGGTTGAGTTCACATGTTAATCTAAATTTTTATTTTACTAAACTATATAGAGGGCTATATGGAATAGGTCCATTATCCTTATTCATTACTCTATTACTATTTTTGAATATCTCTAAGCTTTCATATGCGTCTAGTTTTCTAATGTTATTAACTTGCTTAACTAATTTGAGGTTAGTAATATGTGTGTTATGATTGTGATTGAACATATGTTCGGCTACACAAGATTTATCTAACCTGCCATATTTCAAATGGGCTATGTGTTCTTTGAACCTTGTTTTTATGGGTCGCCTGGTTTGGCCTATATATGTTTTATCACAATCATTACAACTTATTTCGTATATTCCCGACTTTTCAAGTGTGTCCACTTTATCTTTCGAATTGCCTAATAAATTGCCTAATTTTGACCCAGACTGATAAACGCTTTCAAAACCTAAGTCTTTGAAAACCTTATCAAGTCCCTTCGTATACTTGGGATTGTACGGGATTGGGATTCTTCTAGAGTTCTTTTTATCCGCTTGAAAAGTCGTAGAATATCGAAGTGTTAACTTAAATTTATGTTTACATATTAATTTATCTACTATTTTGATATCATACCCATTGACGCCAGCCACTTTATAAACAACATTTCTTTCAGCATCGAATCTGTCTTTGCTGAGAGGAAATGAAATCAATCTGTGTACTAGAAAATTTAAACTTGCCATTTTGTGCTGAAAACAGTGATTGGAGTCATTAGGTATGTATCTAAATGTGTTAGTTTCTTTTCTAAAGACATCAAATTCTAAGTTGTTTTCGCTATTTTTGATCACAAGTACATCTAAGAAAGGTAATTCGCCTTGATTTTCGCATTCATAAGTGAATTTGATAGAGGGGAAGCTGTTATTCAATTTTGAAATAAAGTTATCTATATCTGTGGTTTTCGTATCAAAAATAGCAAAAATATCATCGACATATCTAATCCAAACCCTAGGGAAATACTCGAATTTTTCTTTTGCATTTGCTTCAAATCGATTCATGAACAGTTCAGCCAGGAAAGGCGATAAACAATTTCCCATAGCTGTACCTTCTGATGTTCAAAAAATTCTTGTTTATATTGAAAAATATTTTGGCTCATGCAGAGGTTAGTGAGATCAACCAATTCTTTAATATTATCTGGATCTAGATTGTTATATTCGAGTAATTCCTTTAAATATTCCAAAGTTGTTGGTATGGGTACACTTGGGAAAAGTGATGAAACATCAAATGATATAAGGATTTCACCTTCGGTCAGATTCAACCCTTTGACCTTTTAGATAAATTAACTTAGAATTTGATGTCTTTAGAAAATAAACTAACACATTTAGATACATACCTAATGACTCCAATCACTGTTTTCAGCACAAAATGGCAAGTTTAAATTTTCTAGTACACAGATTGATTTCATTTCCTCTCAGCAAAGAAAGATTCGATGCTGAAAGAAATGTTGTTTATAAAGTGGCTGGCGTCAATGGGTATGATATCAAAATAGTAGATAAATTAATACGTAGACATAAATTTAAGTTAACACTTCGATATTCTACGACTTTTCAAGCGGATAAAAAGAACTCTAGAAGAATCCCAATCCCGTACAATCCCAAGTATACGAAGGGACTTGATAAGGTTTTCAAAGACTTAGGTTTTGAAAGCGTTTATCAGTCTGGGTCAAAATTAGGCAATTTATTAGGCAATTCGAAAGATAAAGTGGACACACTTGAAAAGTCGGGAATATACGAAATAAGTTGTAATGATTGTGATAAAACATATATAGGCCAAACCAGGCGACCCATAAAAACAAGGTTCAAAGAACACATAGCCCATTTGAAATATGGCAGGTTAGATAAATCTTGTGTAGCCGAACATATGTTCAATCACAATCATAACACACATATTACTAACCTCAAATTAGTTAAGCAAGTTAATAACATTAGAAAACTAGACGCATATGAAAGCTTAGAGATATTTAAGAATAGTAATAGAGTAATGAATAAGGCTAATGGACCTATTCCATATAGCCCTCTATATAGTTTAGTAAAATAAAAATTTAGATTAACATGTGAACTGAACCATGACAAACATTAACTTGACGGTTAGTATTTTTCACAGTTGGGTGAACACGAGGGTGAACATATACCTAGTATATAAGCAGCACACTAGAATAGGATATTTAGTTTTAATCTTCTCCTGAAGATGCTAACATAGTTAGCGAAACACGTGTCGAGACGTTAAAAAATCGGTTTGGTTAGTAGTAAAACAGTGTAGTGTATTATCGTGCCAAAGGTTCCATTTTTCGATATACCTTTCAGAGGGGTAGTTTATTCTAGCAGTTTTTCAAAAATCCTTGCTGACCGAGCATAACTGGTCCGTATTTTTCCATCAAATTACATATTTGGATATCTCATATAGATTCATAGTTGCCACTAGTAGAATTATTTCGATCCACCCCTTCAGAGGGGTAGTTTATTCTTGCAGTTTTTCAAAAATCCTTGCTGACCGAGCATTTCTGGTGCGTATTTTTCCTTCATATAGATTTATAGATGCCACCAGTGGAATTATTTCGATCCACTCCCTCAGGGGTTGATTTGATGGAAAAATACGGACCAGGAATGCTCGGTCAGCCAGGATTTTCGAAAAACAGCAAGAATAAACTACCCCTTTGAAGGGGTGGATCGAAATCATTCCACTGGTGGCATCTATAAATCTATATGAGATATCCAAATGAATAATTTGATGGAAAAATATGAACCAGAAATGCTCGGTCAGAGTAGGGGATAAATGAGAGGGCTGTAACGGCACCCCCCACCCTAGGCACCCCCCACCCAACCCCCTATGAGAGTTCTGTAACGGCACCCCCCACCCTAGGCACCCCCCACCCAACCCCCTATGAGAGTTCTGTGACGGCACCCCCCACGAACGCCCCAAATCCTATGAGAGTTCTGTGACGCTACCTCCCACACCTCTACCTGCTATGAGAGTTCTGTAACGACACCCCCCAGACCTCTACCCCCTATGAGAGTTCTGTGACGGCACCCCCCACGAACGCCCCAAATCCTATGAGAGTTCTGTAACACTGCCTGCTATGAGAGTTCTGTAACAGCACCCCACACCCAACCTGCTATGAGAGTGCTGTAACGACACCCCCTACTACAACAATTCATACCTATCAGGGGTATTGGGACTTTTGTAACAGTAACCTCCTTAAAATCTCAATATAAATTCCCCTGGAGTCATTCTGCAGTATTACGTTTAGTATTACGTCTAGTAGAAATGACTCAGAACTGTGATTATTTTCCAGAACTGAAATTTTCCTTGTTTGATAATATCAAGGAAGTGCCTCCGATCAAAAATGAGTCAGTGATTCTCGGTGAAAGAAGATACCACTTGAATAAATCCAAATCAAAATTTGTATCGGTGGGTCTTGTGTTGGAATCAGATTATACACCATGTATAAAATTGAGTGGTTCCAAGAGTGATGTATCGATCATTTTCAATGAGGATGAATGGAATAATTTCCTCACATATCAAGGTATAATCACCAATTATTTATATACCAATGATAAAGCTGAACCAATAAAAACAGGAAAATTTTGTGTAGACTTTGAACAAATTTCCTACAATAGAGTTATTAAAATAATCAAGAATGATTCATACATCTACTTGGGGTATGAATCAGTGTGCAAGCTATGGGAACTTCTTCCACTCATCAAGTATAGAACTGAAATGTTCAAAAGGCAGGGATTTTCTAACTACATCAAGAATCTTCAGAAAGGTGTTCAGACCATTGGTGGAAATGTCTTCACTGCTGCGATAAACTTGCTTGGTGAGAATCACAACTACAGCAGTGAAAATGTATGTATGGCTATGGAATTGATTCACATGTATCCAGACGTATTCGAAAAAAATCTCATGCAAGGATGAAACAAGTGACATTTAGCAATCAAGATTCTATTCAGTTATTGATGGTATGGAGTTTCGCTTATAATGAAGCTAGAAAAGGAAATTGGCATGTGTTAGCTTTAGATAGAATGCGCTTCCACAAAAGAATAAAGGAGATCACCAATTTAATCTCACCTATTTTGAATGCAAACCATAGATATAATATTTTTAAAGAAAGATTTTGTGAAATAAAATAACATGTTCTGAATAAATGCGTTTTATTTTTGTTAATTAAATCAAATAAATTCATTTTTATTTATCCAAGAGTTATCAGCATTACTGAAACCTAACCATTTCACCAGCAATTTATTTCCTTTTCTTCTTA